CACAACCACCACCACCTCTGAACCATAACAGCCAAATTATAAACTTCAGAAAAAATAGGGATTCATATGGAAAGTTTGCAGATATTCAGAAGTAAATGCACAATTATATATATATATTTTTTGATAACGAAATGCACAATTATATTCAGAAGCAAATGCACAATTATATTTGATAACAAGCAGAACAATTTAAGAATGTTTGTATAAAAAGTGTATACTGCCGTTTTACTTGGGGCTTACCTAACATCAGCATAAGCAATGACCCAACCACGATCCAAGAGGCTTTTCAGTTCACCATGCCACCGTTTATCAAGCAACTCGCCATAAGCTCCGTGTCCATGCAGTAACCCGGGCCTTTTATTCTTGTTCTTACTGTCATGTGCAAAAACAATAGTCAAAGGAACCATGACCCCATCAAATGAAGGAACATCATATTGTTCACAAGCATAGAACTCAGAAAGACTATTCCATAAAAGGTCATCTTGAACATCGGCATTCAAAGAATTGGAACACTTGGGGTATGAGGTGTCCCGGCTTATACTTGCAGAACTTGTACCATACAGTACTTGTGTTCTTTCCCGAAGCAGATTTTGCTGTTGAATGATGGTCCAACAACCAGTTGTCAGGTCATAATCAACCACAGCATCAGGCATCTGCAAGAAAGCTTGATATGGTAAATATCTTAGGATTTGTAGATGGTTTCTTTCAACCCAAGTTGCTAGTCACCACTGTAAAATGACCAACAAAGGCCAGAGTAAATGAATTTAGGTGTTGTTCTAACGAATATGTAACGATGGGCTTATTATAAATTGGCATAAAGAATAACTGCTAAGGACCAAAGTAGTAGTAGACCGAACAAACTTAGAAAGCAAAAAAATAACACCCGTGTAATGTTGCATATACCCAGAAAAAAGTGTAAAGTCGCAGGAAAATCAACATGAAGAGAAAGAGATTCACCAATAATCTATGAAATAATTGAACTTTTACTCACTATTTGCACCATCATCCATGAGATGAATAAGCTATATTCCTAAACAGATCAATAACAAATTAATATCAAAACATCCTAACCATCTTGATACCATGGGACCCGTTCAGCATTGATTGGTCAGTGGTCATTTATAATTCTTATGATATGGAAATGAAATATATAAAAATCCATAAAAGCAAGTGAAGAGACCATCTCCAAAATCATTAAAAACATAATCACATACCACAGGTGATGATATTATAAAGCGCATCACTGATGAGAAGTAGTCATAATTAGGTCCAGGTGAAATTTGACAAACATGTTTTGGAAGAGGCAAATACTGTAGGTCCAGCTCCCTCAGTTTAATAGTCCCCTGCCCACAAAACAAAGAGGCCGAAAGGAAACACACTAAATGAGATCATAAAGTATGCATGCACCAAAAGTTTTATCTGCTGACTTACCCAAAAAAAAAAAAAGTTTTATCTGCTGAAGCAACGACATTTAAATGCACTTTCATTACCTTCCCAGAGGGTAGCGGCAGTGTAACAGAACAAAGCTGAAACTTTCGCCCTTCCCTTGTAATGAGCACTAAGTATTTATCACAAAAATCGACATCCTCCACAATCAAATTTTGGTCATTAACAAATACTTCCTGCAGTTTATATAACATGCTACACGAATTAAATTACTAAAATCAAGTAAAAGCAGTATATATTAACAAGTCAAGTAAGTATTATAAGTACCACAAGATAGAGTCTCACATTATATTTCATTGCCTAAAATAATCAATTATATAATTAAAATTTCAAAGAATAATTGAAAAAAAAAGAAAGCAAACCACGGATAACTAACCAATGCTTCAACCTACCTCCCATTTTCTTGGATTTGAAAAATCATTCACTGCACTGCGAAGAAGATAATGACTATCGGCTGATTTGCCACCTTTTGGAGCATCTGTAAATAAATAAAGGAAACCTTGATGATGCTCTACTATGCAGTGAGCTAGAGCATCACACTCCCAGACTAATGTCATGCCCGACAAAGGATCAGCTGCATTTATCAGAAAGACCTAAAATATGGTTACGATCACTAAATGATTGAGAGTTGATAAGGATCTTGGCTTGTTGGATTCTACAATATGGTACCTTTGAAGACATTATAGAGAACGTATTTACAGTCACAAAACGGAAATCTTTTGTGTGTCTTATATTAATGTGAACGCCTTCATCACATTCTTCCAGAAGCAGTACATCCTCATCAGTTGATCCAATCATACTGCAGTAGATCCTATACAGCGGAGTTTGGGATATTCAGAAGTTACATAAATTTCACTGCTGATAATCTCAGACGTATAAAAAACAAAGGGTTTTTCCTTATACTTCTAATGCTTGAGGGCAAAAAGGAATTGATAAACTGAGCAATTTACCCACCGGTAGGGTCTCTTCATGTGATCTGTTACAACATAAAGCAATCCTTGCCCATCTTTTGCCCATGCCAAATTCGAAACCCGATCTGCCTGAGGCTTGCTACATAACGAACCAGAATTTAAATTTCTCACAGACAGCTTAAAGCAGTCATTTTCTTTATCATACATAGTGTACGCAAGAAACTGATGGTTGGGTGAAATTTCCGACAATTCTTCGTAAGCATAACCTATACAAGTAAGGAAAATTTTTAGCAGTTACGACAACTCTATTTACTTACAGAGAACCAAAGGTGCTTTTTCTTTCGCGTTAAAAAGCAATCCAACCCTTTTCTTGTCATAAGAGTACAAAAGTCCTAACTACATTGCACTAAGATAACTGTACACAGAAAAGAATTAAGATTGATAATACCGCCAAATCTCTCTGCTTCTTGATTATAGTCTAGGAGCTTCTGCTCAATTCTCTTCCCTGATGCAAAATCGAATCCTGCCGAAGGAGATTTATTTGATATAAACTCCTCGTTCAGGCTCGCCAACCTTCTACACAGAACAGGGTACTGCTTTCCTTCTTCAGCACGTCGATAATACAACCTGCACACACCAACATCTACTTCGAAGTAGTAGAAGGAAGAGTAGAAACGCTAACACTCCGAAGTTGGAAGCAAAAATAGGGGGAACTTGCTGGGTATGCTAAAGTTATTCGTTTCAACAACAAAAAGCAGGACATTTGAGAGAATAATCTGAGCGAGATGAGTTGAGAGAGAGGCGAGATACGTACCAAGGGCCCCAGCGAAGTGGAGGAGTAGAAAGTTCAAAGGCCATTCGGGCGGCCATCTCTGATTGGAGCTTACTCTGGAGGCGCTCAGTCTCAGACATAACTGCCTCCGTGTATTTCTCCTCCTGCTCCATGTAAACGTCCATATGGCGCATGGCCACCTTGTCATTAAGATTAGACATCCAACTGTACGGGTCCTCCCACGTAATCCCATGGAACTCAAATTTCTGAGGCTTCTTTGGAGGCTTTGGAGGCGTCGGTGGAGCCGCTGGCTTAGGAGCCTTATAGTGGCGAAGGTGGCAATTGCCACGGCGGCTCTGCCTACTAACGCTGCCGAACCGGAATAACAGGCGCATAGTTGGGGGTCTTGCTCGGTGTTTCAGGAACAGGGGAAGGTTTTAGGTTCAAGCCTCGACTGTTGTTTATTTTCGCTTTTTACGACCCTCGTCGTATGAACCAGAACGGGTTTGGGCATATTTATATTTAAATATTATTTACTAAAAAATAATTGTAGCAAAATAAAAAATGTTAAAGATTTTTAAATATGTAAATTACTAAAAGAAAATAAGTTTTATAATATAATACTTTATAATAATTGAATTTCATATGAATATAAATTGTTAGGAAAAATGTGTATATATTTTTTTACACTCTCAACCTCTTCATTAAGAGGGGTGAGATGATGTCATTTGAGCTCAGACTGATTAGCAGCAAAAATGTATATAACTATAGATAGAAATTGAAAAATAATATCAAAAATATTAAAGCTGAGTTGATAACTTCTACCACCTTAAAATTTCCCAAATTTTAGCTGCCCAATTAGTGGTGTAATTAAAAAACAAAGTATGTCCTTTTACAAGATTCAATCAACTAAAAGACATTTGTTTGAAGGGGGAAAAACAAACGAGAAAGGAAGGGGAAAAAGGAAGCAGAAGACGCAGGTCTGGTACTAAAAGGCAGGCTGCTTTTCTCGTAGTGTGGTTTTGTCGTCCAACTGGGTTCTGTAAATTTGGCATTCAAATTCATATGGAGAAGCAACTATACCGAAGGCTATAGTCTAATCTTCCTCTCTTTTCTGAGTTTTCTCTTTATTCTGTGTCCTTGATGATTGAGGTCATTGGTGGCTTTTTAGTCTTGAATCTCATGGAAGTTACTACAATTAGGGTGTGTTTGGATGAAACCAAACCGTGGTTTGAAAAAGTGATTCTGGAGAATAGATTCTGGAAAAAATAGATTCTGTGAAGAATAGATTTTGTAAAAAAGTGATTCTGAGAAGTGAGAGTGTTTGGATAGTTGTTATCAGAAGCACTTTTTATATATACAAATTACTATAAAAAAGACATAAGTTAATATGATAATTACAGAAAAAATAGATTTTATGATATATTTTAATTTGAAGAAATAAAATTGTTAATAATATGTTTTTTACCAACATAATTAATAATACATAAGATAATATAATTAATAAATAATTAATGTCTATATATATTTATAAAATATAAGATTAAATATATTTATAAAAAATATGTTTATAAAAAAAAAAAACAAGATACATATCATATAGGCCCTCACACTCTCCCTTTTTTCTCCAAAAGCAAAAAAATTTTGCTTTTTCCAAAACCATGGTTTTGGAGTCAAAACCATGGTTTTGACCCAAAACCATGGTTTTGGTTTTTGGAGAGGCTGTTTGGGTAGCATTTTCCCCAAACCATGGTTTGGGTCCCCAAACCATGGTTTGGGGTACTATCCAAACAGAGCCTTAATCTTGTATTAGCTTAAAAAGAGACCTGGAGTTCAACGGTGTTAGGCTTATACTCACATTTAAGGGAGTGGAACAAAGCAAGTCCGCCGATCAGAACCATTAATAATATTATAGATTCTGCTACAACATCAGTAAACGCAGATCCCATGAAGGTAATGATCAAGTTCATGGAAGTCACCTCAACAAAAAAATTAGAATGAACGTGTCTCTTGTAGACAGCACGGGGTGCCAGTCTGCCAGATATAAGCCCCCCAAAAACCACGACATTCATTTAACTTGCTTGAGTTCATGGTGGACTGATTTTTAACTCCTTTCCTGAAGAGGTCAAGTCAATAATAAATCGGGTTTTCTGAGCTGTTACTTTTTTCTTTTCGGCCAGAGGTCTTCTTTCCTATCACCAAAAGTTTCTATGTTTGAATTGCTGGCCTCAAAGCTGGTTCCAACGAGCACCGAAGTTTTGCTTTTCAGGTTTCTTTCTCGCACCTCTCCGATCTCACCATCTCTACCTTTTAGTTTATCTTTCTTTACCTTTCCCTCCGTTTCTTCCACATCAGTAATTTGCAGAATTTTCTCCTCGTCATTTTGAAGAAAGCATTCATTTCTAGTGCACGAAATGTGTTTATTGACGAAAAAAGCACCTTCTCTTTCACATCCTGTTTCATCAAAAATGGAGACATTGAAAGAAGAGTATCCAATGTAGTGGAAGACAAGAAAATCTCTTTCTGCCAAACTGTGGTCCTGCACGAATTTTTCCCAACCAATCTGAAAAACAATATCATCATCAGTTCTTGCAATTTTCACAATCCACACATTTCTACTCGGCCCTATAAGTCTTGCAGCACTCCGTAGTTCCTCCTTAAAATGACTCACAAACTTTCTTGGAATTCGCTGTAAAAAAGTTGAGAATCCATCAATACCTGTAGCTTCTGAAACCTTGAAGAGATATTCAGTTGAAATCGAAAAGAAAAACGTCTACATGACTAGTATTTTAAGCTGTTTCACTCACCAGCTGGTTTCTGAAATCGCCCATCATTAGCTTGAAAAATTGGTGTCTATTGGGAGCGAATTCCGTCCAATATATATGTCTTTCCAACGCTCTGCATCTTTCTCCAGTTTGCCCCATTTCTAAACTTGAAGGAAGAGGGAGAAAATGTGAGGACATGCATGCTTGCATCTATCTACCTACCTACCTACCTACCTACCTATCTAATGCATACATACATACATATATATATTTGGTCAACGCGGAAAACTAGCAGTGAATACGCACATTGTCTTCGGACAAACAGCTCAAGATCAAGACAAACCAAAACATGACAGAAGAAGAAAACGGCAAAAACACAGATCCAAAAACTAGAAGCATATAGAAGAAAACAAGAGTAATTAGGCGTTTGAAAACCTGACCAAGGAAGGCACGGGCACAATCTCTTTTAACAACACATTATCTATTCCAATGATAGCTAAGTGGACAAGGCAGGCCACCCAGCAATAGTTCATCAAAGAAGCTGGATCAAGTGAAATAGAAAAATAAGAAACTCAAAGCCTCCAAATCTGTAGTCCTCTGATTTCCACTGATTTCTATCCCGTGTTTTTTATTCTCAAAAGATGACAAACTAAAGCAGTTCCGGCATTTCAAAAATATTGGTCTTTGGCAATATAACCCAGGCATCTTTTAAGAACAATTCTAAGCCAAAAACATCCCGGTGGAACCCATTGCAAGTCATCCTTAATGCTTAACCCAATTTGTCTCACAGGGTCAGCCAAGCCATTCCAAACATTAGCATGCTGGAGGTCAAGAAAGTTAAGACATATCATAGCATTAGATGAATACTGAGCATTATAATCCCCTTCCCAATAGTGAACATCCAAAGCAGTGTTACTAGCAAAAAAAGCAGCATTAGCAACGGCCTCTACCCATGCAGCATTATCTAATTTACACTAATAAACTGAGAGATCTTTCCAAAAACATTAGCCTGCATGAGAGAATTATCAACCATGCAATAGCATAGAACAAGTCATTCCAATCTGTTTTGGACTCACCGAGGGCACCATTAAGAAGAGGGGGATCTAATTCCAGACAACAATAACAGATCAAGGTCTAAGTTACGTCCACTAGGAGGGGGAAATTCAAAAACGAATACCTTGAGTTCAAGTATAAGAAGGCCTCAACCTATCAACTCAACACCATTAAGAGGAGGGATCTAATTCCAGACAATAATAACAGATCCAGGTCCAAGTTACGACCACTAGGAGGGGAAAATTCAAAAACGATACCTTGAGTTCAAGTATAAGAAGGCCTCAACCTATCAACTCAACAGCAATGAGTTGCATTCTAGAAAAAGATTCCCTTCACTGGGCACCACATTGTGATCGGTCTAAAACAGCATTGAACTCACCTCTAATGCCAACCCACAAAGTTTCCAGTCGCTTCCACCTCATATCCCCACAAATCATTTGGATCCATGTACAAATCGATGAAGCTCCTTTCCTCTTCTTTCTCGAAGCCGTTTCACTTGCACCCGGATCTGATGCTCCAAAAGCTTTCGACTCCTCAGCGAATTCACCGGCATATCACCAAACAACAATCGCAGTGATTAAACTTGCACACCCTAGCACCTCACGAGCCCACCCAAGAGGTCAGAAAAAAACAGAGATAGACTCCGATCAGGATGGAGGCACTCTTGAAAAAAGGCACATAGATTTAGCCTAGTATATCTCACTAAAACCAAGTAATTCATAACTAAGCGACACATAAGCACATCAGCTGAAAGAGTATGCCAGAATCGATTACCACTTTGTTGCAGAAAATTCATGTTACAAAGAAAAGGCTGCAACCGAAGATAATTTTAAAAAGGGGTGGGAGGGAGTAGCATAGAGATGTACATATTTTATGCCTTTCTTACCGTAACCTCTGACTTTGCAAATATAAGCGCTGAGGTTTATTAATGAAGCAACGAAGATTGGCGTATGATCAACTCGTATGCCTCGGGTCGAAGGGCAATATTGGATCTGTTCAACTTACGCACACAGCAGTTGTGGTTGGCAAATGCAGATTGCTCTGTTTCACAGGCGATAAAGAAACGGGTTTGCTCTTTTCTGCCACAGCCATCAGCTTTTCAGGAATGGCAAGGGCTACGGCCAGCGGCTTCAAATCCACTATCTGATTATGGTAGGAGATCAGCTCCTCTGACTTCAAAAGATTGGATGCACGGAGCAGCATTCTCCTTTTGCATAAGCGTTTTCAGAATTTGATGGTGACGCCCTCACGCTTGTTTCTAATTTTAGCTGATGCGTACGGGAGGGGTCATAAATGCAGCCGAACAGCGGAAAATTGAGAGCTTGCCATTTATTAACGCGCGGGGGCAGGAGCTCTCGCGTACAATTTGACGATTTAAATTTTAAACCTTTTTTTAAGATTTTAAATTAAACTCCCATTCGAGCATTGAGTCGTCAGTCGTCACCGTACATTCAATCAGCTTCATGCTTCAGTCCAAAAAAAAACTAGCTTCATCCCGTTTTATTTGGGAAAAAAAGAAGAGAGAGAGAGAGCATTCAGATGCATATATTTAATATTTACAATTTTTTAAAAATAGACCTTGAAAAGGCTTATGATAGAATGTCTTGGTGTTTTGTTGAAAAAGTATTGAATGAAATTGGATTGGATGAACATGTTATAAAAGTCATAAAGATGTGTATTAGCACTCCTACTTTGGCCCTTATGTGGAATGGTGTGAAAAGAGAGGTTCTTATACCTTCAAGGGGTTTGAGACAAGGTGACCCCTTGTCACCATACTTGTTTGTTCTAGGAATAGAGAAGTTAATACACTTGATTGTTGATAGTGTTAATTTGAAGAGGTGGAATCCAATAAGAATGAGAAGAAGGGGCACTGCTGTCTCACATTTGTTGTTTGCTGATGATGTTTTATTGTTCTGTGAAGCGAATTTAGATCAGGCTATAAATATTGTTGAGATTCTAAAGAAATTTGGCCATGTATCTGGCCAAAAGATCAACATAAACAAAACCAGTGTTTTCTTTTCCAAGAATATTGATAGAAAAATACAGAACGAAATTTGTGACTTGACAGGCTTCAAGAAAATGGAGGATTTAGGGAGGTATTTGGGAGCCTATATTACCAAGGGGAGGAGTAATAAGGAGAAGTTTCAGTTTTTAATTGATAAAATGCAGAATAAGTTGAGTGGGTAGAAAAAACAAAATCTGTCATTGGCCGGAAGGCTTACTCTTGTGCAATCTGTGACAAATCAATTGACAAATTTTCAAATGCAGCACTCTTTTATACCTATAGGTGTAAAGAAGCACTTGGAAAAATTACAGTGAGATTTTATTTGGAATAGTGATGAGGAAAGGAGAAAAATTCATGCTATTGGTTGGGATTTGTTGTGTACAAGAAAGGAGAAAGGGGGGTATGGCTTGAAAGATTAGGGTGTAATGAATGATGCTCTATTGGGCAGAGTGGGATGGAATTTAATTGCAAAGCAGAGGAGCTTGTGTTCTATGGTTCTAACAAGGAAATATAGTAGACGTATGAATCAAATTGAGGAATGTACTGTCAAAAATATAGATTCAGAGATATGGAAAAATGTGGCTCGTTTATGGCCTCAAGTAACTCAGTATGTGAGCTGGGAAGTGGGAAATGGTGAGAAAGTTAGGTTTTGGAGGGACTATTGGGTGGATAAAGGAGTTAAGTTGGAAGATGAATGTACAATCCAAGTTGCTGATGTAAATCTGGATTATAAAGTTAAGGATATGGTGGATAATAATGGACAATGGGACTATGCAAAACTGGATATGTGTGTTTCTGAAAAAGGGAAGAACCTTATACGTGCTGTACCGCCTCCTGATGCTGAATATGGGGAAGATGAAGTTAGATGGGGGTCAGCTCTACAAAATAAGTATTGTGTGGCTGATATGTACAAATTACTGAAAAAAGAGGAGGGTGAGGTGGATGTGTTGTGGAGGAAGATTTGGCATTGAAAGGGGCCTAGAAGAATTCAAGTGTTCCTTTGGATGGCTAGTCACAATCGCTTGCTCACTGCAGAAAGGAGAAGTAGGCTAATGGGAGGCAATGCCTTGTGTTACAAATGTAATGTGGAACCCGAGACTACCATGCATGTTCTGTGAGATTGTGTTTGTGCTAAAGAGCTATGGGGACAGTTGGGGGAGAGTGATTACAACTCAAATTTTTACCTGATGAATGACAAAGAATGGTTCAGATGGTGTTTGAGCAATAAAGATGAGAGGAAAGTTGCTGGATTTGGAATTACTTGCTAGTTATTATGGAATTGGAGGAATAAAAGTTTATTTGTGAATGGTTTTGTAATGCCAGACGACAGAAGTGCCATTGTTAGAAGATATGTAGTTGAAATTAGAAATTCTGTGTGCACCAATGATGGGCTTGTTGGCAAGAGGTATGAGAGGCTTATTTGATGGGAAGTTTCGGAGACTGGTTGGGTAAAATTAAATACGGATAGGGCATCCAAGGGTGGGAATATATTGGGCTCGATGTGGTGGACTGTTAAGGGGGTGCAATGGGAAATGGATCAGGGGATTCTCAAGAAAATTGGGATCTTGCTCGGCTATAAAAGATGAAATCTGGGCCGTGATCTCTGGTTTGCAGATGGCGCACATGGCTGGGATCAAGCACCTGATTGTGGAATGCAACTCCCTAGCTGCTGTTAATATTCTGACTAGTATAGTTGATGATTTTGATTGTATTGAAAAATGTAAAGGCTGAGCTAGATATATTTGTGAATGCTAGGATACAACATGTTTATAGGGAAGGCAATACTGTTGTGGATTGCCTTGCAAATTACAGTTTTGAGATAGATATGGAGGAGATGATTTTTGAAAGCCCTCCCCAGGTTGTAGGAAGACTGTTATATGCTGACTGGGTGGGAGTTGCTATCCCACGTTCAGTGATGATGCAATAATATTAGGCCTTTGAGCCCCATACCTTTCACCAAAAAAAAAAAATTTACAATTTTTCTTTTTTTTTTTGGTACTAAGAATTTTGCTTATTTTCATTAGACTGAAAGATACTAACAATTCTTAAGAAACCTCAGGTCCTCACTTTTAATCAGTTTTCTATGATTTTTATCATATCTTTTTAATTTCACTTAATTTTAATAAAAATTTATAGCTTTTTATCTTAAGTTCTCATAATTTCCTCTTATTTTTAATCAGATAAAAATATAAGAACCTGGTTAAAAATTAGATAAAACTATAGGTAATATTATGAAAACCCACAAATTAATTTGCTCACAAATTAAAAACAAGTACTTCGCGGGAAATAAATTAAAAACAAATAATAATATTCATACGTACTCTTTGATGCCTTTGGCGGAAAAGGATAAAAAGGAAAAGAAAAGCACTCTGACATCATAGTATGTCACGCTCGACTGTAGAAGTATTTCTTTTTATTGGGAAAAAGGGGCACAGTTTCGCAACAATTCCTTTCCACAATTCGCATTTGTATTTTACCATAACCAAGTCCACAGACGCCTCAAAAGGAAATGTTCCCCTGGGAGCTCATGCATTAATATTTCAATCAAAATACTGAACACGAATTGTCTACGACTCTACCTCATCTATTAATGGACGAAAGTCGATTTGGTATTCAAATTTGTAAATGAGAGGAGCCTGCCTATCAATCAAATATACAAATACAAACCTCAATATATTACTTTACCATGTTAAAAAAAAAAAAAAAAAATCAACATTACACCCCAACCTCAACCTCGGGGGCTTGAGGACATGGCTGAACCGCGGGAAACCTACAGGCGCCTAGCGCATCTTACAACACCAGTGTGCGGAAGGAATGCGCTTCCCTGTTACTCTTCGTTAGAAATATATGTATGTACAAAAGGGCATTAAACAAGTCAAATGTGACTTAGAATTCCCGTCTCAATTAGCAATCAGGGAGAGAATGAACTCGCCTCAGTGCTATACATCGAGTACTCACTGACGCTGAAGTTTGGTCTCTCTTCATTCCACTTTAAAATCTCTTTAGCATATTTGAGTGCTACGTCAACACTATCAGGCTCCAAACCCTTCACTAGGGATACATACAACTTCCGCCCAGTAAGCGATGAATAAAGCCTCTTGAACTTGACTGCTATGTAATGGGAAGCCAGCTGACCAAGGGAAGGGCTACTGTTGATACTGTTGCTGTTGCTGCTCGAGCGATGTCGGCTAATAAGCGGATGAAAATCAGAGAACCAGTCGCACTGGGTCAATGAAACTTGTTCTATTTTCTCCTCAAATTGATCATATTTGTTTAATATCAGTAGGAAGTCCATCTGATCAAAGGTCGGATGGGTGACGATGGTTTCAAAAAACTTCCTGCTCAGTATCATCTTGTTACAGAGACAACCATTTCCATCAAGGGAATACTGATCATAGTCATTCAAGGCAACACAGAAAAGGACCATTCCCACATCTTCAAACATCTCAAGCCACTTGCAATTTTCCCCTAATCCTTTTGCTTGTACTCTTATTAGTTGATACCTGCGAACCAACCAAAAAGAACCAATAAAATACGGTAAAGGTTAAAACCACTTCATGGCAGTGGGACAAATTCCTCGCTTTCCACGAAATTTATTAGACACAATTGCATTTATGAAAAGTCAGCATCATCGCAAAAGTTTTCCGTCATTAGTCTAGACAAGGCTTTAGCAACAAATGTATGTAGTTGAATGCATCTTTCCAACAAGAGTTACAAGGAACAGAGGTCAACTTATAAGTCTCAATCTGTCAAACACAATATTTCAATAATGAAAACAGGGTGGGCTTTGTCTCAGCACATTTCTCACATATAACAAAAGAAATACACAAAGTTCACCCACCTTGTCAGAGAATCATGCAAGTCAGCAGTATCAACAGTTTCATCAGGAGCAGACTGGGGAAATGAGAACTCAACACAAGCAAGCCCATTGGATGAAGTAACTCCCTCAGCGTATAGAATATCCAAATCTGAGGGTTCATAATCAGGCCTCAATATCTCAACGGCCTAAACAGAGAGTTACCGTTAGAAAGATTGTGGATGAAAAGCACAAGTTCCAAGGTCACTAATTCAACAATATTTTTCTATAAAGAGTAAATAGGAATGGAAGCATTAAGAAGGTTTCAACATTCTAATTCTTAAAGGACTGAACAAAGCAGTTTCTGGGTTTGTTCATTAAGAGCAGTATTAACAGTAACTTTAAGCCCCTAAACTGAAGTCTGGCCTAACAAGTTATCCAAGATTAAAATGTGTCTACGAGGATTGTTCAGGGACAATAAATCAAACTTGTAACTCTTACAATGAAATGCATCAGCCCAATTTCCAGCACGCAATTGTCAATTCTCTCAATCTCTCTGTCCAAGGAACCTTTTTAGAGGGTAAAAAACAACATTAACTAACAGTCTACCACCATTGAAAAACACCTCATGTAGCTATTGAGTTTATCACTCCACAGGTTTGCTCATTTTTCAGGGACAACAAATCAAACTTGTAACTCTTAGAATGAAATGCATCAGCCAAATTTCCAGCACGCAATTGTCAACTCTCTCAATCTCTCTGCCCAAGGAACCTTTTTAGAGGGTGAAAAAACAAATATGAACTAACAGTCTACCACCATTGAAAAACACCTCATGTAGCTATTGAGTTTATCACTCCACAGGTTTGCTCATTTTTCAGGGACAACAAATCAAACTTGTAACTCTTAGAATGAAATGCATCAGCCAAATTTCCAGCACGCAATTGTCAACTCTCTCAATCTCTCTGACCAAGGAACCTTTTTAAAGGGTGAAAAAACAAATATGAACTAACAGTCTACCACCATTGAAAAACACCTCATGTAGCTATTGAGTTTATCACTCCACAGGTTTGTGCATTTTTCAGAGCTGACTGGTTGAAGATAAATTCCTTGAACACAATTAAATTTCTTTCCATGAGAAATTTAGCTAAATTTTGCGAAGACGTCTACATTATGGCACTTCAATGAACTTTCTTTTTTTGAAAATAAAAATTGACACTGGGAAATCACAACCGATCTGTAGAAGATCCTGAGTTCAAACTTCAAACCTGAAGCAATTAAAACTTCTTCACAGATAGCAGTGGTTAATTTGTGTGAGCAAAAACAAATAATGTACCACCACCTCTGCTTATTACCACTGATGAAAACAAATACGTAGGGTTCAGTTCAAATTCAATGGTTAAAACCGAGTGAGTCATCATCTCATTGACAAGATCACATAAAAAAAAAATTAAAATTATTGATAAAATCAATTCAATAAACAAGGCAATGGTCTTACCCGCTCTATGAAATAACTGGCCACATTGGGTAGCATTTCTAATTCCCTTCTTCTTTCATACGTAGCCTTGACAGCAGAGTCATTCCACAACTCCTCAATTAATGGTGCATATTCACGAGTAGCAGCTGGAAAGATAGCATCAAGTTTGCCTGATACCATAGTTCTGAGCAGCCAGTCAGAGAATGCTTTCAACCTTGTGCCAATTGAATAAATTGTTTTGTCGTCAAAATCTGAACAGTTTCCTGCTGAAATCCAAAAATGTGCACCGGTAAATTTTTCATTGCAAATGGACAAGAAGATAAAATCTACTCGATGTGTTGTCATTAAAATCAACAGTGGGAATGAGTAAAAGTGGCCTTCATACCTGCGGTGTTTCCTGCAGAAGATTGCCTGTTCTTTAAAGCTGCAAGGCATTCATCTTCAAAACGTTCACGACCCTCTAGAAGTATGCCTAGATAGGCATAGACATTGCTCTGAATGGTAAGTTTAATATTTTCACGTTCATCTTCAGAGAAAGGGGTACTTTTGTACAGAATCTTGGCCTGACAAGCATTTTACAGTTCTATCAATACACTGATTTCTTAAGTTGACGTGGCACATATCGTATATGATATATATAATCTCATCCAGCAACACTATCGAAAGAAGCCGAATAGTAAAAATAGTATTTCAGCTTTCAACAAGATTCAACAACCAGCCAACCATCTTTCAGGCCACCATCACATGTGGCCGCAAATAAAGAGCAATAAATAGCACGAAAACACCTGATATCTTTCTTTCAGGAATCAAATAGAAAAGGGGGGAGGATGTGAAGAATAAAAACAGATATCAAATCATTCCTCCCCTCATTTTGTTCACAAACAAAAGTCTGGAGTCAACAATGCCTCAATTACTAATTTACCATATTATCTATGTCAATGTCCGCAACAATAGTTTCCCAACTAATGCCAGAATTTGGCCATTTATAATAGAGAAGGGGAAGGAAGAAGACAAAAATCAGCACCCATAGAATGACCTCATGAAGGAACTTTTCCCAAATCTCAAAAGTTTATAGAAATAATTTTTTCCTAGCAATCACAGTAGGTTTTGAAATGGCTAGATACTTTATTGTCATGTTTAGACAAGTCCAAAGAAGCCTTTCTTATATCATTCTCCAGTCACTTAAAGAAATGACAATTTTCATCAGTACATGCTTACGAATCACATTTACTGATCCTAGCTCAAACAAACAAGCATGACCTGATTAACGGACTCAACTATGAAATAATATTCTCACCTGCTTAAAAATAGTGCTCGTTCCAGAACCGCTGTAACCAACTAACAGGAGCTTCTGAACTATTCCATGCTCAAGGTAATCGGGAACTGTTCTGCTAACCGGATTGGTGATTTGTTCTCCGAAAGAATTTGACGATTTTGAAGGAACAGGGAGAGACAGCAGTGCACATACAAGCTTCGTTCCAGCCTAGTGAGTAAAATAGAACTATTAAAAATTCTATCACCGTAAATTCATATATCAGAAACACAGGCAAATAGACCACCTTTCCCCATATATATCCTCTTGTATTCTTCTGTCCCTCTTCTTGGTATGAACCATCTTCATTGACCCAAAAATGTGGGTTGCCAGCACATTGAACCCCTGCCAACTGCAAAACAGAAACAATAAAAATGAAAAGTAAGTATTGCCAGCACAAGATCCCTTTCTCTGGGCCCCAAAATAAAGTAAAGGAAAAGAGTGCGAGATTCCTTGATTAGAACTAGGATTGAACTAGAGAAAGCCCTTCAAAAATATAGCTTCATGCACAGAAAATTCAACCTGCAACATTCGAAGCTCAGCCTTTGTTATTTCTCGACCATTGATGAAAACCTGAGTGTTTCCATTGCTGGCATCCGGTTTGATGAGACCCCCAACATTTAGATGGGGACTAATAATTCTGGAAGGCTTCTGTCCTTCCTGCGCATTTCACCAAAAACACAAAGAAGTCAGTGTCCGCAGTAAACCAAAGAGTGAAGCAGAAAGCAAATTAAAAGAAAAAACAATACCTTCCCCCACAGACCAGATACTTTATCATACCAATAATTTCCTGGCTTAAGCTTCTTCGGAGGATTTGGGCAGTTCAGCAGAGTAACCAGTTCCTCAGGAGAAAGAGAATTTCCATTCACACAAATGTATTCAGCTGGCAACTGATTTACTTCACAAGACCTCTCCGCCTTCATTATCTGTCGAACCTCCAAGTCATTAAGCAGTCGTTTGAGTATCCGAGAACATTTTCCCAAATTCCCTCGTTTTGACTCGTCAATTGGGAATCCTATGCAAGTGACACATTTACGTCCTTCAGGCATTGACCCCATAGCTCTTAACACACAATTGCTACAATACTTTGCATCGCAAACAAGGCAAACTTCTTTTTCAGTGAATCTATTTCCTTTCAAGCATCGATAGCATGACCCTTTCTTTCCCTTTGTTAGAGGTTCTCTTTTCACTGGTCTTGTTTCACTCTCTTCTTCGCATTCCTCATTTAAAGCGTCATCCGAGTCGACGTTGAATGTAACAATATGAGGGCGTATAGAATCACAATCTGGCTCATTGTCACAATCCGCAGTCTTTAAGGAATAAACCCTGGAGGACGGATAATCTAAACTCAACACAGATTCAGTGGAACCCCAATCTTGTTGATTTGAATCATTACAATCAAAACTCTCTTTTCCACAGTTCGAAGTCCTCAAAACACTCGAGCTTCTTCCTGACTTGTCAAAACTGTCGGAAAATTCCCCAGTGCTCAGGCTTCCAGCATCCCTCAGTAACTCGTGCGAGTGTTCGTGACTAATAGAGTTGGAGTCTAGCACCCTGGAGCTGACCGCCACGTCCGACAATTCACCAGAGACGTAATTCCCATTCGAGAACTCAAATGCTCCCGAGCTACTCAATTCACCCGATAACTCACACACATTACCCTGCGTAACACTATCTTCAAAGGCAATCACGGAAGTTGGGGACACTGTTCTTTCGGAACCTAACTCTAGTTCTTTCGACGAGCTACCGCCACCATCCTCCCTACTCGGATCAAAGGCAATGACCGAAGTCGGGGAAACCGAGGGTTCAGAGCCAAGTGGGTTGAGCTCCTTGGAGAATCTCCCCCTCGGAGGTTCCGGCGCCAAGAGCGGTTGGACAACCGGCAAGGATCGTTTATCTGATAAGGGAACCTGAGAAACCACTGCAGCCACCGGGATTTTCTCAACGCTTATGGGCACAGCCTTGGGAAGATCGAAGGCAACCGGCGGTCCGTTATACTCAACAGCGAATGAATATGGGACTCCATCATCGCCCTCGGGCGTCCTAGCAGGAGACATGCTCGATAAATCTAGAAGATATAAAAATAATCTCTAACCCTAATTTCAAAGCAAAGCCAGGTCTCGAACCTCCAATAGGAGGAGGACAAAAACACCATCAAAGTAAGCAGTAGCAGAATCTCCGTCCAAAACGAAACTGAATTTGAAAACAAAGCAAAGAATAGTTTGCAAAAGAAAATAGGGCCAGGGTATAGGTAATGCACAGAAAAAGGAGAAAGAAAGCCTAATGGGCAGTGAGAGCAGAGGGAGGGAGCAATGGGCGAAAGGAGGAAGTAAATAAGATGAAGAGAATGCTACTATGCTAGTAGGAAGGGGCTGACGTTGAGCGCAGGCAAATGGAGGAGAAGGGAAGAAAATGGAAAAAGAGAAAACCAAATCTGGGAAAATCCATAGGAAGGTGGAAGTGGGTGTCGGAGTTGCGCTTGGAGAAGAAAGGAAAAAGGGTAGTCGGGCAAAGTGAATGAGGCGAATGAAAAAGAAACGGCGATGGGGATAGGCGTGGTGGATGGAATCTTTTCTCTCTGTCTCTTCCCTTCTTTTTTATTTCTTTTTTTTTTTGGCTGCATGTTTGGGCTGTGAAGTTTAGGTTAGGAAGGAAAGAGGGTGATGTGGGGTCGGACCTGGTGGGCACTTTGTCCGTTTAGAAGCGGAACGAGGAGTTGGCTTCGGACTTTAGAGGGGCTGGAATTTTGCATTCAACAAAAGAGGGACCCACCCTCATCCTCTGCCGCTGCTGGTCGTTTTAATTGTACCATCTGATTCACCGGGTTTCTCGTGAATTTTTTGGCTGCTCGGATTTGCTTCCCCGCACCACATGCATGGCCCACTGGCTCTTTCCGCACCCTCATCAGTCCCATGATGATTTTTATTTTTTTTGGGAAGAGTCGCATGATGATATTTTGATATGAGAATTAACAGACTAATTTAAATAAATTAAAAAAATTAGTTTAAATAGTTATTTATAATAAATATTTATTTTTTTAAATATTCTTACTAATTATATGTATTAATTAGAACTATCATTTAATGAAGATTTTTAATGTGTATAACTATTATAATGACTACTTTAAAAAATAAATAAATAAATATCAGAAATAAAATGAATTGATATGTTATATTTATGATAATATCAAACTAATTTTTATATTAAACATCAAAAATAATACTTGGATTAGCTTTTTCGAGAGTGATTTTATAAAATCCCGAGGTAAGTCTATGGTTGCCAAACTCCCCCTATAATTATCCTCTCCTCGCTTCAGGGACAAAAAATATCAGCCTCGCCCAAAATAATTTATCCATGGTAGATGGAAATCTATTTCATAACTCCTGACTTGCTACCAAATTTCAGGCTCCGGCGGTACGTGCACGACTTGCTTGGATTTAAGATTTATCAATACTTTCAAATAGTCTTAAATAAGTCAAGACAAAATTCTCTGCACATACGCGGGTCTTGAATTTATTTATCTCTCAATTATAGTTACTTTCAATTTTAAGTATATATGCATTTAAAATAATCATTTCATCGGACGCGAATCAGCCGGTGAAAAAGATTGAAGATTGGTGATGGGATTTTTTTTCTTTTTTTTTTTTTCGGACGACAAAATGATATGCTCAGGTCCCTTGGAGAAGACAAACGTTTTACGATGAATACGTCCGTGCAAAGAACTGTTGACAAAAATGGTCCCCAGGACAGAACTGACGATATTGGTACTTTGGATTCTCTCCGACGAGATTTGAGCGTGCTTACCAAATTAATGGAAACGAGTCGATTGCCAGCCCCTAACCGTTTTAATTTTAAATCTTTTTAGTAATACATTTGTAATTGTAATGACGGAGAAACACGAACGGGAGCCCTGGAGCAGTATTGATTAATTTAATACTCATTTAGTACTAAATATAAAACTCATGCTGTAAGATAATTTACGCCATAAATAAATAGTTTTTCCATTGAGGACAGTAAATGTTAAAATCCAAACTTAGTTCAGCACCATTGATTGGATTACACGGACGTGATTTTGCCACGTTTAGCCACTCACTGAGTCTCGATCCTCAAAGCCTGTGTGGATTTTATGGCACTTGCTGATCAATATCTTCTTGACCCCATCTTTCGCATGGACAACCCTCTGGGATAAGCATCAACACTCTGGCGCTGCTGTTGGTGGTTGTGGTAGGTGGCCGGCGGTGTCTCCGACACCTTCCACTTCTTTACCGACTTGTCCAAACTCCCACTGTATATTATCCATTGTGGCTCTCCGTTACGTGCTTCTGGATCATTCTCCAACGATAGGCACTTCACCGGTCCCGTGTGACTCGTCAGTATCGACGCGCATCTGTGTGCCCCGTTCTCTAGTCTTTTCCACACGCATATCGTCATATCCGCCGATCCACTAATCAACAGCTTCCCCACCGTCGCCAAGCATAGCACCGCCAGCTTATGCCCTCTCAAAACGCCGCCGTGCGACTCCGGTTTCCCCTGCTCCCAGTAGTTAACAACGCCGTCGGAAGATCCGCAATATAGATAGCTAGAGTCCGGGCTTATTGCCAGTGCCGTCACAGCGCACTCTTGCTTTAACAATGTCTGCGAAAAGAAATGCTTCGTTCCTTTTCCTTGAACCTCCCTGCGCCAGACCTTAACAGTGCCGTCAGCCGAACCCGTGAACACCAACCCGTCTGCTCCGACCACCAGAGCGTTGACGGCGTCGTCGTGAGCAGTAACGGATTCTAAGCATTTAAAATTGGACGCTTTCCAGACTTTGAAGGTTTTGTCCCATGAAGCGGAGTAAATAAGTGAGGCGTCTTTGGTTATGCCGAGGCAAGATATGGCATCATGGTGTTTAATCCAGAGAACGCTACGGTTGCGTTTTCCTTCCACGTAATTCCTGGGCTTCATGGAACATTTTATGTAATTTTTGAGAGTCGGCAGGGTGGCGACCCGCTTGTAGACGGTGTTATTCTTGCCGGATACTTTCCAGACGCGGATGCGTCCATCTTGATGACCCGTGAGAATTTCTCGGCCAGCAATAATAATCGCTTTGACTAAGCCACTGTTGGATTTAAACACGGCGTGCTCCTTCTGGTTCTTCCATACCCGAATGTTCTTGCTATCGGACCCTGTGTACAACAAGCCGTCGCATGCCGCCAGGGAGTATATATGGCCTTCTTCTCGGATGAGCGAGCCCAGGAGAACCGTAGAGACGGATTCATCTTCGGTACCGGACGAGGAGGCCGCAGCAGAAGCGCCGGCGCCTGTCAGATGAGAGGACCATGGAGACTTAGGCAATGTCTCATTTTCAGAATATTCTGCTGCCATTGAAAATGTGCGTGTTATGAAAACCTAACTAGTAGTTGCATCTAATTAACGAGATAGAGGATGCTGCATTATTTCTTAACCAGTCATGCTCATTTAATATATGGGTAATGAATTAGACCTGTCTCTATTAATTCCTTCCTGATGAGTTTGATGCAGAGATGGAAAAATTGATGGGAAGGAATTAATAGGGAGACGAGGTCAGATGGTTAGTGGAGAAGGCCGAGAGAGGACGGAGCAGAAGAGGAAAAAAATCATATGCAAAGGGAGGAGATCAAGGGATTTTGTTTGTTTAGGTTTAGGAGGTCAATGTTTTGGAAAAAAACACGAGAGGTCAGCGACGGAGATTATTGTGTGTTATTACTGTTTTGGAATATAGCATTCCTTTCTGGATAATTATTAGATTTCAGATTTTAGAATGGGATGATCGAAGGAGAGTAGATGAATTTTCGGACCTCTTTGGAGCCCCTAAATTTGGGGTATGACTTGGTCAATCAACCAATTAACTATTTTCCATTTTTAACGCCAACGCCATCGTTGTGATATTTCAATCTTTTTTTTTTACCAGTTTTTTCTACGCGAACATTGATATCAAAACACGGATATTGGTCTTTCATGATTAATATCTTATATGATTTGCCTGATGCATGTGATTTATTCGCAGTATCTTCAAACTTTAGGTGACAGGGATAAAAGCGTAGGAGTAACGTCGCAGGTGCTGATTATGACGTCCTTTCAGCTCAAAAATACTCGCAGAAATATTTACAAGTACTACCCGTACTTTAGTCCATGAGGCCGGCCGCGTGCAAAGATGGAGAACCCCCATGAACAAATCTGCGCGTGATTCAAATCATTGCGTATTCAAATAATTTTCCCTGGCCTTCTTGTCTTTAATTTGTGTATATGGGAAGTGGAGACAAAAAAAACTTTGCCGCAGGACGTTATATCTCTCGCTAGATTCGAGTTTGGACACGATATCATTACGTACTTTTGGTGCGTGCATGGGGGATGAGTGAGTGCTTGTTTTGATTTGGAGGTGCTTGGAGATGGATCATCTCATTCCCACAACAGAGACACATCCCTTTAATTAAAGTAAATTGAGCATATGAATCCGGAGTTTATCATTTCGGTCAGCGAGTTCTTCACACAGCATGGTTAATTAACGGAGAAAGCCCACGGACATGGATACTTAGCTTGTATCCATATACAATGATGATGGGATTAAGTCAAACGGAAAGGAGTTACTCCTTTATAATATAACAAATCAATATATAAATTCTTATTGAGAAAGATATCGATATTTAGTATCAGATAGTATTTTTATTTTCAATAAAAAGACACTTGTGCTCATGAGGGGGGGAGGTGCTAAACATTTTTTTTTTAATTAAAGCATAAGTATCCTCCGATGCTTTAACAAAAAAGACACTTGCGCTAAACATTTCGTTCAATTGAGATCCTCCACTTCGGTGCACGGGACCAGCCCAATCATTGAGCTCTCGAATTATTGTCTGTCTCCCCTTTTTAGTATCCGAAGAAAATGTCTCTGTTAAGTTTTCTCTTCACTTTTTTTTGTTTGTTTATTATATCTATTATTAGATTAATGTCTAACAGATGAGATTTAATGCACTATAATATAGTATTATTATACTACTCTTCCGTCCTTATTATAAGACCCAATTTGACTTTTTATTTGGTCCTAATTATAAAACCCAATCCATTTTCTCTCTATATTATGCATTTTTTTCCAAGATAATCCTTCTAATATGATAGTTTTAACCAATATACTTGATTAGCAAAGATATTTTAGGAATAACAACACTTATTTATTATAATAACCAACTTAACTTACTTCCTTAATCTCCTCAAATAAGTCAATTGGGTCTTATAATAGGACCGGAGGAGTATTAAATAATAAAAATACATATAAATAAATTTAATATACATAAATATTATCATAATCACAATAAAGATCAGAGAATTATAAAATATTTTAATAAAAATCTACCAATTATGCATGGATATTCATTTTCTCTCTCCCCCGAGTGCCGGCCAGACTTGGCTGACTCTCTCCGTAATGGCTCAATTGTGTCTCATAGGGAATCTAAGGAATGTGAATTTCGGTTTCATTACTGAGCTTAACAAGTATTACCTCTGATTGTAATTATAATATCGTATTTATAGTTTAAAAGTGGTGTCTTGTAATTACAACCGGAGGTAGTAATTTATTTTATAAAATGTTACTTGAGTTGTGTACTTGTGTTATTCATGTGATATGACGTATTTACTATACTTAGGTTTTTGAAAAACAAATCAGTCGAATAATAATTTTGACCCCAGCACACACATGCTAGTTTTTTAAAAAGAAAAATAATTTGTTGTTAAAAATATCATTTATTCTCCACCGGGATGGTATTTAGTGATGTGATTATTAAAAAAAGTGTCTGGCCATTCATCAAAGCTGGCAGCGGATTAAGTGCGATTGATTCTTAAATCTTTGCCTTTGTCACGTGCTAAAAGAACGGTTGTTGCCAAATGCTGCATGGTATTTTCTTTTTTCTTTTTTTTTTAATTGGAAGTTGAGAACGTTAGGAAACTGCGTCAAGGGCAAGGGCTTGTTAATTTGTATATGGGTTCAGTAAGCATTTATAAAAACTTTCATATAAAATCGACACAAAACTCTCATTACTTATCTCGTATTTGATAAAACATGATTGAAAAATTATTTTTAAAGAAATCACGATTCCAAACAACGCCTAAACATGTGAAGGGAGAGTCTCAGGTCACAAAATCTGATGTGTGGGGAGAAAGACAATAATAAGCCGGAAATACCTTTTCCAACTAAGATTTGGGTTCAATAGCTCAGATCTAAATAGTTAGAAACACTAGGTAATGGATTTTTACTAACGGAAGATCGTAATTGAAGCTAACAAAAACAAAAGAATACAAAATGGAGAGTCAATTATCCACCTCCCTAATGAAGGGGGAATTAGATGTCAGTAACAACAATGATCAGCATTATCAGCATTCAATTCCCGTGGCTGCCGACGAGGGAAGGATAATACTCCCTCCATTTCTTATTATACGAGACATTTAATGTTTATGGTATATTCTCATATATAAGAGACATTTAAAAGTTGTTTCTATTTTTTTGTATTGATTTCCTATTTTACCCCTATTTATTTTGTTTCCAACTCATACTCTCTCTCCCTCCCACTCCTTTTTCTTTTAATAATTTAATTGTTCTCTTTCATACTCTTTCTCCTTATTAATAAGGGTATTGTTGTAAAAATATTATACTTTTTACATATTAATTGTTTTCAACTAATTTTAACTGTTTTTCTTATCAATGTAATTTGGTTATTTGTCTCTTATAATAAAAAACGGGGGAGTATAATCTAAACCCACGGAGGGGGATAGTATACGAGTCACTCAACCTGAAAAGCCATAAATGTTTAATTAAAGGGGAGTAGAAGATGGAAGGTTGCGCCCTCTGTTTAGTTTGTTTTTAGTCTTTTCGTAGGCCATAAGCCCCCTGTTTAATAGGAAACAGCATGGATGCAGCCCATTGTTTTGGGGTGGCCTTGTCACTTGTTTTGTTTGGACGAATCGAGCAACCATCTCCTCCACCTTTCAGCGGCCTCCAACTCTGCCCCCTCCGTTTTTTGTCTCTTCTCATACCACTAATCTATCGCCAACTACTTTTTTCCTCCCTTGGCCAATAACTTGTGCTCTAATAATCTTGCGTCTTATCTTTAGATGCGGCGCTTTACTGGATTCAAATTTTATAACTTTCCATTAATCTTTTTTATTTATTTGATTCAAATTTTAAACCTTTTTTTCCCCTCACGCTGCAGCCCGCCCCTCAATTTTGCATTCTCTTTTATACTTCGACAGGGGTTGCTTTACAAATCGTAAATTTTTCTTTTCGCCAAATAAAGATGCATTTAGATTTTTGCGAAAGCTAGGCTGTGTTCGAGTAACCGCCTTTTTCTCCACACACAGGCGTCCGCGGATAATCAATCATGAAATTTGATTCTTTCTTTCCGTTGAGGTCTTCATCCTTGATCCTTCCCTGTTGATGCATATGTATGCACCAAAACAATTTAAAAAAACCATACTACACGACAAACCTAACAGGTATTTAGATATAAACTAAATCATGGTTTTAGAAGTGATTTTACTACAAATAAATATGTGAATGAGTTTATTTCCAAACACCCTTCTAATCTTTCAAAACCGCACAAAGTATGCAGTTTTTTGAATTTTAATTCAAGAGTTTTTCACGTCTTTATATTCTTTCGCAAAAAGACAATCTGGCCCCAGAAAGAGGCAGTGAAACGTGACAAGATACAGGGCGGCCAAGTGTGGTCCATCGAGCGACCTGAATATTTCTGATGAAGTTTCAAAGAATGTTTGAGTGGAAATAAAATTATGGTTTTAAAAATATTTTTACAGTATAAAAAGTAAACGTATAAAAAAATTTACCGAAGAAGTGTTTTTTAAAATCATTTTTTTTAATAATGCAAACGCGGCAGCCGTTTCGGTTTGCGTTGCTTGTAATGGCAAGCTGAAAGGGTGTGACGTCGTTTTGAGAAAACCAGTGGCTTTCACACCCCTGAAACCACTTGCCGTCCTCGAAACAGACAACCCCGCTCATTTCTCATTATATACACAACTCCCCTGCCATTCTTGCTCTTGTGCATATCCACTCTGTTTTTCTCAAGTGAGAGAAAATGGCTTTCATGAGTTCCGAAGGAGGATGCTCGTCTTTGTCGGAGAACGACGAGATCAGCAACCTCGATCATGGACCTGTCTCCAACCAGCTTCACTTGAAACCTTGTTCTAAGACCTCGTCCCAGGGCCTCGACAAGAACCTTGTACTCCGACGTATCCGTCACCACAAAACCTTAAACAAAGTGAAAAGCGCTCTCGACTCTCTTCTGCACTCCTCACAACCCCAAACGGCCTCCTCCCAGGGTCACACCACCTGGCTCCAACAAGACGACGCCTTCTCTTCTCCTTGAACTGCATCTATTACTCCCCAATTTCCCAATTTTACATGCAAATCAACTTCTCAAACTATATATATGTATGTATGTATCTATGTAGCAGCAGAATTCATTCACTTGCTGAGCTTGAATTGTATGATGCCATAATTAGGGATTGCTGTTTCCGCATGAAAATTACATATACAGCAAATCAACCCCTCATCGTGTTCCTTACTGAATTCCAGATTTTGTTTCATCCTCTTTGTGCATTCCAAAAGGACTAAGCATCGTCGCCCCAACACACACCAGTGATCGAATATCATTAGCTTCCTCTACTAAGATGTTCATTATCAGTGAATTCTATGCCCCAACTTTTACTAAAAATATAATAATGAAACGCGTCATATATCAACATAGAGATGATAGAAATCGCTCGCTTTTTTTGGGGGAAAAAAATTCGTGGAATGTTTTCTTCAGGTTGTCATTTTGGCAAGAGAAAACTTTTACTTGGTATGTAAAAGAATCGCAGCCTTGCTGTCAGAGAACTTGCAGGTCTCAAACAAGCATAAAGAATTGCCCAGGCGAAAGAAAAACCATGCTCCTCACGAGCTGCAAGCACGAGAAGCTTTTATCGCTGATGTAGAAGCAATCCTGCAATGTAAACTAAGCCGAAATTATAAGTTGTGTCAGATAAATCATTGCATATCAACTAAGTAATGCAAAACATAGAATAGAAAAGCTGACGAAATTGGATGCTATCTGGAACCCTATCCGTAAAAAACACTCTGGCTTGTAAGATGGACAGAGAATAAAATAAACCATTAATTCTGGGAAACGCCTGCTTGTGCTCGTGCTCATTTCCCTTTGCGGGTTGGCACACACGAGGGGCACAAGACTGCGGAATTATTTTGTAAAGGGCTGATCTTGAGCTTCACTTTATTTCCGATATCTGGCCAAGTATGTGGCTGGGTCAATGGCCTGGTACACGGATGATCTATGAAGCCATTCATCAATTGGGCCTTGGTCCAATAAATCTCAACCATTTTTTTTTCCTGTCATTTTAAATTTATTCATTTTGTAAAACGAACTTTCCACTGTGCGAAATAGAACCTGAGAACTCAACTCTTTATAATATAATGCTTCAGATGGAGTTTTTTTTTTTTTTTTTACAAAAACAAACTCATCACTTATTCTATGTAATACCGTTTGATATCATATATGTGATGTACAATTGTGCGTCGTTATGATGGACGAGAGACTTTCGACATGCAACAATGCATTATAAGTACAAAAGAAATAAGTGATGAGTTTATGGTTTATTATATTTACTCGTGCAATGATGCTTCTATAATGCATGTTAAACTGGTCCTAAAACCATATTTAAATACCAATGGAAATAAAAAATCATTCTAGCAAGTTTATTCAGATGAAAATCTATTTTTCTTTGTTCATACCCATCAATACCCAACTTTCATTTTTCTAAGAAGCAAAGGTATTTTTCTCTTGAATTGCCTTATACTATATCTAATTTTTAATATAAAAGCTAGTTGACTAATTTAAATAGATTAAAAAAGTTTGTTAAGTTAGTGATTTGTATTAAACATGTATTATCTTCTTTAGAATACCTTTGCTAATCACGTATATTAGTTAGAACTACTATTTGATAAAATTTTTAACATGTACAATCACGACAATAATTGTTTTAGAAAAAAAGATAAAAATAAATTACAAAATAAATTAAAATTTTATATTTAAAATTAAATTAAAAATTAAGCAACGGAGGCAGTGTAATGTATTAAATGGATCCAGACGCTATCTTTAGTCATCAATGAAAATGAAAGTCACTGACTGCGTTTATTATGACTCGACTTTGGTGAGTATGTTTCTGTTGTTGTCCATCACACTCAATTCAGACATTTAAAAAAAAAAAAAACTATTGTGTGAATCAGTATATGGGATTCAAGCATCGTTGCGTAAAAATATCGTCTGATTATTCATCTGTTTGACTAACCCGGAGGCCCAACCGAACCGACCACGCGGTTCCATCTCAGCTCCCTAGTTAAGGTAAGCCAAAATGTCATGATAATTCATAGCTCGGGCACACGCTGTTTGAGTTGTTTGCCTAACGTTGCTGCTGGCGCACAAATATTGACAGTATAATTTTTAATTCATCGCATTATTTTCTTAATCTTAACTGTTAATATCATGGTTTTGTTTTTATCCGACGCTGTATTAGTTAATTTAGAGAATACAACAGGATTGCTTTCAGCTTCAACCAAACCAATTTGGAAGGCAAACATATAATAACAAAAAAATTTTGCTCGACACGACCATAGAAAATCTAATCATCCCAGCTCACTCATCGTGAAATAAGGAATAGGAACCAGCCGCTTGACCCGTTCCTTACAAAAACAGATTAAAATGCCGAAAGGTCATCGGCTTCCAGGCGTATGATTAAATATAATGGAGCGCGACAAATGTGAACTCGAAAAAAGCCACGGCATGTTACGGATTGGAAGGACACGTAATCACGTAATTGTGTCATCCAGACAGCCGAAAAGGGGGACTTAGCTTCCCTCCTCCTGCCCTGCCTACCCTTAGATCCGGCAAGGTAACTTTGTCTGGTTGTAAATTTTCACGGATGACACTCCACACATTATCCCAACCGTTGAAATTTTGATAAAAGGAAAAGGGGGGAGGGATGCCAAATTCCGAAAAGGGCAGCATCATGAAAGGAAGAAGAAAGCCACGGCACATGACTGGAGACTGGGTTTGCATTTGGCTCCCCAGGCCCCCCGGGAAGGGGGGGGTGTGTAACTAAGTACTAACTCCACTCTTTAATATTATTTTCGATTCTTAATACTCCTCCGATCCTTAATATAAGACCCATTTAATTAATTTGATTAGATTAAGGAAGTTAGGTAAGTTAGTTAATTATAAGAAAAGTGACACATTTTTCCTAAAACACCATAATCATCTTTCTTAATATCCCCTCTCCCTTTTCTACTTGATTATGGTTGAGGAATTATCCAAAGGGGTAATTTAGAGAAAATTAATAAATATGAAAAATGGGTCTTATATTTAGGACCAAAACCAACTCAAGAATTGGGTCCTATATTAAGGACCGGAGGAGTATAAAATATTGTTTAATTTTTATTTTGGTCCTAAATATAAGACCATAATCTATTTTCTCTCTCATATTTATATATTTTTTTTCAAAGTAGTCCTTTTAACAATGATAGTTCTAACTAATACACTTGATTAGCAAGAATATTTTAGGAAAAACAACATCTATCTATTACAAATAACCAACTTAACTTCTTTTCTTAATCTCTTTAAATTAGTCAATTAGCTCTTATAATCAGGATCGGGGTAGTATAAGAACTAGTTTGATTTTTAATTTAGTTCTAAATATAAGACCCCAATTCATTTTGTGTCTCACATTTATCCATGTTTTACAAAATAGTTCCTGTCTGTAATGGTTGCATATGTTAAAAATTCTATCAAATGGTAGTTCTAGCTAATATATATCTTTAGCAAGGGTATTTTAAAAAAAACAGCACTTATTTATTACAAATAACAATTTTAATAAAATTTTCTAATATACTCAAATTAGTCAATTAGTTGTTATATTAACAGCATGAGCTGGTATTATACTGTTTGCTTTTGCCGATTGGACCCGGCTAGGAACATGTTCTTATAACTTATTTAGGGGGTGTTTGGATAGAAACCAAACCATGGTTTCAGAAGTGTTTTTACGGATTACGAAATAAATATGTGGAGGAGGTTACCTCGTTTTGCGGAAAAGTGATTCTGAAACCTAGGTTTTGGTTTTGCCAAACACCCCCTTAATCAGGTGGCGGTGGAGTTTCATCCTGCCGTCCTTAACCCGCGTACGCTTCCATCACCCTCCTTCTGTTTCTGACTGTGTGTTTAAGATGAAATTTCAACTAGATCTTCAAGTTGATTATGATTACCACCGCATGGTATATTTGACGCGCCATATATGCTGACCTAATATTATGGCAAGAACTGGTTTAATTCTCTTATTTTACTTATTATTGTTTTAAAAAGATTTAACTCAGGCGTAAATCTAGTGTAATAAAACTACCTATCAGATAAGTCAACCATTTGCAGGAAGAGGTAAGCAGGGAAGTTTCGGTTGGGGCGCATGTCACTGCTACCAAACATGTGAGAGGATAGTGTTGAAACTTAAAACAAACGAAGTTGGCCCATTTAGATGTTTGCTCACGCCAACCTTGAGAGGATGATCTATAGATTAATAACATAGTGGCGTGAAGCAAGTAATGGTGATGAGCTGCCAAGTTGGTGTCCGCGCACAACACGCCCTATTATATGACCTTTTTATGTTTTGGTCACTCTTTTTTATTATCTTTCCTCTGACCATCACTATCGTATTCCTCCCGCTTTCGCTCGTCCCCCCCCCCCCTCCAATTTATTATTATATAAGTTGGGTCATTTTCTACTATGTGTGCACATATATAATCACATACATCTCACAGATCTATCATTCGTCTGGCAATGGATTTATTCTGATCTCCGTTTTAGACAGTAGTGGAATGGCTTCCCTACTTTATTATGTGGCCTGTTCTGTAAATGCCCATTAGCCCCACCTGAGCATGGAGTTAATATATTGAAGATGTCCTCAACTGGGGACTACAGTTAAAGGTGGCAGTGACAAACTGGAGAGATGAAGACAGAATAGTCAACATCTTTGTTTTGGGTGGAAGAATCTGGAGATATGGAGAGAGGGCCAAATCCAGTCAACTATTTTGGCTGGGGAAATAGTTATTGTGAATGTCATTATTATTATTTGGGTCTTCATATTTTTCAAAACCCCGTTTTTGCAACTGTTGTTGGGTGGGGGCTTGGATTATATACCCATGAAAGCCACCGGAGTCAACCCCACTATGACTTTTTCGCCGTCGGCCATCGTTGTCTCCTTCCGTTTCATCATACTCCCCTATCTTCGCTCCCAAGGCATATCTCTCAGCCTTCTGCTCTTATGCAATGATGATAATAAATAATAAATTTCCCATCAATTTAATGTCAAATTCATTCTAATCTGGAATAGATGGTATTTTCCTCATGCGAAGGACATATTCGTCATTTGACTGAAATCCTTTAAAAAATGATTGTCCCTATTCCACGACGATCCTGAGAGTGGGAACGACCGGGACGGCTCAAACAATTCTTGGACCTGCCTTCCTGTCTCTTGTTTTATTTTCGACCCAACCCTTTTAGTTTTCAGTATTTACACAGTCGCTGGAGAACAACGTTGAAAGTCTGCTACTTTTCTCCTCTCCTTTGAGTCTTAAATGAAAATTTATTGTCCTCCGTATTCAAATTTGTTATGTTCGAGTAGCGAGTTATTTCTTCAGCGGCCGCAGCCATTCATTTCAACCATCGCAGAAGCTTGAAGGTATGCATATTTATTAGTTCACGACCGTCCCTTTAAAACTGAGGGAAACAAAAATTCAAATCTTCATTTTGATCATTTATTGAAAGTCATGGCTGCCCAACGGCATCTATCGCAGGCTTTTACTACTGCTCATTTAATCACGCAACTTGATCAGATACTCAAACGGATCCTGAGATTTTCAAAGCTAATGAATCAAAATTCATAATTTGAGTCTCAGGCAACTCTGGTTTTTCTTATTCGGTCGCAGAAGCTGATGATTTTCCTGTCTGCTCAAATATATACCAGTTCAATTTGCATCCCGCAATGTTTCATTACCGGAGAAGTTTCTCTATTCTTCTCACACTCTTCGTGATTTGCTCTACAAAAGCCGAAAACCAGACCACATGCCAGACCAAGTGCGGAGACAATTCCTTGCCGTATCCTTTTGGGTTCTCTGATGGTTGCCAAATCCAACTGAACTGCAGCCTCAGCAATAACCAAATGCAAATTAGGGAGTTTGTGGTTCAGAACGTAACGTCTAGCAGCATATTCATCCATCTCCTGGCGAAGTGCAACCGCACCCTGCAATCCATTGGGCCCCTTTTCTCTGCTAACTTTGCTCCCACAGAGAACAACAGCCTCCTCGTGCAAAATTGCACATCTGCTCTTGGCGGCTGCGTTATACCCACCTCAAGTTTTATGAGCAATCAGATAAAGTTGGATGGCTGTGATAACAGAAGTGATAATATAAGTTGCTTAACGCGAAGCCAAGGCCAGGAAGCTTTTGATGTTCTGAGATTTGAGGATGTGATCCAAAGTGGATGCAAGTTCTTGTTCTCGTCCATAGCTGTTGACCAGAGGAAAGAGGACCCAGATGTTTCTCTGCAGTTTCAAATGCTAGAGCTGGGGTGGTGGCTTGAAGGCCCGTGCCAATGCTCTCCCAGTGCCAAGTGTACAAATGTCACCGTGGCCCCCGGAAAGCTTGGATATCGGTGTGACTGTCCTCAAGGTTATCTTGGAGATGGGTTCTTGAATGGCACCGGTTGCCGGAGACCAGGTGAGTGCACCCCGTTGTTGAAAAGATTTTATATTATTTTATATATTGATTCTCATAGATATATATTATAATGGTAATGGATGGTCGACTAGCGATTCAGAAATGATGATAAAGGCACTTATTTCAGTTTGGGAATAATGAAATGATTATCAGCGTGTGCTTTATGCAAAGGCCACCAAGGCTTTATTTGATTTGTTGGGTCGTATTTGGCGTACCAACTTTTGCTGCGGAATAACAACATTCATCACTTTGAATATTAGGCACTTATAGACCATGATGGCCGTATTCCTCTTTACTTGTTTAGTTGCCCAGAATGTCTTGATGTCATTTCAGCCAGTCAGACAAGTCCCCTAATTTTGAGCAGCTCAATTTGAGATTGTTTAGTAATCATTTGCGGGTAATGTTATAAGGGGGAAGAAACTTTCCTACGGCAACCAAATCCTGTAATCTTAATCTTGCGTAATCAACAATAATGTATTTACCAGTTATGAGAAACGTACGCTGTTGTTCAGAGAAGTAACTTGCGGAAGAAAGAATACTAGAAAAGTCAAAGTTTTGTAGCTGCTCCATCAGTATGGATCAAGATTAGCCAGAGCACGTGTCTGGTAGGATGTGTTCAGACTTTTCTATTAGCTGGCCAAAGGCAAGGATTAATGACAATGCATTCGCAACGTGAGAAAATGCACCAGGGCATCACCGACATATTTTAATTAATCTCTATTTTGCCGACAAAAACCCAAAAATAAAATAAAATCGAGGCTCTTGGCATTTACCCTTCTTCTAGGTGAGACGTGAGAGATTCAGTAAAATTAAGCAGTAGTGTTTGAGTTTTGAATAATGTATGGTAGCTAACCCTCTTCCAGATATTTTTGGGCCTTAATTACAAATATCTTATAACTCGCAAGTCTGTGGAGTTAGATTAGGAGACGTCTCTCTGCTTGTTGGAAGTATATCTTCGCTTATTTCTTCCTCTACTTTCACTGTCTCATCAGTTTCTCAGTGCAACGCTTCGACAGTGACCTCTGGAGGATGTGGAGGAGCAGTTAAAGTCGGAGTTCTTGTTGGAGGTACAACCACTTCTCTTTTTGGCACCTCACAGCCAATTTCATTACTTCATGAAGTATTTTGATTGACCACCATGATTCTAATTGTTGTCTTCACAGGGATCACCGCTGGAGCGTTGATAGTAGCAATTCTGTGTCTCCTAGGTTATTATGTACGACGCCGTTCCTATTGTTTGAAGAAGCAAATGACTGTAAAGCGCCTGTTGCGTGAAGCTGCAGGCAACTCTAGCGTTCCTTTCTATCCTTACAAAGACATAGAGAGAGCCACTAATTTTTTCTCAGAGAAACAGAGGCTTGGAACTGGGGCTTTTGGTACAGTTTATTCAGGGAAACTCCACAATGATGATTTGGTCGCCATTAAAAAAATAAGACAGAGAGACCCCAATAGTGCTGACCAAGTCATGAATGAAATCAAGCTCCTTTCTTCTGTGAGTCACCCAAATTTAGTTCGTCTACTGGGCTGCTGCATTGAAGAGGACGAGCAAATACTTGTTTACGAGTTTATGCCCAATGGAACTCTGTCTCAGCATTTACAGAGAGAGAGCGATAAAGGGCTTCCATGGACAATTCGGCTCACTATCGCCACCGAAACTGCTAATGCTATAGCATATCTCCATTCCGCCATTGACCCTCCAATCTATCACAGGGACATAAAATCCACCAATATTTTGCTGGATTACAACTTCAACTCCAAAGTGGCCGACTTTGGGCTTTCCAGGCTTGGCATGACCGAAATATCACACATCTCAACCGCCCCACAAGGGACTCCAGGCTACGTGGATCCTCAATATCACCAAAACTACCATCTTTCTGATAAAAGTGATGTCTACAGTTTTGGAGTGGTTTTAATAGAGATAATAACAGCCCTCAAAGTGGTTGATTTTGGTCGACCTCATAATGAGGTTAATTTGGCTGCACTCGCAGTCGATAGAATCAGGAGGGGCTGTGTGGACGAGATCATAGATCCCTTCTTAGAGCCGCACAGGGATGCTTGGACGCTCTATTCTATTCACAAAGTAGCTGAGCTTGCATTCAGATGCTTAGCTTTTCATAGCGACATGAGGCCTACTATGATGGAAGTGGCAGAGGAGCTAGAGCACATCAGACGCAGTGGCTGGGCAACTATGGAGGAAGCCATATGCACGGCATCGTCGGTTGGGTCGGCCCGTTCATCATTACCAGATAAAAGCGAGAAATCGTTTAGTGATGTTCAAGGTGATAAAGAACGAGTAGAGAGTGAGAGATTGAGTGTTCCAGAGAGGGCAGAGGTGAGGGATAGTTCCCCTGTATCAGTGCACGACCCTTGGTCAAGTGGACATAGCTCGTCTTCAACGAATAGCTTGTTGGGAAATGCACCTCCATGACCTACTCTTCAGCTGCAGTTTGTACTAACAAGCCAAGGTCCAATATAAAATACCACCATTTATTTGGATCAGCAAAATGTTCATACCAAAGACCACAACTAGTACCTGATTGCCTATGTAAAGGGAAGCCTCAAATGACATGCACATCTTTTTTGTTCTTTTAATTCGTCATCTTATAAAAATCTTTCAACCACTTCTATTTATAAACAAAACAGACTTATAAACGGCCAAGATCCACACTTGAGATGTATAATTATGAATTCGGTATTTATAACCATCGAAATAACAAAAACTTCGGGTGTGCCCTTCTGATAAGTTTAAATACGTTTCCAGAATAATCACACTAATGCGATGTCATGATCCACTCGTCGCTAAATCTTCCGTTCCAGCTACGAAGATCTCCTTCCCCTGCACTGTTCACTGTCCAACTCATTGCCACCATGAGCCATCGCCTTGAACCAGCCACCATCTTCCCCCCTGGCGTGCTCGACCAACTCAAATCTTGTTCTCGCTTTCTCTTTTCATTGAAGGTCCTGTGCCCAAATCTCCAGGACTGAGATTTCGGCTGATTTTTTGACAACATTCTCTGCATGTACGGCTACTGGCAATTTTTTTTTAAAAAATAATGCCATGATAAATGTGTGATTTTATATTGATTGAATTTTGTAATTATGATATGTTTGTTTTATTTATTTTTAGGGTGGTAACGCGTATGGCGATTTTTTTTTTTGTTAGCGCCATTTTCAATTTGGGCGCTGAACGAAGCGGGTAAAGTAGTTTATTCGGGTCTTTTTTCCCCGACCCAGACTTTTCGAATATGTAATTATCACTGCCATTTTGCGCCCGAAGACGTTTTGAAGCTCACATTCAAGAGAGAAACCCGGCAAGTGGCAAGCCTCGCCCCTGAAGTGAGGATCCTATATTCTTTCTTCCTCTTCATCTGAAATTTAAACTCGGCTGAAGAAGCACCAACATCTAAATTTAGTAGCTATGGCCGAACAAACCGAATCCCAAAAGGTCCAGGAAACCCTAAACCCCAATGCAAATGACAAAAACCTCAACTCTGAGGAAGCCACCTTAGAATCCGACTCCGGCGCCTTGGGTGGCACAGAATCAACCGTCACTAATCACAATGCGGCTGAAACTTCGGCTTCGGCTTCTGACGTCGATTGTGAAAGGTCCCTGGAGCATGCGGACGAGTTGTTGCAGCAGGGATACAAGGCAATGAAAGAGAACGATTTCAGCGAGGCAGCTGAAAACTTTAGCCGTGCTCTTGAGATCAGGTTGAGCCTTCACTTTCTTTGTTTACATGGTTGCTGTGAAATCTTAATTCTTGCTGTTTCTCTCGAATTTAGTTCCTGAAGAAACCGCGGGAAATAGAAATACTTATCTTACTGCTTCACACTAGTTCTCTCCTTTCGTTTTTCGATACTGTTTTCTCCAATCCATTGAAAATGTTTGTTTGTTTAGCCATTTCAATTATTTTCTCCTATTAATCATTTTTGTGTGGAATTTGGGGGACCGGTGCTTAATTGGTAAGCTTGAGTTCTTAAGTGTTGTGAATATAAGCTGTGGCGGTTAGCGTTTATGCAATAAGAATGAGAATAAGATTAGTGAGATTCTCACAAAGACAGACTAGCACGCGAATGCTGCCTTTATTTATTTATCTAATTTTGGCCAACAGCGCTGTCTTAATTGAAATCCTGCTTAGTTCGCGTTTAGCTTTTACTTATTTGCTTTTGTGAGATAAACATGTCAGTGCTTTGTCAAGGGTCAACCTCAGCGATTTATGTGATTGATTCCGTAGAACATACACTTATCCAGTTTCCTTTTTAAAGCCTTGATATAGTTATCAATCGAGGCAACTTATCAACTTTATCTTTGTAACTATCAATTGTTTTGTCTGATATGGGCTATCATTTTGTGATAACCATGCATGCTTTGTTAATTAAGTGTTGTTTTGGCTGCTTGCCCTTCAATGACTGTTTAAGTTGTCTAAATCAATAGAGTTGCCAAGTTTGGTGAACTTGCTCCTGAATGTGTCCACACTTACTACAAATACGGGTGTGCGCTACTATACAAGGCCCAGGAGGAAGCTGACCCCTTGGCTGATGTTCCCAAGAAGGAGGGTGAATCTCAAGAAGGCTCCACTAAAGATGGGTCTGTTAAGAATTCTGCAGCTGAATCTTCCACAACATCTATTTCAAGCAATGCTGAGCAGGATGTGAATTCAAATAACCAGGATGCAGCATTAGATGATGGTAAATGTGCTACTTCTGGTTTGTACTGATAGGTGGATTTAATGCAGTTCACTTCTCTTTCGTTCTTGTGTTAAAATGCTCTAATAATTGCTTTTCCCCTCCCTGTGATGCTGTGGTGGTAACTTTTATGATAATATCGAACTTGTTTCTCATTGAAAAAGTGCAGGTTATACTTCACGAGATTGTGGGTTTCCTGTTTGATATACTATTTTGGCATGCTTTCGTCTGCTTCTGTCACTAATTGTTGGTGATAAGAGAGAGCGAGGTGGGACGGAATAAATAATATCTACTATTGCACCTTCTATTTAGAGTAACAATATTATAATGTTTTATGTATAATATGCCATGGTGGTCTGCATTCCCTTGTCGTTAATGTAGCACCACAAGTAAGGGAGCGGCTGGCAAGGGAGAGGTAAAGGGACAAATATCTGAACATCTATGCTTTCACATAGAGAAATGAGTGTAATTACTAGAGTTCTGAATTTGATTTGTTTTTAAATGTCCCAAGAGTGTGGTATTCAAGTGTTTACTGTACAATGTCTAAGTAGTGTCGCAATATAGTTGTAGTTAATAGAGGTCAACATCAAATTTAAAATAACATATTTGCTGTTAGATTCAATGATTTGCAAATTCAGACACATTTATCGCATCTGTTTACTTGTGAAGCGACTAAGATAACAAAAACTAAAATGTCAATGAAGTGACAAAGTGGTATAGAAGGCTTGCAGATGGAGCATTGCCACAGGTTATATGATAAATTCTGGTTTTCCAGTTTATCTAATCTAATTAGAATTTCCTTCTGCGGTACATGCTATGAGAGATTTAAAAAGGACTATTGCGAGAGTATAGGATAAAAAAGCTCATGGTCAGTTTATACAAGTAAGGAAGCTTGAGAATACAAATATGTAATAGTGTCTTCTGAAATTGTTGTGATATGCCAAGTTTGATGATGCTACTTGTCTAGTGGAATGAATCTAGCATGCAATCATTTTTGTAACTGTATAATTGGTAGCATCATGTGTCATTTTTAAGTATTTTTTTAATTATTTCATAACCCCCAGGTGTTTTTCCATATAAAATGGGTTTATAGTATTAGTCATACTTTTTTGTTTTTTTAAAAAGCAGCGTCGACAAAGGAGGACCAAGAAGATGACAAGGATAGTGATGATGAGGACTTGGCTGAAGGTGATGAAGATGAGTCTGACCTGGATTTGGCCTGGAAAATGCTTGATATTGCAAGAGCCATTGGTGAAAAGCACTCTAGCAATACTTTGGAACATGTGGACATATTGTCAGCATTAGCAGATGTTGCACTGGAAAGAGGTTCTTGAATTCTTCTTCTTCTTCCTTTTTTCTTGGCCTGATAAATTCATTTAATTTAGTTTTAACCTTACCCTTTCTCTCATCCCCTCACCCCAAAAAATGAATGAATGGCAATAAGGCTCTGACCTTGCTGAAAGCAGGATTTTTTCTCTATTGTTTACTGTACAGAGGATTTTGAAACATCTCTCAGTGATTACAAGAAGGCATTGTCTATCCTAGAGCAGCTGGTTGAACCAGACAATAGAAAAATTGCTGACTTGTATCCTTCACTTTCATGACATTCCCTTGTTTTGAGATGTGATATGACTTGACTGACTGAAGCGTCTAGGCCTAACCTATGTAAATTTTAGAGCAATCTGAATCAAGTTTAGAGATTTCAGTAAATTTCTGAATGCAGGTTACTGAGCTGTGTGATTTAGGAATGCGTAGTTTGAAACCTTAAGTGGCGAATACAGAAATTTCCGTATATGTTTGTGTCTGGAGGTTAATTCTAAGCCTCAAGAAGCGATGTCATATTGCCAGAAGGCTGTGTCTGTCTGCAAGGAACGAATATACCGCCTCGCAAATGAAGTCAAGAGTCTCCCAGAATCTGATAATTCAATTGCAGATAAACAAGCAGAGATTGACACACTCACAGGTCTCTCAAGTGAGTTGGAACGGAAGGTAGGCTCAGTAAACTTCTGGAAGTTTTTAAATATTTTCTTGTGCTGCTGTTTTGATATCAAATTTATGAATCTGTTGAATTATATGCAGCTTGAAGATCTGCAACAGCTGATTTCGAACCCAAAATCAATTCTCTCTGAGATTCTTGGATTAGCAGCTGCCAAGGTAGGTGCAGGGAGGGCACCATCATCTTCAGGAGTAAGTTCTTCACAAATGGCTACTGCTAATAGCAGTGGAGGTTTTGACTCTCCAACTGTTTCCACTGGTCATTCAAATGGATCTACTGGAGTCACGCATCTTGGTGTGGTAGGAAGAGGGGTTAAGCGAACTTCGAGTGCCAGCATGACAGAAGCAAACCCAATGAAGAAACCATCGCTAGAATCATCCAGTGATAACAATGATGGACGGACCTCTTGATCTATTTAGGTCTTAGGGCTAATATGCGGAGATTTTATTTGGAAGGTACTTAAAAATCATGGAGGCTTTCTGAATTAATGGAGAGATAAATCATGACAAGCTGCATAATTGACTTCTTATCGGAGATTAGTACCATTCCATTATTTCCCTCCTTAGAATGGATTATACATGCATCTAAATGATCAATCATTTGTGCTTATCTCTTGTAGTGTAATTGTGGATTGTTTTCAAGTATGTTGAACAACTTAGATTCGATATGCATATGAACCATCATGCATTTGTTATCTGTCACAGTTGCGCAAAAACCATGGGTTGTTTTCAATCATGTTAAGCACTTTAGGGCTTAGGCTGTCAGAATACATGGGTTTGTGTTTGTGCTTTATGTTTGAAAATGGTATGGATAATAAATTTGCCATCTGTGTCTTGTCATTTCTGCAGCGTTGAATTACGGAATGTGAATAGTAAAATGAGGTTTAAGGGTCGAAAAGTATCCAATAACTGGATGTTTGGAAATTGGAAGCAAGCGGTGGGCGGTGGCTGCCTCGTGGCATCTCGATGTAAAATACAAAGTAGCATGCTTTGACACGGTAGGATTTTGTGTTAAACATGAAGAGGATAGAAATATTAAATTAGGACACAAACTGGACGCAAGGCTATTTTAGAACTGTTGAATGGAAAAAAATTATGATACACGATGGCCACTAAGAACGTTAACCTTGCCCCCCACGAGGCCACAGCCCCATTATAATGCACCGGTCTCTGGGATATTTGTTCTCTGAAGGTACTCCTTGGAGTGCCCGTGCCGTTTACTTCCCACTTGTACAAGCGTAAGTGCCAAGACAGGTACACCTTTTTCCGGCCAAATAAGACAGATGCGCTTTAAACACGATATCTGGGACGTGTGCGCTTTGAAAGTGCTCCTTCGTTGGATTGCTCGTGCTTGTATACTTCGCCCTCGTATAAGCGTAATTACTGAGGCAGAAACAAAAAAAAGACCGAAAGAGCTTAACATGTCCTATAGCGGGATCGTCGTCTTCCAGAGCCATTTGCCGCCTTCTTCAAGGATTACTGATCCAAATTTGAGTGGGCGTAAAATTCAGCAATGCAGTCCTCTTCAGTGATGAGCTCTTTCCTTGATTGGCTGGCATAATCGGCCTGAGAAAAGAATGATGGGAACAGAGGGGTTTGGTGTCTTCTTCAAGCTTTATGTTTGCCTTTGTATTCCGCAAAAAAGAAAATGATACACAGCTGAAAATGGCGGATTATTCCATTATTATGTGAGAAGGTGAAGAGTGGCAAGTTGTACGGTATGTGTTATAACATACAGCCTGCTCTTCCCCCCAGAAGGTATTACTTTCCCTAAAGCTTCAACAAAATGACGTGTCCTAGCTAATTCAACAGAAACGCACTTGGGATCCCTGGTAACCTTTTCAATTCTTCCCTTCTTTAGGACAGAATTCAAGCTGGTATTTTCTAATTGCGTTTGGTGTTATGACAGGAATAGATCTTTTTCGTTAGCAATGGCTATTATTTCTAGATATTGCTTTAAAAGGAATTCATCTGTGAGAATGTGTGTGGTTTATTAATGGCACCATTGGACCCGAATAATGGCTGATTTTGAGGAGCAATGTATGATGATGCAGCGCTTACGTTATATTGAGCAACAGGCATACCTTCTATCTATCTGTGCTTGTGTGGTGAAGTGCCTTGGATGGAATGGCTCTTTCCGAATAATCAATATTGATTCGTTGTAAAAGATGAGGTTGGCTTTTTTCTTGATGTTGCTTCCTGCAGGCAATGGAAATACTCAGGTCTGTAGCATTGGATGCTGGTCTGTGGTAGTTTTGTCATTTAGTACTAGCGGGAATGTCACATTCTGATGCAGGATTGGTCAGCTTATGCTAATATACTGTACTGACTAGCATCAACCTTCGTGTTTTTTCATTTTTTAATGATAATGGAACAATTAAGAAAGAAGAAATTCCTCTGTTATCGTGCTTGTTGGTTAAAGGCTTCAACTCGGCGTATTGAGCTTCCGTTTTCGTATTGCTTTTTATTCTTCCGACGTGGTTTTATGCTCCCTTACCCCGCGTTTCCTCGTATTTTTGCAGGAGATTAGAAATTTCAGGAACAAGGCTAAAAAAGTAATCACAAATTATGCTAGGAATGGAAAGATGAAACGCTAACATTGCCAAATCCATGGCGGCCAATACGTGCTTAAATTACATATCATCAATTTCGAGGTGCTTGGAAAAAGTCTGTAAAACTTGGGTTTAGCTTCAACGCAGAATTGAAAAAAAAAAAGGCGTTTTAGCTCAATCATGTGTTCAGGGGCAAATCCCCCCCTCCCGGGGGGGTCAAACGCATATTTAGAAAAATCAAACAAGTCATGGTTACTCTAACTCGAGAGTGAAGTATGGGTCTCGCAAAAGGATTCTTAAATCTTAGCTGTGACTTTGAACAATGTCTTCCTGGTCTCAGACTGAGATTCTGAAAATGCCCAAAAGGGTGGCTATGCCAATAGCCTATAGATTCATCTCTTAGTGCAAATTGCCCGACCACAGTCACCAAACACACGAAAAAGCCTTAATAAAAACATGCATTACTCTACATTCTTATAAATTTGTCAATCTTACAAGAAATCGCCTCCCAGGCCATTGAAACTCATTGAGAGTAAGTGGGGTTTGTTTTGACTTTTCCCCTGTGCTTTTCTATTAGCCTTCCAATGGTTATTAGTATGGACACCATCGTCTCCCTTCTTGGAACAATTTTCCCAATAATTTATTCGTCCTCTTTTTCAGCTCTCTCACTTGGAAAACTTGAATATACCCATTTCATTTTCCGTGTATGATTGCAAAAATGTGCCCCACAATGGTTGTTTATCCACTAAAGGGAACCTTAAATTCTAGGGAAGGAAGGATGGGAGACCCAGATGTCAAAAATATAGACCAAGATGAGCATAATTTGAAATCTTTGAAAGGAAGATGCGCAATGCGCACCATTTCTTTTTCGGGCCATGTGCTGCAATGGCTATTTATTTATGGTGGAGGGCAAATTTATAAACCTCTTGTTTTTTGCTATCAATTTATGAACCTTGTAATGTCATATTAATTAAGCATTCGGAGCATAAGATGTCCGGTTCATGAAGAAAATGATTTCTAACTGAACCAGGGAACCTAGTCAAGCCTCAAGAGATGAGGACATTATAAAGAAAAAGCGATGGATAGAACCTGGCAGGAGAATATAGTTTTCCATCAATTACTTTCAATTTTCAAAGGCCCCCTTGTCCCTTTCTTAGGGAAAATCCATAAAAAGTTTGTGTTTGTAAATTTTATTGGTTAAAATAACTTGATATGTTTTTATATAAAAACTATTAATAGTTTAATACTCTGTAAAATTTTATACTAAAAGAATATTTATATAAAAATTATGAATAGAGATTTTTTTCCCCTCTTTCCATAAGGCCATTTGCCCTTCTGATCTGATTTAAATGAAAAGAAGTTTTGGTAAAGGAAGGCAAACGATCAAATAAAATCCCCTTTTGAGGAATTTGCTCATGGTCCATTTGTCCGGTTTGAGGATGTGGATTCCATTCTGTTTCACCTTTTTCATTAATGGTTTTTTTCCCCATTTGCTCCTTTTCCTTCATAAAAGTTAAAAACTCAACAGAAAGCGCAAACAAACACTCTTTCTTTCCTTCTCATCCTTTCTTCCATTGGTTATGCAAGTCAAGTCCACTTCACCCACTGCACGCCTTCTACAATTAAGGGCGTTCTTCAACTTTTGTTCTCGTATTTCTCAATCACATTTCTTACCGTTCAATCTCATATATTTCTGCGAAGCTTTCTGTGTCTTTGGATCCCAATTCCACAGACATCAGTCACATCATCTGATTTCCATGGATCCGGCTTTCTAAGAATTTCTGGAGAATCCATTTTTCTGAGAAATGGCAGCAGCAGAGGCGTCCAGCTCCAAAGGGCAAGCATGGTTCGATGAATACTACTCTCTGCTTCACCCCCTCTTCTTTGTCTTTTGTAATTTCTGCAGTATTTTCTCACAATTTTTCTTCTCAGGTTCTGCACTAATGGCCTGCCCAGCGACATTATTATCGAAGTTGATGACATGAGCTTCCACCTCCACAAGGTGAGCGTAAAAATTAGAATATGAATCTTCTAATGCATACACCTATCACAGGACCGACAATATTCTGTTCTGTATCCTGTTGTCTGAAATTTGTCCACGATGTACCAGTTTCCTCTGATGGCAAAAAGTCGAAAGCTTCACCAGCTGATAACGGAACAAGAATCAAATCATCCCTCATCAGCAAAAATCCAAGCATCTGGAATCGAAGAAGTGGAAGAAGACGACGAAATTGCGGAAGAACACTGTCGTATAACATTCACAGACTTCCCTGGCAGCTCCGACGCCTTTGAGATGGCTGCTAAGTTCTGCTATGGCGTCAAAATCGATTTGTCCGCATCCAATGTGGCTCCTCTCCGCTGTGCCGCGGAGTTCCTTGAGATGACCGAAGAGTACTCTGAAGACAACCTCATCTCCAAGACTGAAAGGTTCTTATCCCAGTCTGTTCTCAAGAGCATCAAGGACTCCATTAAAGCCCTAAAATCAATCGAGCCCTTGATGCCCCTATCGGAGGCTTTAGCCATTCCGCAGAGGTGCATAGATTCCATTGTTTCCAGAGCGTCGTCGGCCAATCCGGCTTTGTTTGGATGGCCGGTTACCGACGCCGGAACTAACGATGCTTCCACTCGGAGTTCTTTGTCGAAGCAGGTCCTGTGGAACGGAATTGAGTCTGGTGGAAGAAGAAAGAGCATCCCTAGAGGGGACTCTTGGTTTGAGGATCTTGGGCTCCTGAGTTTGCCCCTGTTCAAACAAGTGATTCATGCCATGAAAGAGGCAGATTTGAGTCCAGATATAATAGAGAGCAGCCTCATGTATTATGCGAAGAAATACATTCCAGGGGCTTCAAGGTCAAGTCGAAGGCCAATGACGTCCTCGTCCTCGTCTGTAGTTTCAGAGGCTGAACAGAAGGAGCTGCTGGAGTTTATACTCTCCAATCTGCCCCTGGGGAAGAGCTCTGGGTCCTCAACAGCAACAAGGTTTCTGTTCGGCTTACTCCGAACGGCCAATATATTGAACGTTTCCGAAGCGGGCAGAGATGCGTTGGAGAAGAAGATAGGATCGCAGCTCGAACAAGCTACACTAGACGATCTTCTCATACCGAGCTATTCGTATCTTAATGAAACGCTCTACGACGTTGATTGTGTGGAAAGAATTCTGGCTCACTTCTTGGCCGCTTTACAAGAAAGAAACGCCGCTGCGGGTGGTGATGGAGGGGTCGCTAGGTCGCCGGCGTTGATGGTTGTTGGGAAACTAATTGACGGGTATCTGTCTGAAATTGCTTCAGATGCAAATCTAAAGCCTGAGAAGTTTTATAATTTCGCTCTCTCTCTTCCTAATCAAGCCAGACTCTTCGACGACGGTCTCTATCGTGCTGTAGATGTCTATCTCAAGGTATCCATTCATTCGATTGCCGTCTCAAAATTATACTGTACAGCTATATAACGAAACACATTCATGTATTTCATTAAAATTTTGCGTTGCTCACTTGCAGGCACATCCACGGATATCGGAGGCAGAAAGGGAAAAGATATGCGGAGTGCTTGACTGTCAGAAGCTGACACTAGAAGCGTGCACTCACGCGGCACAGAACGAGAGACTTCCGTTACGAGCAGTGGTTCAGGTGCTATTCTTTGAGCAGCTTCAGCTGAGACATGCCATCGCAGGGACTCTAATGGCAGCGGAGGCGGCTGCAGAGCCAGGGAGGCCGTCCGCGGCGCTGGGGCGAGAAGAGGAGGGAGACGGAGCAATAATAGCGGGTGCGCACGATGGCAGCAGCACGTGGCGGGTGGCGGTGAGGGAGAATCAGGTGTTACGCTTGGACATGGATAGCATGAGGACGCGGGTGCATCAGCTTGAACGCGAATGTTCATCAATGAAGAAAGTAATCGAGAAGATTGACAAATCGAGCCCTCATCGTGAGCAAGGAGGCGGCGGCGGCGGCTGGAGAAAGAAATTTGGTTGCAAATTCAAAACACAAGTCTGTGATTCTCATGAATCAGCGGTCGTAGACCGACGGCAAGGACGAGTCGGAGTCCCCCAACACCAGCTGAAGCAGCATGATCATCGTCACCGCGAATAGGCAGCCAAATCCCGTGGGGTTAGTCCGCATGTGTTATGCTGAATCCTATCCTAACTTTCTGCCACGTGTCCTTCTCAAGAAGCAATGATTGATTTATTAAAAAAGAAAAAGGCAAACAGAGCAAGGCCAATAATTCGGGTGATTTGGTAAATGTCGAAATGAGGCAGCTTTTGAGGTGATGGAGATGGACAGAGCATGAATAATACAGTGCGTGCCATGGTGGGGACATTGAGATGCATGCTGGGATAACACAGATTCCTTTTTCCAAGTTTTGGACGGTTTGCTAGGGTGCTCATAATCATTGCTTCCAATGGAAGGTGCTGAGCATTTGGGTAGGGTAGTCCCCCCACAAAAGGCTCCTTCATTTGAGGCTGTTCCGGTTGCTGACATGATGCTTCCATTATCTTGTTCAGCATATTTGTTCTCCTTCTCCAAATTAGGTGCCGTCAGTCAAAGCTATTAGTATTACTATTCTTTAGCTCTGTTCCATAAATTTGCAGGCCAAAGCAATAATGACAAATTCAGTCCAAAAAAAAAAAGCAATAATGACAAAGGATGAGGAATTGAATGGTTCATGGGTTTGACTCATAACGCCCAATTTTGAGAACAAAACTGTCTTTCTTTTCACTACTATCATGATGAGAATTGAAATTTAGTGCGAGGAAAATTAACGTTAACGTAGAAACCTTCACCTTCCTCTCTGCATTATTCAATATCTCTGGAACGTCTACTTTTAGTGTTTGGTCAAAATGGACACTTTTTCCACCCACAAGACCCCACCACTCCGGAATAAAAACAATCCTCTAATCAAAAGGGAAGTATTTGTTAAAATGTTATTAGTTAACCAAAACTGGGGATTGGTTTCCCCGAAATCATATTCCACGCTACACAGAGGAATGGGGCGTCTCCTGGATAAGGATTGACCACGATTTGAGTGTTGTACAGCATTCAATCTTTTGGAAAATTTAAGCTTTTATCTTTAGTTAAACATTTATGATTTGATTTAGCAAGTTGCAAATATCTTGACACAGATTTTTTTTTTTTAAATTATAAAAACTTCCAACTTCTGAGAGGCCCAGTATTAAATTTCTCTGGTTATATGTTAACAAAACAGCCAATACAGAATTAGGTAGAGGAGTAAAAACAGAGGATGGGATATGATAACAACCTCATTATTGCAAGCATTATTGTGACATGATTTTTCTCAGTTTAATTATAACCTTTATCCTTTAAAAATTCTAGAATCAAAAGGATTACAAGAAAAAATATATCAAACTCGATGTCTCTTTACTTTCAAAAATGGAACCTATATTCTCCTCAACGCGTTAATATAATATTGTTAAAGCACACCCCTCAATTATTTTAATGTGAGAAAAGTTAACTTCGTACTTGATCTCGTGGCAACACTGTCATGATTTGCTGTCTAAGTGCCCACAATGGACAGAAGCGGATGACCACGTTCCAGCCACAAACAAGACCAGAGCGATAGATGCTGATTCTGATAGTTCGTATGGCTAAGCAAAGCACTTCTTTAACTGTTTTACTTTTTAAGTATCTGCATGCCACTGAACCCAACAATTACAGATTTGGATCAAACCCCATCAAGAAGCCATGGTGTTGCCAAGTGTCGGAGCTTCAACAGGGCGCCACCTCATGATGAAATACTGAATACTCCAGGCCCTAATGCAGTCAAATTGAGACAGTTGAGATCCGAAAGTTCGCGCTGTTTACATATTCCTCCACATTTGTTACTTTAGAACTTGAAACTGACTTTTCATTCCCCATACAGTTGAATCTTCTTGTCACCCTCGTTCCCCCACGGCATTTCATTGTCAATATTCTAGCCATAGAACCATCGCCACTTCCCGGGGGAAAAAAAAGAAGGTAAAATGTTACCCTTAGGGTGTTTTTCTTCAATTTTTTTTTAATTTCCTGTTTATATCAATATCGGAAATATAACTTGAGAAATCAATGCATTTTCTTCAAAGTCCTGAATCAGGATGGGTAGAATGGAGCACATGGCCCTGAAAGCGGACCCTGCTACGGCTAATTTGATAGATTCCGATGTAAGTGAACTCAAACTAGCAGTCAAGAAGCTCATCAGTGACGCCACCAGGCTAGGAGGCTTGCGCTTTGGTACTTCTTTTCTTAGATGGCTAGCCTCCTTTGCTGCTATGTATGTTAACCTTTCAACTTGATTGGGATCTACGAATGACAATTCACATCAATTTGACTTGTTCGTAAAATGTTCATTCTAGTTACTTATTGATACTGGATCGCACAAACTGGAGATCAAATATGTTGACTTCATTATTAGTCCCCTACGTGTTCTTCAGTTTTCCAGGGTCACTTTTCCACTTTTTAAGGTAACCATTTCTGTCTGATAATTAATAACCCACAGCATTCTTTCGGTTTCCCCTCTCTTTATTTTGTTTCTTCGACTAAATTTTTACTGGGCCATTTAGAGGAGAGTTTGGAAAATGGATTGCTTTCATTGCCGTTGTCCTCAGACTGTTCTTCCCTCGACATTTTCCTGGTATGGTTAAGACAACATGTTATGCTCTATTAACATTGATTTGTCAAGGAAAATTGTTGTTGCCTTGTGAATGTGATGGAAAATTGAGCAAAATGATTAGATTTGGTAAGGTAATGTTATTTAATTTACGCATGCAGATTGGCTGGAAATTCCTGGTTCGTTGATCCTTCTGTTGGTGGTGGCTCCTAACTTCTTTGCTCTCACAATGAGGCATAGCTGGTTTGCAATAGTTATAGATCTTATCATTGGCTGTTACTTACTTCAAGAACATGTCAGGGCTTCTGGTGGATTCAGAAATTCTTTCACGCAGAGCTATGGAATATCTAATACCATTGGCATCCTCCTCCTCTTAGTCTATCCTGCGTGGGGCCTGGTTATACATTTTCTATAAAAGCCATTGCAACCATCAACACTGAAAGTTCTTTTCTTCCGCTAAATCATTCGCAAGATGTTTGTTTTATGACAATTTTGCCTTGAGAACAGACCAGTTCGTCAGTGACGAACACTGTTCCCTTCAATAATATCAACTCATTTGGATACGTAGTTTCGCACAAATTTTCTTGCTTTTGTTCTAACCTGACGAACACTGTTCCCTTCAATAATATCAACTCATTTGGATACGTAGTTTCGCACAAATTTTCTTGCTTTTGTTCTAACCTGCGTTACATTAAACGCTTCCTTCTTGTGTACAGAACCACAAGTTACCATAGTACTGATCACAGGATGGGTGATTTAATCGAAGATACCCACTTAGAGCTGAAAGTGCTCATACTATAGCTTAATTGTTTAGAGGTTGGGGCACATGAAAAGATTAATCTTCCTGCCGTTACTCTATTTATAACATAGAACAATTAAATTTTGAAGATTGAAGTTAACTTCATCGGAGAATGTCTTTATATTACGTGGATTAAGGGTTGGCTGGGATCAAGATTGCAGAAATATGATGGTGTTCAATGATTCAGCTGAAGCCATGTTGATTAATATAACCATCAACGAGCAAGTGTCAGGGAACACTTTGATTTTTTTTGGGGGGGGGGGGGAGAAGAGAAAACTTTGATTTATATCCACATTATTAACATGCAACAACAAAATTATGCCAAATATAGAAAATAGAGGCACAATATATATAGTTATCATTTGGTACTCATCCCTATGTTAAGCACTCGTCACAATAATGAGCATCGTGTTAATTTTTAGGGAACATTATAAATAAAGACTCCCGAATATATAAAAATACGATTTGTGACTCTGAATTTGGAAAATAGCAAATAAGGATCCGGCTCATTTTTACAAATATAAAATGTGGGTGAAATGTTTGAAATACCTCCCACCAAATTATGATTTGGTCTACTGAAATTGTCATTCGCTAAAGTGAATTTGTCATTTCCCATAGTCAACTCGTCATTTGGCATACCTTTAGTCAAATTGTGATTTGGTCTGCTGAAGTTGTCATTCGCTAAAGTAAACTTATTATTTCTTATAGTCAACTTGTCATTTGGCTGAAAGGCATTTCAGACATTTCACTACAATTTTATATTTGCAAAAGTAGGATCGGGTTCTTATTTGCTATTTTCCAAATTCAAAGTCCCAAATCACAATTTTACATATTCGGGGGTCTTTATTTGCAATTTTTCTAATTTTTAATCTGCAATTTTTTAAAGATAAATTTATTTTTAAAAAAATATTAATTATAAATTATCCTTATTTTAATTTATATATATTAAAATAAAAATATTTAAAGTATAAAAAATTTTAAATTAAATACAAACCATTTAAAATTAATGTAAATGATGCAGATTAAGATGAGCATCCCATAATCATGTGGTGATGAGTATGGAACGAGTTCTCCAAAAAATATATAGGGAGGTCTTTCTCTTGGAATGCCCCTGGTTTTTTTCCCTTTGAGTAATATATAGATTTGAAAAGGTCCTCTTTCCCTATATTTTCTCTGGTTTAGTTTAGTTTTTCTTTTTCTTTTTTTACTAAAACATAGATATCCTCTTATTAGAGGCAATTCTTTTCGACGCACGGTCAGACACTAAATGTGAACACTTTTCCTAGTAAAAATTTGAATCTTAGTTTGTCACGTTATGAGAGACAAGTCCTTTTTATTAGACCGAAACCTCGTTGGTTGGTTTAGTTTTGTTTCCCTTGTTATATTAGTAGGGTTTGAAATTGAAACTACCATAGCCCGCCCGCCACTACAACGTTTTTGCCACATTAGTTGCCCTCTGCTATATTTCTTTTTTCTTTTTAGTTTTTTTTGTAAAAGATGACAGGCTCAGCCCAATTGAATTGAACCAAAGGTGGGATTAAAAACCAAACCAATGAAAAACTAATGTGGGCCGATTTGTAACTGCCAAGGGGCTAGATCCGGTCAAAATTTATTCGTGTGCCCAATTAAGCGGCGCTTTCACCTCAATGCCGTGAACAATCCCAGAAACCCTAATGCCTTTTCATCGCTTATAAAATCGAAGCCGCAAGCCTCGTCGTGCATCTCATAAGTCACGACTGTAGGCGGCGTAACAGGGGACGAAAGTTCTATGTTTTTTCGAGTGAGGTTCTCATTGCTGTATCCCACTTTCGTTGGATTAGTTTTTTCTTCTGTCATCTGAGGTTCTTTTGCTTTCTTTTTCCGATTTCTCCTTTCAAATTTGGTTTTGAGGATTGAACGATGTGGTTTTCTCTGTGATGATCAAATAATGATGACGAGTCCGATCTTTTCCATTCTTAAAAATTGTGACGACAAATCGAGGCATTTGTCTGAGAGGAATCCACTCTTTCATCTTTTTATTTTGAACTAATCAATCCTTCCTTTCGTCTAATATCCGGCATAATGCATAGATTTGCCGGCGGTTCGATATTTCTGGGAAGATTTAAATAGGAACATTTTGACCTAGTTTTTTGTTGTATCACTGCGAATCAAGTGCTTGGCATAATGATGATAACTCTAAATTATTCATATGATATTCATATGATGATACAAATCCTCCTACTCATTCTGAATGCCGAGATTATTCGAAAGGTGTTGCATTTAAGTTTTCGGCTTTCTATCAATCTACCTAGCTCAGCAGTCATTGAATTAAGGTTTTTTCAAGTTATTTTAGTCCGTTGAAATGCGAGAGAAAGACATTCATGTGGCTGTGATGAGAAGCTAAATCTCTCATTGTTCATTTGTTGAGATTTCGATGATTGCATTTCAAGCACTTTTGAGCTGCGGTCTTTCTCCCATTTTGATCCATGTCTCAACAAATGATGCCAAGTATAATCTTTTGGGCATTTGCTGTTGGGGGATAAATAATCTACAACTCATTCTGATTAGTCCCTTGGTGAATGCTAATCTGTGGCATGTGTTGTGAAAGTTGGAATAATCAAAAGAAAGAAGAAAATGATTATTTGTTTTTGAATAATGAATACTAATCTGTCAACCATTTCCGTCACTAAACGCTGATCTCTACTCACAAGTTAATCCAACAAAGGATAGACCAGCTAATAGATCCCCTGACGAAAAAGTCTAACGTGGAACTCATTAATCCTCAAGGACAAGTAGACAGACCAAGCTTTATCAGCTAATCCGGAGAATTTTCATAGACTGTTGCCTCGTAAGCAGTGTTTCCGTTGCAAACTGCGACAGAAGGTAAGGCGCCCTTCGACAGATTGGGATTTTTAAAAAAAAAAAAAACAGGAACGTCCATCTTGTTAAATCAGCTAAAAATATCCTTCATGTGAAGGTGAAAAATAAAGCACGACCAATCAAAATACCTATCATCCAATTACAAACTCTAAATTGGAAACATGAAACAGATCAAACTGAGACTCTTAAATAAAATCAAACTTCATCAATTTCCTATTCTTCCGAATCCTTTTGTAAAACCAGAACCAATAGTGAGAATTATAGGAACTAAATTCGAAAAAGAGAGTGAAATATTAATACGAAATGCTAATATTAATTTGATTCAATATAAATAAATAAAAATTCAATGATGGATTGTATTTTTGAAGACCAAAGTTCCGCAGGATACAATCCCAGTTAAGAGCTTGCGGAAAGCTCTCTGTGGTCAGGAGCATGAAATAGTTCAGCGAGGCTTTATGTCTGAAAATTATAATTTTTAAAGCCTTTTTCGAAAAAGAATCGGACAAATTATATGTTGGACTTTGGCCCAAAACAAAGGGGCCGACTATGTAATTAAAAATCGTAATTTTGAGAAGGGTATCTTTATAGTTTATCCCAAATCAGAACCACGCAACGGGGCCATGAGTAGAGCTGGTAATACGGGCTGGGCCCGCGGGCCCAGCCCGCCAGCCCGCCAAAAATGGCGGGCTCGGGTTGGCAAAATGCCAACCCACCAAGGTGCGGGCTACTCCAGCCCGCACCGTTTTCAGCCCGCTCCGCCGCGGGCTAGCCGCCAGTTGGCGGGCTAGCCCGCTTTTTTTTTTTTTTTTTTTTAATTTTTAGTTTTATATAATTTCTAATATATTATACAACATAATTGGAGGATTTTAACCCCCAAATTTCATATTTACATCTTCTCATCCATGTAATTGCATATGTAATACATACATAAAAGATCTACTTAATTAATTTGGATAAGAAAATAGTCAAATTAATTATTTAGAAAAAAATATGTGTTAGTTTTTCTAAAATATCTTCTCAAATTATAAATTAATCCTCACATTATTTTATTATAACTCATTACTCAAGTTTAAAACTCCAAGTCCAATTTTAACATTACAAACTAAGCTCAAACTTATACAAATAATATTTTTTTTTAAAAAAAAAAAGTTAGGGGCTCGGGCTGGCAAAATGCCAGCCCGCCAAAGTGCGGGCTACTTCAGCCCGCACCGTTTTTGGCCCGCACCGCTGCGGGCTGGCCCGTATCCGCACCGCCAGCCCGCATTCCCAGCTCTAGCCATGAGAAAGGAAAAAATAATGAGAAAAAGAAATGAGAAAAAGGAATAGTGACACAGGCACAGACATTCGGAGAGCATTGGGTGCTCATCAGTTTTGATGAGCACCCAATGCTCATCAGATCTGGACCGTCCAGATCTGATCTGGACGGTCCAGATTTTATTTTATTTTTTTTTTATTTTTTTTAAAATAACTATTTTAATAGGTATAGGATAAAAAATAAAGATAATCTTCTAACTATCATTCTTTAAAAATATATCTTTTTCTATTTTAAAATAATTATTTACAATATTAGATCTGGACCGTCCAGATCCAGATTAGATCTGGACGGTCCAGATGGCTCATCAGGTGATGAGCACCCGGTGCTCATCACCTGATGAGCACTGTATACGGACCCCACAGACATTAGCTTGAAGTCTTGAAGCAGCCAATAAGAAAAGGCCTTATCCTATCCGTTATCTGGGAGGCACGAGAGCCATGAGATAATAACGGAGAGATCATTCTGGGCCAACACAGAGGAACGCCACACTAGCTAATCTCATTCAAGCTCCCCAGAGATCAATTTGTGGCAATCAACAATGGCAGCCTCACTCCAAGCGGCGGCGACCCTCATGCAACCCACCAAGGTGGGCACTTCCGGCCGGACCAACCCCTCTCAGCTCAAGTCCTCTCAGTCTATTTCTAAGGCTTTCGGTTTGGAACCTGCTGCGGCCAGGCTCACCTGCTCTGTTCACTCTGATCTCAAGGACTTGGCTCACAAATGTGTCGATGCCACCAAAATTGCTGGATTCGCCCTTGCCACCTCTGCTCTCGTCGTCTCTGTATGTTCCTTTCCCTTTCTTTATTCCAATTTCTGTCGCCGCACTTCCTTTCACCACTTATTCTTTCTATCCACTTTTGTAACTTCGCACTTTTGTTTCCTGCTGGACTCGTTATGCATCATCTGTGGCATGTTGGTAGCATTTGTAAATTTCATCTGCTCACTGTGGCAGCATATGATCTTAATCATCAGCAATTCCATTCTATTATGCTGCGTATTTATTTACCGCGAAAGCATGGTGATCGCAAGCTTATGGTCTCAAATCAAGCAGTCAAAGTTCGTAGTTATAATTTTCATTGTGGCACGCATTGGAACAGAGCACAAACAGAAGGCCTCTGCTTGCTTAGATGATCCTATATTTTAATTTGCTGACTTCAATTCAGTGTCGAACTTCTCCCTCCCAAAACAGCGTTAATTATATAGAAGGCTGAATTGCTGAACCTTCTAAGAGCTAATCTAGGTAGAGAGTTTTCCGAGTTGCAGAGGCCTGACTAAATTAATTATGAGTATGAGAATGTTGTTGTTGTGGATTCAGGGAGCAAGTGCGGAAGGTGCTCCGAAGCGATTGACGTACGACGAAATCCAGAGCAAGACATATCTGGAAGTGAAGGGAACTGGAACGGCGAACCAGTGCCCAACCATCGACGGCGGGGTGGATTCGTTTTCCTTCAAGGCTGGCAAATACAACGCCAAGAAGCTCTGCCTGGAGCCAACTTCCTTCACCGTCAAGGCCGAGGGCGTCAGCAAGAACGCACCCCCTGAGTTCCAAAACACCAAGCTCATGACCCGTCTGACCTACACTCTTGACGAGATCGAAGGACCCTTCGAAGTCTCACCCGACGGCACAGTCAAGTTCGAGGAGAAAGACGGAATCGATTACGCCGCCGTCACGGTTCAGCTTCCCGGTGGTGAGCGCGTGCCCTTCCTCTTCACCATCAAGCAGCTGGTGGCCTCTGGCAAACCTGACAGCTTCAGCGGAGAATTTCTAGTACCATCCTACCGTGGATCCTCATTCTTGGACCCAAAGGGAAGGGGTGCTTCTACGGGTTATGATAATGCCGTCGCATTGCCTGCTGGTGGCAGAGGAGACGAGGAGGAACTTGCAAAGGAAAACAACAAGAGCGCTCAATCATCCAAAGGGAAGATCACATTGAGTGTGACCAAGAGCAAGCCCGAGACTGGGGAGGTAATTGGTGTGTTTGAGAGCCTTCAGCCATCTGATACCGATTTGGGGGCTAAAGCCCCCAAGGATGTCAAGATCCAGGGCATCTGGTATGCTCAGCTTGAGTCTTAGACCTTCTTTATTTGCGTTTGTTTTTGTTGCGTCAGATTTTGTTGCAACTCCAAGCACTCCCAGTTTCTTCGCGTTTGTATATTAGATGACTTCCCATTATAATGCTTGAACTGCCAGATTTCGCGCCAATGGGATTGTGGGATTATAAATTATGATCACTCTTTCTCCCAGTTTCCACAGATTTTCCATGATTTCTAGCTTCTTCCCTATTTTATTCTTTTCCTCTTCTAGTATTAATGCGATACAAATATACTCCCTTCCTTCCTTTTTTTTAATAAGCAACAACTATCATCTTTTTTTTTTTTAAATATAAACAACATTTACATTTTATCTTAGTTTTTTATAGCAGACTTTTTATTTTGCTCCAGTTAAAAACTTGTTTTCATGGTTAATATATTTATTTTTTATATCCCAAAATATTATTTCTTAGATAATAAATATTTAGGAGATTATATTTTAATATAATCTCTCTTGATCAGGTATTCTCTTCTTGTTCACTTAGCTTGGATAATATGACGAGCAACTTATTTCTCAATTTCCACACTAGGCACAAGACTCGCGCTAATTTTAAGTTTAGGCCCAACTTTTCTTCCTCCTTTTGCCAACGGCCTTCAGGCCACGTCATTTTAAATGAATAATCTGCCTTGATAATACGAAAGCAAAACCAAAGGACCTGTTTGATTTTGTTTTCTACTTTTATGATCTTAAAGTGGTTTTGTGGAATTATTTTTTAAAACAAGTTCCGCAGACCAAAAGAAAATGTTGGAATCATTTGTGCGGGTAAAATTACACATAAAAAACTATTTTAAAGAAATGAATTTGAAAACAACTTTTGAGAACATTAGTAGATAGTCGTGATCAACGACGGGGCGATGATGGCTGTTGGCAGATAAATTAGTCCATGGTGGTTGACAGTGATTGATGATGGCTGACGATGGTCAATAGCAAATGGTGGCGGCGGCATGTGGGAACGATTGGTAATGGCCAATGATAGGTGGCAGAGCCGACGTCTGATGGTGGTCCGCCACCGTTTGCCGGTGGTTGATGATAGTCGATGATGGACGATGGTGGTGGCCACTGGCCAGCAATAACTGTTAGCTATTATTCGCAGATGATCATTATTAGTACGAGACAAATGACTATAACAAGAATCAAACTATTATTTTTTTTTTTTTACTTTTTAAAGAAACAAGATAGAAATATGAGCTGGGAATAATTTATTTAATTAAAATTTTAATTTCTTATTGTTGAGAACTTAGAAAGTTGTAGTGAAACATATCCAAGGCTTTTTTTTCTCACCATATCTTTCCCGGCCTTTCAAGAAAAATTACCATCGTGGTGGTATTTCCCCTGGGAATTATTCTAACGTACAGAATTCAATTATTTATTTGGAATTGAATGGACGCAACATAAATACTTGTCATGTAGGCTTCGGCTTCTCCACATCAGTCGTTGTTCCCATTAATAACTTATTTTTCACAGCTAAGAATATATTCTCCACTGATTTGGCTTTATTTCTTAATCAACACAATTAGACAGGAATGCATTCATGATGCATGCCGTGATTTTAAAATTGCAATAATAATAATAATAAAAATAATAATAATAATAAAATAATAATAATAATAATACTACCTCCGGTCCTAATTATAAGAGCCAGTTGACTAATTTGAGAAAATTAAGGAAATAAGTTGAGTTAGTTATTTATCCTAAATAGGTGTTATTTTTCCGAAAATATCATTGCTAATTGAGTATATTGACTAGAACTATCATTGTTAAAAGGGCTACTTTAGAAAAAAAATGTATAAATATGACAGATAAAGTAGATTAGGGTCTTATATTTAGGACCAAAATAAAAGTTAAACGGGATCTTATATTAAGGACCGGAGGTAGTACTTAATTATAATTGGCGCCCCGTTTTCCCCCGTCCCCTCCTATAGTACTGTTAACGGGAATGCATCGGGGCCTCAGCACAAGGATGCTTTCCTGTAATTTTATTCATAAATTGGATTGACAGATGTTTTGTCCTGCTGATCACTGTAGGGCGGGGACGCCGATCATAAATGCCACAAAAATTACATGCCTTATTATTTAATGTAATTTATTGGATTATATTAAAGAGCCTTGGATACAAATCCAGCCAGACGCCGCACCGACGAGGCCCCTTGTGATTTTCTACGGACAATATGAGATGATGCGAAATTCGGTTCTTTGATTTTTTTTATTTTTTATTTTCTTTCTTTCTTGAGATTTCATTCTTCTCGGCAATTCACTGTAAAACCCTACACTTCGAGCCCATTTCATTTGTGTTTCCAGAATTTCATGCTCTCCCCGCTTTCAGTTTTCTTCTAGTCTTCGTTTCTTTTTTATTTCATTTTGGGAGTTATGTGCTTCCAACAACTCTGTGATTGAAGAGAATTGTTGGTCCTGTTTAATGAGCCGGAGGATTGGTATACGATGAGCAGCAGTTGCATCCAAGGATGGACGAGCTGCCGGGAGCATTTGGCACCAGCGCCAGCTTCGCTCTTCGACTGGGGCAGACCGTCTTCTCCTCAGCTTCTCTTCTCTTTATGTGTTTGGGTGTCGAATTCTACAGCTATACTCCTTTCTGGTTCGTTTTGATTCCCTTCGTCTCCATCATTTCTGGTATTCTGTATTTATATTCCTTAGGATCCGTTGTTTTTGACAAACCCCGTTCTGCGTTGCTGAATTTGACTTTTACCCCAATTCTCTGTATTCCTTTTAGCGTGCTCTGTGAAAGTTGGCAAGCTTATTAATTTATCATCTTTACTTCTCTCTTAAGAAGCGGCAATTGATGATTGGCTTCGATTGTTTCAAAAGTTGCATGGATATTTATATTAGGAATTTAGGATTGACTTTGCAGAGTGTGTGTCGTGGCTTGTAAATGAATTGTTGGCAAAATATAGGTACAACTGCTAGTAGCAGAAAAGCACAACTATCGAAAGGTTCCAGAACAAGAGTCCGGAGAGGAATAATGAAAGCATGAAACAAGCTAGCATCCCTTTTCGAGTAGCGAACTAGCTCTGCAGATTTACAACCAAATCATCCAAAAATATGCTTCCTCTTCTTTATAGTTGTTGCCTCTATTTTAGGGAAAGTATCAAAATATAGCCTATAAGAGAATGGTGCTTGTCTGCGTTGTGACAGTTTTCCAACATGCCTCACACGTCTCTTCCATCTTCTAATTTCTTGCCTTAATTTAACCTTCCAGGCTCCCGCATTCCTATCATGGGGTTAAGGAAGAAATTAAGTCTTCTAATAGTTTGTTTATGGCTGCGTGTGTTTCTCTAATAAAGCTGTTGAAAATTCCATATCAGAAAGCCAAATCAAATGAGGGGATGCTGCAGATCACTGCTGTCAGCTCCTTATTGTCAATGGAATTGTATGTGAATTATACTAAACTCTGCACGGAATTTGTTAACTTGGCCATTTCATTGCCTAAATAATGAGGAGGTAAAAGCATGAGCCTATGTCTGCCATCAAGGTTCCAAAAGTTGTATCGGCCAGCAGATGCGCATTGGAGTTCATGCTGTCTTGGTTATGTTTCATGCTAGTCTCACCAGGGCCTTCAAGAGTTTTTATATTCTGCTTGTTCATGTTATTTTGCAGCTATTTGGTGACAGTCATGGGCTTGGTTATCCCATGGAGCGTAACATTGTTAGTAGTGGATGCTTACTGTGTCTTCATAAAATGTTTACCTCATCAGCGGAGGATCATATCAATCATCGTCTTGGGAGACATGGTACGAGCAGTGACTCACCTCAATCTTCAAGGTCTCATTCACAACTTTGCACTAATGATATTGAGTTTTTCTACTGCAGGTATTGTCTTATCTCTCACTGGCCGCAGCATGTTCAACAGCCAGTGTCACAGATATCCTGCTTGATGTTGGCAGATCCTATTGCCCAACGAGGTTTTGTGGTAGATATCAGTTGTCTGCTGCAATGGCTTTCTTGTCTTGGTTCCTCTCATCAGCTTCCTGTCTTTTTAATTTTTGGCTTCTGCCAACTCTGTAAAGGAATAGCTGGCTTCTTGTTTGATATGTAAAGGGATGAAAAGGGTGCATATGACAAAGTCATTTGCCCGTATGCTGATATATTTTTGATACTCTGTAAATAAAATTCTAACGACTATAGCTAACAATGTGATGAATAATAATTGCCTTTTCCATGCAAGGATCAAGCAAAATCTATCTTGTTCGTTCTAAACTTCCTCCTTTTAGGCGACTTTTGGTGCGTGTCTGATGTTAAGTTGATGACTGCGGGGGCAAGTGCATGACTCAGAATGCAGGCAAGTTAATTGCAGTATGGTAGTATCCAAGGGGTGTTTGGAAACCAAACCATGGTTTTAGAAGTGTTTTTACGGTTTACGAAGTAAATATGTGGAGGAGTTTGTCCTGTTTTGCGGAAAAATGCTTTTGAAAAGTACTTTTAAAAGTTGTCAAACACTCTTTTAATGCTTCTGCTTCATATATAGAGAAAGCGTTCATAACTTGATGATTAAATTGTCCTATCTGCCATATCTTTTAGACGAGTTATTTCAGCTTAAATTGTAGCAATTGACCCGCTTATTAGGAATACGTGTCCGCGTATTTCATATTAACAAATTTGTGAATTCCAGAAACTTGGTATCAAACGCAAGAGACGAGATTTCTGTTCTTCACCCTCAAATACGGGACAATTGATTCCAGCATTGAAGAACGGGTTTCAGTTTCACAATTCAAGATCTGGACAGCAGATTCTTTAAAACAAATTAAGCTGGAGGTGTCTAAATAACGAACGATTGATTTCTCCAGCATCAGTGCTCGCTCGGATTGGGATGCTCTTCTTCTTGGATTCGATTAAGTTCCTGAGCCCAATAATTTAACAAGGCTTCACTCGAACAGAATGCATTCTTCGGTGGGATGCCTCATGAGGCTAACTTTTTGAGCGTCACACTAGGAAAACATGATCAAAGTTACATTGGTCCCAATATTGGTAACAGTGAGTAATTCTGTTTAAGGCATGCTGTGCCTTTCATACTACGATGGATGCCCTCCTTAGGACGTCAGAGAAGAATGTGGCCTCATGGAAACATTAGTGGCGGGCCACTTGCTCTCCAATGTTAGGGACAAAAGGCTACTAATCTGTGTTTTGTCCAGATTTTAACCAATGGGATATGCCGCCATTGTTTTGCCTGCGGTACGTTAAATTACTTTCTGCTTGTGGGCAATCTGGTCTTGTGGGATTATCGTGATGTTATTCACGCGTCGCTTTGGGCCGGGCGAGCGAATCAGCTGGGACTAGGAGAACCAATGACGCGTTAGAAAATAAAATTTAAAACAAAAGACGTCGTCTCTGCTGGGGATTTGATGCTTCTAGATCCTATGGCAATCTAGGGGCCGGTAAGCAATTTTTTTGACCTGAAAGTAGTTTCGTCAACTTGACAAATATAAAACTGAACAAAATTTCTCGGTGAAAACCATATGGTAGAAGGAAATATAAACTCGCTTCGTTTCTTCTAATTCAACCGATATTTGAATGCCCCCCTGGCTTCTATAAGTCAAACAATTAATGTGGTAATGGTGATGTATCGCCAGACAATATCTGACGATGAAAAGTTGAGGAGTTGTTAGAAGCTTTTTATACTTTTCACGTTCACAGTCAACATTATACAATGGGTCAAGGTCGTAGTATACTATATAATATGCATAATAATATATCAAAATGACCTGGACTTACAAGAATTTTTATGCCTGTGGAGCTCAATAATGGAGTCCATAATTAGGGAGGGGAGGGTGATCATCTTGACCAAATGAATTGGATTAGGAAGTACTCAAGTTTTGGAGAGGGAAACAATGAACCCCACCACCCGGCAATGACACATGAAATATACATTTAATATGGTCGGTCATTAATTAATAAGACTTGATGACATGCCCTCAAACAATAATCCCATTCCTATCTACGCAACTTCTTCAACTAGATTTTGCCTTTCTTAATGCCAAGACAGTGCATATGGTTTATGGTATCTTTGATCGAATCAAATGTTTGATTACGAAATGGGGGTCTCATCATTGCCTCTAAAGCTTCCTCCTTCCTTCCCACTTTTCGCCTGCAAGGTTGGCCACCACTTCCATTTATAATTTGTGCTCGCTTCACTTTCTTTGTACGTGCTACCTCCGGTCCTAATTATAAGACCCAGTTGACCTATTTGGGAAGATTAAGGAAGTAAATTAAGTTAGTTATTTGTAATAAATAAGTGTTGTCATTCCCAAAATATCCTTGCTAATTAAGTGTATTGGCTAGAACTATCATTATTAGAAGGACTATCTTGGGAAAAAATGCATAAATATGAGAGGCAAAATGGATTGGGGTCTTATAATTAGGACCAAACAAAAAGTCAAACGAGATCTTATATTAAGGACCGGAGGTAGTATAATATATTTGGACTTTTACTAAAATGTAATACTTATACTTTTCTGAATTATTAACACACATGGATGGCTAAAATTTGTTTATTGAAATTTAAAAACAAAGAATTCAAAAGTGATCCCAAAAGAATCCATCATATGCTATCAAAACATATATATTTATGAAAAAGAATCACACGAGATCGGTACCATATCTGCGCATATCATTCCCTACGTTACTGGGTTCAATGCATCGGGTGCACACATGTCCAATCGGCAACGAACAACCACGCCGACAATTTCCTTCTTATAATCCATTGTACTCTCTGTACTCTTCGCCGACAGATGCAAACTGAAATTAAAACTGGACAAAACAATGATTGATTGATTCATTAATTAACAACGTAGAGGAAAGGAAACCGGCCCGGCACCCCTTTTCTGCTCCTCTTCCGATAAGACTGAGACTTTGCGAGAGGTCCTTCCCTTTCGGGTTTTTGTTTCAGCTCTAAATTCTCACCACTTTCGCTCTATAGTGCAAAACAAATTATAATCAAGAATAAGAATTTCGTTGTTGAAAAAGAAAAGAAAAGAAAAGAAAAAACCGTCTTACCTTGCATGGACTGAGCAGAACTTACTCTCTCTCTGGAATTCTCTTCCACAGGTCTTGCACGTATAGCAAGATTTATTTCTCCGAGACTTGGGTTGTTGACATGATCTTCTGTTGATGAAAACTATTGTTTATGATTAATAATGAAAGGATGTATGTCTGAGATATCAATTAACTTGGACACCTGATTTGCATGCAAACAGTTCTCGCGCGAAGCCTTGTAAACCTGGAAAATACAAGTTCACATAATAATTATTAACTAACACAGTAACTTTGAAAGGGAGAGTATATGTGTACAGATTAAATAATTACGGAGACACTTACGGGAAGTACTGTATGGTTTTCATGTGGGTGATTATTGGTTGCTTTAGGGCAGAATTTGCAGTATAATTGCAAGCAGGTAACGCAGAAACTGGGGAAGAATTTGTTGGTTTGATTGCAGTCAGAAGAATGTTGCAATCGATCTTTGTTCTTGCAAGCCTCCAATAACGATTTCACCCAACCAGGATCCACTCGCTTCTCGCAACCTTCTGTGTTCATCTTTTATATCTCCACAAAACTCACCACTATCGATCAATTCCCAAGAACTACTTCTTTGGCCTTAAGAAAACATCAGTGACTAATTCTCGGAATGGAACCAATTAATGAGTCGCTTTTAGAATGAGCGGGATCAGTATATTTCAACTCCAGTTGCCAATCTTGATCAAACTATATATCTATGAGTTTGTTTCGATATAACAATTCTTTCTCGATAAATCCATCGTTTATATGATCTCATCTACATATATATCTCTTTAACCTAATTGATAGATACGGAATCTCTCCATTTTATCAGAAAGAAATCGCTATCGCTTTTTCTTTCTTTTCTATAGGTATATTCATATATGCAGTTAACATAATAAGTCGATCAATATATCATAATAATTAAATTAGATTGGGCTGTGCGTATATATCTATATTCATTTATTATTTTTTTAATTTAATCTTAAAACAAACCTCTAGCATTTTTGCCCAACGTTGAGCTCTAATATTCAATGACGAGATAATAAAATATATATACATGTCCAAATTGAATCACACTATAATTTGATTTCTTTTTAATAATTATAAATTATTTATATGCATTTTATTTGAAACAGACTAAATTTTCTTTTAATCTTTTATATCTATTATGGCCCAAAAAAAGACATTAATGATTGTTCAAGAAATAGTTAACTATTCTCAACAAATATACCCATCAAAATTAAACATTTTTATATTTATAACTTAAATGGTAGGTTTTAAACTGTTAAATAATTTCAGTTTAAAAGATTATATTGCGGAAAAAATATGATGATTTGCATTAGTCCGTTTTGAGATCATTCAGATTGAATTTCAAAATTTACATCAGTCTTTGGATTATATAAATACATTTAAATATTAGGTCATTTCCTGTCTTTGGTATCTGAGTTAAGTATTGTAACTCAAAAATTTCAATTTATTTCTGAAATACTTAGTGCAAATATTTGTTATATCTCGAATATTTAAATAAATACGATGAAACAAACGAAATATATATTTGAATAAAATTAAAAAAAATAAATTTTAAGACAGTAAAAAAAATAACAATGAATTTTACTAAATTATTATATATTTGGATATCATTTTTAACATTTGGGTCTAACAAAATGGACCAATCTCTTACAACATGATTAATTAAAGTTTGAATTTTTATTGGAAAAAAGTGTCAGCATTTAATAACTAACAATATGCTTGTGAAAAAAACAGTTGAATAATATGCAGCTTTCATGTCGGAAAAAATACTACAAAACTCTCTATAATGCTAGTACTTCCTTTGAAATAATGAAAAATAAGGTTGATTTATCCTATAGTTTTCATGCATAACTAGACAGTTTCAAGCCAAGCATTATGTGGGGTTAAATATGCGCGCGCCCGCGCTTTCTGCAATTTTTTTTTTTTTAACATGACAACGATGAATTTAAAGAAACGATAACGATGCGTATTAGAAATTAAATTATGAACCTTTTTCAGATCACGTATTATTTCTGATTAAATTGAGTTGATTAAGAAAACAAGTTAAATTAGTTATTTATAGTAAATAAGTATTTTATTTCTCAAAATATCCTTATTAATTAAGTTTATTAGTTAGAACTGTCATTGTTAGAAGAACTATCTTGAAAAAAATAAATGAACATAAAAGACAAAATAAATCAGGGTCTTATATTTATAATAAAAAAAATTTAAACAAAATCTTATATTAAAAACCAAAAATGGTATTATGTTCAAGGAAAGAGGAGATAGACAGTGAAAGCTTCAAAGGTGCCTCTATCTCTTTTTTTTTTACCAGAAGGTGCCTCGTGATAACATCAATAATTCATGATAATCAAATGTGAAGCTACAAAGTATCCCTTTTAATTTTTAAATGAAAACTTTTTCAAAACGCATGCATCAATATTATTTAATTAAAAACTCACATGTGCATCTCACGCCGCTGTACCCCATCGACAGAACATGATGAAAGAGACAGTGAAGCATGGTTACTTGAAGCTGAAGAATTTCCTTATAATGGGATCTGCATACATGCTTGGGCTATTACTAACAATGGGCGTTACATATTCGGCGTAAAAGTCCTCATTTTTCTCCCTCCATTCTAGCTTCTCATAAACATTTTCTCTATGTAAGTAACAGAAAATATCATGATTTAATTTTCATTTTGAACCTAGCCATTAGATGTTTAATTACTTAACTCAGCACATAATCTGTAGAGATTGATATGCCTGGAAAACTCAAATTTCATTTTCTGGGCAGCTGAAATCACCAGGGCGAAGTTAGAATATGGGACGACACGAAGATAAATAAACACTGTGGACTTTATTTTATTGGGAGCGACACCAACCAAGGGGGCTGGGATTTGAAGTAAAATTGAGAATTGAGAAAGAATAATGTGACGAGGGGAAAAGGACAAAACGACCAAGGTTGCATAAACTAGTAGTCGACGGGCGGGTGAGTCTGCGTTCAGCCCGGCAGCTTCAGAGGCAGATAATCACCTGTCGAACCTTTGAAAAAGGAAAATTAATATTTTCTATTTATTATTTGATATTTGACGTGGAAGTCATTTTCCCCACGTGCCTTCCCAGCAGTCTTGCAGCGTAGCACTTGGATCTCCCGCTCCCACCCTTCCCATCTTCTGTCTCGCCATCTGCATTCAATCGTCAGACCAAAACTGCCAAGCGGTGAGTAACCCTGCAACTGCGTGTTTCGGTTTGAACCTCGAAAGGGTTACAGTGGATTTGATCTTGATTATTGCAAGCCGGGGGAAAATAATAAACTCCCATGCCTGATTTGTCCTCCCTGTAACAGTATTAGTCATTTTAACTAATTTATCAATATTAAAAAATAGTAGTTCACTCACTAAATCTATTTCAAATTGATTTTTTTTTCAACTTTAATTACAAGAAATTATATTTAAATTTTAATTATGAAGACAGAATTAAGAAATAGACATTGAATACTTTTTTAAATGATTTATATGTCAGATTAAGGCATTCTTTTTTTATATTGGAAGAAGTATAAATATCCCGCTGTATCAACTCCCAACGTAGATCCGTCTACAGTGGTAACTGTCCAATTCCACGCTGTGACACGCCAGCTCGGTGTGGGCCAAAACCGGAGCACTCATACAAGATAATTACAGAAAAACTCATTCAAACACTGCCTATGAGGAGACGATTATTCATATCTGATGATATAGAGAGTATTTGGCAAGTATAAAAAGTGCTTTGTAAAAAGATTTTTTTTTATAAATTAAGATAAGTTTCTTTACATATTTACTTTATATACAGTAAAAATACCTTTAAAATCATAATTTTAATTCTCTCCAAACACCCATTTTAAATTTTAAAGGCAAAATCTCTTTTGCGCCTCACAACTTCCCTTTTTGCCTGGTTTTAGGATTCGAGGGGAAGTTATTTGACCGCGAGACAATGAGATGTGCGAAATATTGTAACTTGTTGGCTGTTTGCTAGTGTTGGTGATTGAACGTCTTGCATTTTTGAAGGCGCGGGTCGGAGATGGCTAAATAATACCAGCAGAATCGAAAGTGATACATGAACTTGTCACACGCTTTTACTGTCGATTTATTATATGAAGACAACTAGAGTGCCCGCGCCCATGGGCAGGAGTTATTTCATAATGAAAGATATTTTATAAATGCATTACAACACCACAATATATTCTTACATGCTCCGTCTCGTGCGAGGTTAAAATTTCATGATACATATATATTCTTAAATATTTTCTTATAAACACCTTCTCTTCTTATACGTGATATTAATTGTGAGACGTATCACTGAGAAATTGAACATTCTTTTTCTGTGTAGGAAATGAACATTCACTTGATTGTCTGTGGACTATGGTTTTAAAACCTCAAAATGAAAGTGGATTGATTAGAATTTAAAAGCAGCAGACCCAATTAGAACGAACCATTTAATTAACATACAATATAATACAGGTATCCTCTGTGAGTGTCAATTTTGTTTGAAGAAGTATGAGGTTAATGAGAATTTAAACTGATTAAAATTAGGAGTAAACTTGAGCTTGCGTAATAAGAAAAGCAGGCTCCAGCGCCTCGTTACCTCGAAAAGCGGGTCCATAATCCCTGAGGGAAGCCCACTACAACTGTCAACGACAAATTACAGCCTGGAAAGCCATGCCCCACTGCTTCCATTTTCAAAATCAATTACAAATTTTTTTAAAGAAAATAGATTTAATATATTCGCGACAAATGATGATCGTACGTGGTTATGTTTCCTGTCACAAGGCTCTCCTCTTCCCTATATATACCCCCTCTCTTTTTCTTTTTCCTCCGTCTATCATCCAATTCCAAATCCCCTCCTTTGTTAAATTCCAAAATGGGCAATTGCAGCACCTCTTCTTCGACCCTGGTGGCCACCGCCAAACTCGTCCTGCACGACGGCAGGCTCCAGGAGTTCTCCTATCCCGTTAAGGCTTCCTACGTCTTGCAGAAGTATCCCATGTGTTTCATTTGTAACTCCGACGACATGGACTTCGACGACGTCGTCACGCCCATCGACGAGGACGAAGAGCTGCAACTCGGCCAGCTCTATTTTGTTTTGCCTCTGACCCGCTTAGAGCATCGGTTGCGGGCCGAGGAGATGGCCGCATTGGCCGTCAAAGCCAGCTCGGCCCTCGCAAAAAGCAGTGGGGGTGGGAAATACGTCTGTGACCGGAAACAGGTCATGTTTTCCGGCGGAGAGACGAAAAGATCTCATAAAAGAGTGTCTCCGGGAGTTAATAACAGCGATAGGTCCAGGAGAGGGAGGAGTAGAGGAAAATTTACGGCCATATTGAGTGCAATACCAGAGTAGTGGTAATTTTCGGTCTAAAATGTGGTTCGGTGATTTTTTGTTGTCGTTGTATATACATTTAATCTTTCCCCAGGGAATTCTTAATTCTTGAACGTGACCAAGAGCTGGATGTTCCACGGAAACAAGTTAATATGATTAGATTTGAGTAGTGGGCAAAATTTGACCCAGTCAGTTTTTGCGTGTTCTGTACTTTGGCTGTCAGCTGTCTCAGGGAAGCCTCATTCTACAGGCGCGTACAAGAGTGTATTTTTAAGCCGTGAACATAAAAGAGAGAAAGTCCAACTGTGAAAACACTATAGTAGTGATAATTGAAGCCTGAAAGTTCTAACTTATCTCTTATAACCTGATTATACAATATGATAACGATGCCCACTGGCATTGGGATTATATTAGAAAATGGGAAGCCTTGTGCCAACCTTGCGGGGGAGTGGGCACAATATGCAGCCAGTCCAGAACGCTAGAGCACGGTAGTCTGGGAGACGACAACTTTAGAAAGAAATTAAGCGTCTGGAATATGCATAAAGAAAGGGGTGAAGGGACAATGAGCATAGCGTTATCCCAACGCAATTGATTGCTGATGTGACAATAAATTGGACCCATAATTATTATAAAAGATAAATCCTGCTTTCAGCCAATTGAACTCTGCTTATTCATACCTGATTCATAAAGATGGAAAGAGATCTGTGGCGAATAATTTAGTTGGTTGGGGCATTTGACGTTGATGGGAAGAAATGATAAAGATCGAAATGATGGGTTTGGAGGAGGGATGGTCCGATAGAAGACGAAGAGGATAATAATCTCAATTTGGCAAATGCAGATTCGCAGACGCAACAAAACAGTAGAATACTAGAATCTACAACAAAGGCTTTTGTGGGTTTGGCTTAGAACGGCTGAACGGGTCGCTATCTGCCATGCAATTGTTTTACAGTTGTATATACTTGAATTCAAATCAGATTGGAGCTACGCTCTGCAACTCGATTCATCAGAAAGTTTCTTTTATAAACTGGTTCATTATTTTGATACTGACGCAATCGTTTAACAATGAATACTTTTTTGTGATTATATATACATTTTAAAATGATTTAGCAGGAAGTAGAACCCCTTTGTGTGTATAGCTGCTTATGCCATTGTAGAGGGTAGATATAATAGTCAAGTTTCAGCCAAAATGGGTTGTGATGGTTAATGAGAAAGGTATTGGGGATTTTGGCCAAAAAAATAAAAAGGAGAGAGAGGTATTTGGGAAAGCGATACAGGGATAAAATTAAAGTGAGACTTGATGACACGAGACGAAAAGGACTTGATGGCGTGGTTTTGTACCTTTTTTTAATTTGTGTGTGTGTATGTATTTTGGAGGGGGATGGGGGTTGGGTAATTATTGGCTTTCTCAATTCTCATGAATTATGGTTTGGTTTAGTTGGTGAAGGAGTGGGAAGGAAGCAGAATGAATTACTAATAAAGGCTGGGGTGGCAGAACCAGCCCCAAAAGTTAGGTAACACATAGTCACAAGTCAGTAAACTGGTAATGTACTTGGATCACATAATGCTGCGCGTCTCACAGCTGCTGCCTGTTAGGCAGAGGATTGCCAATTCGGCTTCACCAATTCCAGACTCAGTACGGAACCTCACGTTATATTGCGATCAGCATTTGCATATCCTCATAATCCCAAACATAATGGAGTGGTAAAACAGCGCGGCATAAACCTGGACAAGTTAATTGGAGGGAATCCAATGGCTGGATTGCCGGAAACAGCAAAAATGAGGCATATGGAGAAAGAAAGGAGCCAATTTATTTTTGGGGGGGGGGGGGAGGGATTGTTGGTTGGGGAGTGGTAAGTACAAGGGGAGTAAAAGAGCCAGCTGGTGGAATCCGATGCCCTTCAAGCTTTCACCTTTATCCCATATCTCTGCTTCTTCACATCAGAAAGCCTTCAACCCTGTTCCATATTGGCGCGTCAGTAATCTACTGCCCTCCAATTCACCCCCCACAACACGCAAAACCAATTACTCACCCCAGTGCACGTGATTGCCAATCGTGATTGCCCTCACACCACTCTGTCTGAATTTTAAGGAAAACGCGGATATAGTAATTAATTTGCCTGCGCTCTATCGCAGAGGCAGCTTTCCTATTTACTTTAACAAGACAAACGAGTCTTGATGGTTCTGCGGGACCCCCACAGGATGGAATCAAACTATGTGGTCCTCACTACTGTCTAACCTTCCTCCCAGCTTTGTTTTGTTCTTCTTGCCGCCACAGTTGAGCTTTTCTTAATTGTTTCATGCATCACCTAATTCCCAGGAAACTACTAACGAGTGGGGGCCTTATTAGCCGACACTTACCCAGTTACTTTTTCGGGATTAGGCCTCACACACAGTTCCCAGGTCAAGTTGGTTCCGTCACAGAACGGTGATTTAACCATTAGACAATGTGAAGCAGGTGCGCAAATACCCACTGGGTAATGATTCATAGTTGGGGGCTTCCACTTCCATTGCGCAACCAAACAAATACAGGAAGTTTCAATTGAGGACCCTGAAAACTTGAGTTATTACGTGATGATGGCCAATATAATCAAATTCAGTATGCTTTGAGTGGCATTGGTGCTAAAAGTCAAAATGATGAAACACCCTGTCTGAAAAATCATATCGATGTTAATTTGTCTTTTCTGCAAGTAGCCGTGTGTGGGCTCACTGCCTCACTCCCCCAGTCTCAACTATAGGAGAAAATGTAAAGAACATGTGACTGTTTAATTTGTTCTTCGTTAAAAGCAATGACCATAATAAAACGTTGCATAAATATTGAGAGCATACTTGCAACTTGTTGTGATTAACAAGAGATAAAATAAATATATATATAAATTTTATTAACTTTTATTTAAAATTTAAAAAAAATTAATTTTATTTATTTTTAATATATAGTTTACCTCATAGAAATAAAATTAATACAATAATAAATAAAAATAGAATTATATACTTGTATGAAAATTTTTCTCCAGTCTTTATAAATAGGATAAAAAAATTTATTCTCCCTCTGCCTTACGGTACAGATAGCACAAGTATTTAAAACCAACTAAAATTTTAAAGGGAAATTTGGGGGAAAAAAATTCTTGTTTAAAAACTTAACCATTAAAAGGGTCTAAATTTGGTCACATTGTATACAATAAAAAAATATATTATACTCGCCAATCATAGTTGTACTCACTTACATTAATTTTTGATTGTTTCAGTTAATCAAGTTTTTAAATAGCAAGTTTTAACCAAGTTTTCAAATTGTAAGACTTTTTGTGATTAGGAAGTGCTATTAATCAGCCAAACAGAGCCTCCGGAGCGTTAACATCTTGCGCCCTACGCCCCATAAACCGTCCAGGGTCGTGGAAGTGACGTGGGGTCGGTTTAATTTTACTGACGAATGTCAAAGAATGGTTTTGCAAACCCATGAGCTGGGGGCCTATGGCCTATGGGTTTTGGCTTATTCGCACTTTTTCCTCTCTGGAAACCTAAATTCATCGTTCCTCGGTCTTCCCCGGCATATCCAAAAACATGGTTCCCGTCCCTCTCTTCTCTTTCTGGAATCTGGATGCACCGACTCAGCAGACGGCCGTAGAGCCATTTCCGATCCAGCTGTACCCCCGTCGCCCTCAGAAGCGGCTTCTCTGCACCGGTCCCACCCAAGACGCGCGTGCTGTGCTTCGAATCTTCACCGTTCAGCACATCTCACACTCCAAAAGTGGCCACGTCATTACCTTGAACCCTTTATGGCCGATTGCTATTTTCTTCTGTTCCATTTCTCCTTTAATAATATTTAAATTGGATAGCATTCATATTATTTCCTCAGGGTTATCTGGGACAAGCCTTATATTTTCCATTTTTGATGTTATTCACAGATTGAGTTTCATCTTTTTATCTTCACTTTTTTATGCTGGTCACCCCATGAATGAAAGGAAAACGCATATACCGTGCATGTTGGCACTATAGATAAAAATTTATAGTAACATATTATATAATAAAAAAGAGAGAAACGCATGTGCATTTTACAGTTGAAAATATCTTATCTGGAGTGAAAATTACGCAGGCGGATTTTCTCAGCAGTCAATAATAGAACGGGGCACAAAATTTTCCCCTTGCGTGTATATTTTATTCTGACGAGACGTAACCCAACAAACCTGCTCCACTATGGGTTCATCATGGAACACTATTTATTCTGGATTTCCCAGAGCAATGGAGCTGAAAAATATCTGCCACTTGTGACGTGGCAACTTTTGGATTCTAAGACGCATTGAACGGTGGCGATTGGAACTGCCGCACCGGCATGCGGCTTGGAAGTTGGAACAACGGTGGATATTCCATAATAAAAACAGTAATATTTTTTTCTCGCAAGAAAAACTTTTTTTACAGCATACTTTGCTGAGTAATCACTTTCACTTGGATCTTGATTCATTGATTTGGTTGAGGATCCTGTATCGATGGGCACATTACTGTTTTTAACAAAGCTCTTGATTTCCTGACGACTCTGGTAAACTACAGGGGATAACCTGTCAGAGATCAACTTCAAGCGATCTAATTTTGGTTGAGTTGAAATGGTGGCCATTTAGATTGAATTCGTCAAAAATTAATACAAATAATAATTATGTGAATCAGTAATAACTAATTAAAGAGAATATTCATTTTTAAGTGTGGTCATGATTTAATATAAAGCACAGAACAGATCAGATCCTATTTCTATGCGTGTTCTATGATGGGTTGGGTCATGCATAAGCCCATTATTATTAGACCCGCTACAATGGACTGGTCAGGTGCATCATACAAGAATCGCAAGAAAATACATGAGAACTGAAAAAGTGGATGCTGCTCACGGAACACTGAGGCCAAGGCATTTTCCTTTGGGCTACGGACTGCGGAGTACAGAGTACGAAGCACCTTCCCTATGATACTTTAATTAGATCACGTTCGATTTTAATAACAAGATTCTATTTATAATCTATAAATAAGGTTTTATAATTTATAATCCATAAATAAGATGTTATAATTAGAATTAGATATAGTATTTCATTAAAGCCAAAACCCTCCGCGGCATCAATTTCCTCAATTACAAGGAAGTCACGGGTTTAAAACCATTGTTGTGTGTACTCGAGACCTTACGAGAAAGAACGCTCCTTTTTAGCTGAAGGGATGGTGCTTGGCCTTTTTTTTTTTTTAATGGGAGGAGCACGTTTTAAAAGAGGATTCATGTGAGCTTCGACCCACTAAAACGGCAACCTTGCTAACCTTGAGACACCCTATTTTCTCATATTCTTCGGCTTCACCGCATGTCTTTATATGCTTAGTTAAGACTTAAGAGCCGCCACTGAGTTTGATACTGTCAATGTGACATCCGGTGAGCATCTCCTGACTCCTATGATGTTTTTTTTTTTGGATAAATTCTCACATCCCCCCCCCCCCAAAAACACACACACACACACACATTTATATTTTTTTTTTTTATAACTCGCAGATTCGCTTTCATTTCACAGCAGCCCCTCTAAATAATTCTCACCGGCCTACAGATGAATATGCTGAGTCCAGCAGCAGTCACTTTTGTCCAAAAAAAGTACTGGATTCTTGCCTTTTGGTTTGGTATTCATATTTTATCAGTATGTACTGCTGTCATCAACTTGTGCTGCTGTCCTAACATCTTTTGATGTGGGGGAGCCATATATACAGGATCCCAATTTTTTTTTTTTTAAAGTGAAAGAGTGAATCCCATGAACTGATTAAAATAAAACAATTACAAACACATACCAAAATAATCTGAATTTCTTTTATGATTCTGAATTTTCTTTTACAATCTTAATACAGATTGATGTGATGATGCGCATTTTTTTATTCTGAATTTTCTTTTATAATCTGCATTCTTTGACGATTCTGCGATTTTAATTTTTGCTCATGTTCTGCAAAATTTGGTCTTTTTGCCTAGATATTGTGCTGATTTGGGAATTTTCTCAGTTGTCTCTAAATACCCTACTTACCGTGTTATTTCCACTCCTAGAATTCATCCCAGCGACTTTTTACATCTCACTTGATTGATTTTCCTCTTTTCTTCTTGCCGCCAACTATTGATTTCCATTTTCACAGAGAATTATATTATTTATTTATTACTGATATTCATTCTCCCAGGGGAATTACGGGAGTCACTTCAGAATTACAAAATAAGCAAAAATAAAAAAAAAACTTTGAAATGATAATATTTTTAGTGATTGAAACCAACAACTGTTTTTGATTGCTGGTTTATTGAATTTGATTCAATAAAAAATATTCCGATGTACTAGTAACAATTTCGAAGTTACCATAGTAAAATATCATTATTTTCAACTCCCGAATATAATTTTTTGTGTGCACACACTTTTATGCGTGTCCCGGACACATTGTCCAACAAAAGTCGAGATGTTGATGGCTAAAAGAAGTTTGATTTGCACATGACAATTCAAAACGGTAATCAATTGCCTTGTTGACTATTAATCTCATAATTTCGACTAAAATTCAATGGACGGCGATGGGGGGGTTGCGACATGCGAAATGAGAATTGACCTTGAGCATAACGTCTACATTTATTCATTTTTCTTAAAAAAGTATTGGGGTATCATCGGCGTTGACTCTCACGGAGATTGTAGTCCTCTGCTTTTGCTAATTAATATACCACCTTCACCTTTAAATATAAAAGTTAATTAGCTAATTTAAATAAATTAAAATTAAGCTAATTATTTATAATAAATAGGTGTTGTCTTTCTAAAATATCCTTACTAATCAATTTTATTAGTTAGAACTACTGTTATTAAAAAACTATCTTGAAAAAAATAAATAAATATGACAAACAAAATAGATTGAAATTTTATATTTATGACCAAAATAAAAATCAAACAAGATCTTATATAGTTATATTAAGGACTGGAGGTAGTATTATTGTTTAAACAAAAAAGATTCGTAAATGTTTGCCTATCACTTTCCGGAATAAATATGAAACCGCGTAGTTCTGGAAATTGATGATCATTCCCATAAGAAGAGTGAATTGTCTCTGCCATGGGATATTCATGTTCGATTTGGAGTCATAACGAGACTTCTCTGTTTATTGACCTGTGTATTTATTTGACAACCAAAATAAACAACGTGCGGACATACATTCAAGTATCCTGTTCATGAATGCTGTATTTGCTATATTCATATACTCCATCCGGTGCCTTTTGAGTGAGATACAATTGAATATGATTTTTTTCAAGAGACATTTAGATATTCTCTCAAATTTTATTTGTTGATTTCTTATTTTACTCATATCATTATACATTACATATTTTTCTTTCTTCTATATAATTAAAGATATTTTTCGTAAAGATGTTACATTCTCAAACTTAAGTTGCATTGATCATGTCTCAATGCTCATCACAAGATGATACCTATTGTTCTAGTGAAATCTATACCATTGAGATATAATTTTAATGATTTATCCTTAAAATTTTATATAGGTTACAGACCGAAAGTGAATATAACAGAGCAAATGAAAAACATTATAATTTCCTGTTCTACCGGTGAGCCCCGTGCGGCACACTTTGATCCTTCAATTTAAAAAAAAAAATATACATATATTTTCTCAAACTTTATTTGTTGATTTTTTATTTTACTCATCTAATTATATTACTCATATTACTGTACATCATATATTTTTTTCTTTTACATGAATAAGGATATTTTTGACAACAGTATTACATTCCCAAACTTAAGCTGCATTGATCATATTCTCGAGGTGATATTTATTGGGGTGTTGAAATCCATACCATCGAAGTATAATTTCAGTGGTTCATACCTAGAATTTTGATACAGGTTACTAACCAAAAGCGGATATAACAGAGTGAATGAAAAATCTATAATTTCCTGTTCCATTGGTGAGTCCCGTGCGGCACACTTTGATCCTTCGATTTTTTTAAAAAAAAACAAATAATATGACCATTTTAACGGAAAAAATGTGAAGTTTCGTAGTCGTGCTGGGCGGCGCGATCTGGCTTCCACAGTGGGCATTTCAAATATTCCGGGGAAAATCATTCATTATAATTTATATTTGAAAAATTTAACTTTCACACTTTCGAAGAGCCGAGAATACATGAAATGAAACGGGGCAAGGAAAGCAAGTTCTAGAACCATTTCGGGGGGAAAAAAAGGGTAATTTATTTCACAAGTCAGTGGGGATCTCACCCCTCTCTGTTCTCCATTATCATCCTGGGATTCTGCAACTGCGATGGGCCAGTGTGGTTCGTCGGAGAGTCATAAAGGCGCGAAATCCAGCGGAGGTAAAGGCAGAGGCAGAGGAGCTGTTGGGGAGTCGTTCAGAAGACCATCGGCGATTATGGTGATGGATCTGGAGGGTGGATTTAAAGAGTTGAAGCAGCCAGTGACGGCAAGCTCTGTGATCGCCGACAATCCGAATTGCTTCTTGTGCGATTCTGAATCGATATACCTGGGGACGTGTCTCCCGCCGGTTCCAGAGGAGGAGCTGCTTAGACCCGGCCAAATCTACTTCCTCGTCCCACTCTCTCAAGCGCATCAACCTCTGTCCCTCTCTACTCTCTGTGATCTTGCCATCAAAGCCTCCTCTGCTCTTCCCTGACTTTGTTTATGCCTTTCCCTCCGATCACCGCCTCCGTGCGTGGTAATGTTTTCCTGTAAAGTTCAATTCATTTATTATTGTTCTCTCTCTTACTGGCAACCTCTTCCTTCCTCTCACCAATTTCTCTGTATCGAAAATGGTACTTATGGGTTCGCGTTTACGATCTCTGGCATTATTATGGCCGTACTTCTGATCATGTATTGCCGAACTTTTAACAGAAACTGTTTATATCATATAAGAATGATGATAATGAACGCATCAAAATGAAAGTAGTTATTATTTGTGTTGATAAGCCTCTTCTATTCTGATTATGTCGCGGTCGTGATGAGAAGAGAATTCTCCTGGGAGAATATAGATGAAAAGAAAAAGAAGGGGGTATTTTTTGATGGATCTTGCTTGACAATGAAACGTAGGGTTTACTGAACTATTTGTTTGGCCTGCCTCTCCATGTAGACTCTGGGGAGAATCAAAGTCCTGCGGGGTAACTGGTGATTAACATGGTTATATGAGATTTATTTGGTATGTAACTGTATAAATGTTTTCTAATTCCTTACCGCTGTTGACCATGTAACATGATGCTCTTCTGTAACTTGCTCTATTTATCATATGGCGTGATATGAAGTAGGTGGTTGTTTTTGTAATGAAGTCACTGATTCCCAAGCTTATCTCCAAAATAATTAATAACATACGTCTTATATCTTGACGACTAAGCTATGGCGGGGAAAATGGTGAGTTGGAAGCAAAAGAAATGGAATCCCAGGGGATTAATATAAACGGGGGGAGGGGAACACAGATGGATAACAGTGGTTAGAACGAGGCCCCGGTCCCGACCAGGCAGCCACTTGACATATGCACACACGCTCTCTCTGCCCATCTTCACGGCCCTGCTGTCACGCTGTTGTCTGTTGCACTCATCACCAACCTATGGCGAGGCTTCGCTTCGTAAAATTACTATTTGAACGATTCACATTCTATATTTTTCATTTTATAAAATTATGAGCAAAATGTTAATTTACTAAAAAACTATACAGATAAAATTAATCTGGTAAATTTTAATCATAATAATTTAAAAATAGTGAAAAATGTTTTATAATTTTATTTTATATGATATAAAATTTGGATGTTCAAATTACAATCATAATAGTTTAAATGAGAAGCGGATGAAATGAAATGGAAGAGAGGTGGGCAGGTTTCTTTCCCCACCAACCCTCCAAAAAGAAGAACCAAAACAGGGTAAATAAATAAAGTGAAAAAGTAGAACTGTTGGCATTTTAGCCCATATACTTGAGCATGCGCCCGTTAGAGCTGTCAACTTATTGTTATTGGGCCATTGTAACTCCGAAGCCCATTCTGTGTGAGCATATAGCGGGCTTTTGTCGACGATTGCCAGCAGGGTGGCCCATGGGATGCACCCAGGCATCCACGTGGGGACGTGATTTTACTTTTTACACTGAATTTTTCTCGATGCAGGGTCAATATTCAACCCCCCATTTCACTCTAAACTCAGAAACCCATCATTGAATTGAACCTACAGCGTTGATTGTATTGTACTTTTAAATTTTAACCCACACACGTAATGCAATTGTTAAATGTAAATAAAATAATTCTCTTCCCCCGCCTTCCTAAATATACGCATGTCAGGCTTAGTTCGCCATCATTTATTAATTTTTCAAGATTCAAATTATCTTATCAATTATTGAATTAGTGGTATACTAGGAAATAAGTCTATTAATATTATTCTTGACTTTTTATTTAGTACATCACAGTTGGGTTAAGTCATGCTTAATTTTCAGGCACATATTTTCACCACTTGCTTTGTTTTCTACAATTATTTTGTGAGGTCACCGGCAACAATGTTTTAAACAAAGGGCCACCTAAAGCTAGGAAAAGGAAAAACCGAAAAGCAGAGAGCAGGAAGATGGGATAAAGAAACTCTAGTAAAATCTTTTTGACAATAAAATTTACTTAGGTTAGCTGTTCGAGAGTTGTATAAATTCTCGGACTCTTGTTATTTTCATTTTTTCAATTTTCTTCATAGTTGACTAACCCCTTTTTTTTTATTACCATTAATTTTTAGTCGAAAAGATGGTGTACTGAATTCGGAGGCAGTTTGAGGCATATTGTGATTGCCAGTGGAAAAGTAGACATAGAAATAAAAGAGCACCTAATAATTATCCCCCGTTTCCATAAACGCCCAAAAATCCCACTTCTCCTAAGCTCACAGATCCATGTGCAGAGTTTCCACCACAGCTTCCCCATACCAGCAGACCCATCCCCCATAATCTCAGTATTAATATTAAATATAAAATATAATTTTTTAAAAGATATTTTTAACTACTACTAGTTTATTTGCTCGAAGTTAGCTCCAGGCGGAGGACAAGTTGGTAAATTCAGTTCCTCTTCTTCTGAATATAAAATAACATTATATCAGAGCATTTGATGTCATGAATCTTGGTGCAGGGCTTACGCCTAGCTTGTTGACAACAGATCGGGCCCGGAAATCAATGAAAACGAAAATGGTCCATCTCCGTCCCTTGTTTGCAGTGGCTTTTCTCGCCATCTTGCAAGTGTCGCCGTCAGCCACCACGACGGCCGAGGTGGAGCTACCGGATGCGGCCAAGCAGTTCTTAGACGCTCACAACCAGGCAAGAGCTGCGGTGGGGGTTGCCCCTCTTCAATGGAGCCAGAAGCTGGCGAATGCCACCAGCCTGCTCGTTCGCTCCCAAAGAAACAGAATGGGATGCCAATTCGCCAACATAAAACCAGGAACTTACGGTGCCAACCAGCTGTGGTCGGGTGGGGAGACGGTGACGCCGCGAGCGGCGGTGGAGGAGTGGGTGAAAGAGAAGAATTATTACAACCACGCCAACAACTCTTGCGTGGCCAATCACAGCTGCGGGGTTTACACTCAAGTGGTTTGGAGGAAGTCATTGGAGCTAGGCTGTGCTCAAGCCTCTTGTGTGAAGGAGAAGGCCAGCTTAACCATTTGTTTCTATAACCCTCCCGGCAACGTCGTCGGCGAGAGCCCCTACTAGTTACCACCCCAAAGTCCCTTACTTATCCCACTCTGTTTGCATGCATCTTTGTTCCTTTGCCTCTCAAATCAATAAATAAATCATCACTTGCTTAGATATCTTTTCGTTTCTCGCTTGTTTTTATGTTTCATTGCTATAGCAGGAATCACTTCACAATACATCGCAGTGATGATCATCCGCACCTGAACCGCCGCTTTTTCTGCCCTTTTTTCCCACGGCGGCTTGCTTATTTAGACAACTAGATAAGGCAGAAGCCAATAAGATTCCGATGATCCCAGTCTTTGACTAATGACTATAATGATTGGCACACCAAAGATGGCGTGACTTAAATGCACCGACGATTTCTGAGCTTGCCTTCACGTGCGTGCTTGCGGGATTCACAATGCAGACCGGCCCATCTGACCCGGAACTTATTATCCCTAACTCTCGAGTGAATACTAAAATCTCAGCCCAAACTTTTCTGCGCTCACAGAGTCCAATAGCCCCTTTCTTTATTTGATCCCCAATACAATGTTCGCATTTTTTAACTCTTCCACAGATTCTCCAGGATACCTTTTCTTTTGGCTACCTAGAAATAATCGCACTTTCTCATGTTACACGTGGTTCAGAAGCTAGAAAAGTCTGCAGGTATTAATTGCAGCCATAGGCTTGTATCTGGAGATCCCTCGAACCCAGATGCGAGAAACTATTCTAGTAATTGATAATTCAATCGCTTAAGACCCCAAATTGTGCTGACCCCTTTAGTCACTTCCAACGCTTCCTAACCAAGTTATAACCGTGATAATCTACAAACAGTCAACAATAACGTACCCAGTCGGAAGACATTTGATTATAGAAACAGCTCATTTACACTGCTCACGGCAGAATCTCTCGATTTTAACAAACTACTCAATAGTCAATACAGATACTTCTGTGACATGGGAAGACATTATACGCACGCAATATCCGATTGTGATGTCAACGCTACCCTATATATCTACTTTGTACAAAAGAATAAATACATAGAGCAAACAATGCGGATTGTCAGTCGCATTGGAAACTAATGAAATTCGGCCATCATTTCACCAGTTCCTTGGATATAAGATATCGGAAAGTAAAGTTGTGTGGAATCCATTCTATGCTCTTTCTTGATTTTGCAACCTGACATTTCTTGATGCTCTTCCGAAGAGATTCGGGCAGAGACTGTTGGATCATTTCCATAACACCAGCAGAGCACAATCCTGATTCCTTGGCAAATGTGTCTACAAGCTTTGGTAGAAGGATCTTCTGGTCCTTCCGCACTCCAAAGGTCGCTCGAATGTACTCATCCTTCGCAACTTCCAGCTCTTGAAACACTCTTTTTGGTGTAAACACACGCACCTGTAAACAGGTTCATTGTAAAGAAGTGGCCCATTAATAGGGATGTTACTATCAATTAAATTCCAAAGCTTTTTAGCCAAACAGAAGTCAGGATTGATAGAGTAAAAGGCGTCAAAGTAAATGAGAATAGTGAAAATACCGCCGGATCAGAATGGTTTCCTGAGCAGAGTGCAAAGTGTAAAAGAGGCTCAGGATGCTCTATTGCGTATGATTGTCGTCCATCTCCAGCCCTGAATTTTGTCCTTGGGGAAAAGAACACCCGGAGCCACTACAAAAAACAAGTTTGATGAAGTTCCCAACTAAGTCAAGAGTGATTAGAATGAAAAATGATTCTTTTCATTCTCAGGAGATAATAATAAAACATAGCTCCGAATGGAACTTCCATATTATTCTTGTTTTAGATAGGGGGCAGGGAATCTACCTGTCCAGGGCGAGAGAGCCGGCATCCAAGGATGGCACTCTGTATTGTGTCTGCACTAACAGTCTGACCCCCAACATTGTATGCAGCCTGGAAAGAGCACGACAATAAGCAGTCAGTTAGGTTAAAAAAATTTCATCCTTCAATTAATTATTAAAATCACTTTCATTTTTTCACCTTCAAGAGAAGAAATAGCCTCTTCACATTGTTTTGCGGAATCCCATAAGCCAAAAATGCCTACACACACCGGGGAACTAAGTATAATTCAATGAAAGAAATGGAGATTTTAAAGAGAGCACATTTTTGGAAGGGGCAATTACATGCATCACCAAAGCATTGTGTATGTTGATCCAAAAAGCTAGCTTCTCCTCATGATTCAACTTCCCAGGATTCACGTCTTCCAATTGACAGATAAGTGACCTGAAACAACACAAAAGGATAAAGCTAAAACTCCAGGAGACTCTACTTCCATTTAATTATATGTTTTCAACTTGAGAGCTTTATTGATCTAATGAGCAGGCCCACCTGAAGTTCTGGAGCAGCAGCTCCGTGTCACCCAATTTCTGACTCTCTCTATAAATCCATGACACTTCAACCATGGTGCTGTACGGTCCACTAAACTCCTTGAGCCCTTCGACATGGAAAGGGTTGTCTAACCGTACATCAAAAGAGGAATTGTTCTTGAACCCCGGACTCCATATATCACCTTGATCTCCCAGAGAAAAGCCGCTCATTGATGACAAGGATGAAGTAGGGGATGAAAGGCCAGGTTGCGTCAAAGATGGGTCTGAAAGCTTGCAATATATAGCTGATATGCATTTGACCATTTCTTCAGAAAGCCTATTAGGTGTATCCGGGATATGATCAGATATGCGAGTGCCGAGATGTTCTGCCAGGCTAATTACATTTGATGATGCCGTTTGGGCATACTGCACAAGACCACTAAAAGTCAAAATCATAATAAGAACTTATTGTGAATACAAGCATATGAAGCAGAAGATGCCAATAAAGAGCATGATAGACTGCTATCCATTCTTATGAAATGAGATAAAGCAATGCTAATTACGGCATGTTCCACAAAAGTTGATTTACCTCCATCATGGACAATGGTTGTGAATGACAAGCGCGCAAAGATTTATCTAGAGGTTCTGCTGGAGGAGATGTTCTAGTTGCAAATGCTGAATAGTGAGATAATGAGGAATGGCAACGATACACCCCGGAATCTAATAGCTTTTCTAGTCCATTTCCATTATGTCCTTTTCCTTGAGCGTCGTGCTCATGTCCATTGGATTGTATACTATATTCCTTTCCTGGAGTCTCAAGCTTATGAATATCAGATTGTATGGCAGAACATCCTCTTTTGGATAAGATCTCGTGATCACAAACTTCAATGACTCTTGCCTTAGGTGTTACTGAAGAAGCTTTTACTTTTTCCTCCTTGGTAGATGGAGATACGGAAGATAATTGTTGATCAAATGCTTTGCGGTACAAGGAGAGAAGATGTTGTTCCAGATATACAACTTCCAGCTCTAGCAGTGCAATTTCCTTAATTAATTCTGTAGCTGGCTGGAGTTACAAAAATAACAAAAGATTTAAAATTTAGCGAAGCGGAAGCAACGCATGACAGGATTATGCCACAAAATTGGGCGAGAAGTATTGAAATGTGAAAAATATACGACAACAGATGCACATGCTGGTTTTATTAATCCCAAAAATGAAAACGGTGCTACCTTGGGCATTATCACGTCATTTGAACTTTGAAGAGATGAAGGCCTGTATCCAAGAGCCTTTTCCAATGTGCATCGCACCTCAAACTGGTGTTGTAGCCTTCTCTCAAGGTCTAGAATCTGCACTCAAGTAGACGCTTGTAAATGAAAAATAAGAATATTTACGAGTTAAAAGTAGAACATTCTACCTAGCAAGAACAATTAAGATGGAGTATGATTAAGAGAAGTAGCCGTGGAGCTGTAGTATAGCGTAAAGAAGTATGTAGTGCTTACCTCTTGCTTCAGATTATTTTGGACTTCACGTGGAGGGTTTTGTTTTCTCGTAGATTTTGTACAATCGGTGAGGTATCCGATATCCTGGAACCAGATCAAAATCCAGAAGTTAGGGCAGATGTTCGGATATAATTGCCCAGAAGTAGTTGCCGACTCCAGAGAAGGATATTAAATTCAGCGATCAATATTACAACTACAGGGGATGGGATTAATTATTTCAACCTTAACGCCCCACAAACTAAATTCTCTGCAAATCCATCTCATACTACGCTTGAAATTATATTATTTATTAATTATTAACTTCAAAGCTTCCATCGGCGTTCATACTTCCGGCGAAAAATTTATTTCCTCATCATGCTAGCGTCGACTCGCCTAAGCCTAAGGATGCATGCAAACGAATTCGCGCCTTCCTATTTATAAGATTAGAAAGGCTAGAAACAAGTGAATTTCGTTTCATAAAGGGAGGAAAATACTGGAGTCATTGATTATACCAGCTTCGTTCTATCTGAGGCCTCAATATGATTATCTGGATTATCCTCCTCGACTTTCTTCTTGTCAGGAAAACTGCCATTTGAAAAGAACAGACACAACGATAAGATAACTGGAAGTCGGACACTGTAATTTATACCATCTTCGCATGTATGCTGATTTCGTTAAAGGAGCCCGAGCTGAAATCTTAAAGTCGCCGGTTCTGAGCTCTCATTTCTGATCCCAATGATTCACCAGGAACCACACGGGATATACTCAATTGGCCATGGAGTCTAGAAAAGTAGCTACACGCACAACAACAAGAAGAACTTTTGCAGAGCAAATGTGAAAGCTTAATTTTCCATCATCAGAAAAAGCAACCTCAATTTCAGGGATTCCAAGATCAGCAGAGGACAGGCATTAAAGGAACACATATTAAGCAGCAAGAACAGCTAAAGACTACAGATAAAAAGATACCTCTTTGAACGCTTGTGAGTTTGAGTCAATCTCAGTCCCACCATTTTATTTTCTCCGACCCCGTCAAGCCCCATTCCTGAAAACGATCCGAATCACAGTTATTACCAGTGAACAGTGAAAAAACAGAGCATCAAAGAGACGCCGTTTTACCCAAAAACTTAAGAAGCGATGGATAAGCAGAAAGAACTCGAGATGAGAATGGCGCAGCAGTACAGAGACCCAAATGAGCAAGGATTTTCCACTAATTAGATTCTGGGAGATCACTTATCCTCTCGCATTGCAGATGAGCAGAGCTTCCAGGAAGTACCCGCAAAGTGTTCATTTGCCGCAAATACAGTCTGGTTGCCAAAAGAATAGCAATGTTTTCCTAAAACCCAGGACCAACATCGAGAAAAGATTAGACTTTTGACCAATGCAGGTGCCTTCTCTTTGAAGGAGCCTCTCGCCCCCTCTGAACCGCTAAACTTTATAATGGATGGCCTTTATGCATTTGCATTGAAAGACGGAAAGGAGTTCGTGGGGTATTAGTTGAGTAAGAGAGTCTCAGTTTCAATGTGCTGAGCCGACTAGAGCAATGATGGAAGAGAGAAAATGTCAAAACCACTAAAAGTAAACAGAGCTTACTCTAGAGATCCTAGGTGACTAATGAGAAGAAAATAAATAGTGGCTTAGACTGAAATTAAAAAATAATAAAAAAGAAGAGCAGTGTATTTTCCACGTTCTCTTCCCTCGTTGGGAAGCAAGTGGGAGTTGGTGACCATCCGTCCTCCATTTGTCTCCTGCTCCCCTTTTCAATCCTTGACTCACTCTTGAGAATAATGGCGATTGAAAAACCAGGTGATTAGGCCAAAACCCCCCGGGGGGGGGGAGGAAAGGAAAAACCAGCTGATCTGATGGAAGTAAAAATACATTCCTATTTTCACATTCTCAAATTATTTTTTTCCCATGTGCTTAGCAATTTTTTCTCTCGGATATATGTTTCTATATATTTTGGTCTCAGACCATCAAAAATTTGGAATTTTTTCTCTCCCAATAATTCAAAGTTTTGGAGATTGTATCTAACAATGAGAATACAAGTGAAAGGTTACAAAACTCTGGTTTGGGAAAAAGAAAAGCGAGGATTACCTCAAAAGGGATGAAAGCAGAGGGATAAAGGGGACATTGGATGCCTGAAAGGAGTAGAGGTTTTGTGGGGTTTCTCTTTGTCTAAATGCCTTTTTGAAGAATTAGCTTTAAGGGATACCCATATTGTCCTTGAGCATCAAGGAGACTAACGTTTGTCACAGAATCCACAGAAATGATATGTTTATTATTAGTTTTGACCTCTTGCGAAACAAATACAACAAAAGAAAAAGATGGGAGTGCGGCAAGGTGGCCAGTTCTTCCTTTTTGTCGTCATATAAACCTACTCATGAAAAAAGCTTCTTTTTTCGCTGCACACTTGCGGACTCACAGATGGACAGGTAAAGCGGGAAAAGGAGACTGCGCCTCAGGGTGAGAGAAAAACAACCCAGGGGAATTTCTACAGTAAAAACTGTTTCCTTTTGTGCCAGTGCTACCAAACCAAAACACGACCTTACCACATATTTCAACGCGAGTATTTCAGTTTTCATGTCACAAACTGTAGAAAATTCCTAGCTCTTCCTCTATATAAAAAATGTGTTTGTGTGTTTTGTGTGCATGCATATCCACTAACTTCATTTGCCAAGCCAAGAAGAATTGATAGTAAAACAAAATTCAGGCCTCTTCTTTGGACGCATCCGATATTTTTTAAGCTTCCCTGCAGGTCTGGTCCCAATAGATAAACAAATGAAACTTCTATTTTATCTTATTGTCGAAATTTTATACAAGTCGGATGGACGGTTTTCAAGGCCAGATGAATACAAGGGACAAGGAAAATAGTTAAGTTGTATAATTTTAAATAAAATGAAATGGATGGGTGATCTAATAAATCTGACAGACATGCTTCCTAGACCTATTTAATTATTAAAAGCATCTAGTTACGCTCATTAATGGACACGGCATCCCTATAACAACAGGGATAGCCAATGTATTGTTCACATAACTCTGCATCACTCTCTCCCCCCCCCCCCCCAAAAAAATCTACAGAACTCCAGAGAACTCATTCTCCATATATAAAAAGAAAAAGAAAACAGTTAATCTGCACAAGACCAGCTTCGGTGCCCGGGCTTAGATGGTAAAATGTGTGGTGACACATGAACAATTTTTCAGAAAACTTTATTACCACGCCAGCGTTGCTGCGTTACGATTTTAATTAAGAAGATCATATGACTTGCGAAGATGGTCATTATAAAAGACGAAGAACATTTTTGGCTGAGCTTATAAATGAAGACAAATGAGAACTTATTTCTTACGCAGGTAAATTCAAAAGAAGCGAAACCCATCGAAGTGTTTGAGAATTTGTGATCTATTGTCGTTGTTTCTAGCTTTATTATATTAGTCTTTGTTTGTTTGTTCGTTTGTTTTCTCATGGAAAGCCAATATAGTTAGAAACAACACCGTTTAAAGCAACTTCCTCTGGTTTTCATTTAAACTTGCAATGACACCGGTAAAAAGATTAGTCCAATGAAGTTTTAAAATTTAAATCAGTTTGTCGTGATCTTTTTTATGAACCGAGAAAAACTGAATTGCCCTCTTTTGTCACAGGTTGTTTAATCCGTAGCACCAGATAATAATGACCCCATAACGGGGACAGAGAAAAGGAAAATAGAAAGTGACTGTTCAAAATCACATGAACAATTTAAGTGTTCAAATTATAGGACCATTGATGGACATGGAAGGAGGGAGGAAAGTGCACAAATCAATGGTGGTGTTTCCAAAGGAAGGGAATACAGAAGCAAGGGACTGATCAGCAAAAAAGGGTGTCTCGAGTTGGGAGAACCTAAATCCACAAGTTGGTGTCCATATTAGCTAACTGAGACGATTAGACGTGCGGGAGGCTAAAGGGGGGAGACGGAGAGTGACTGTTAAGAGTATGCGCGGCAGTGGGAAACTACGAGAGGCTAAGTGGAGGCGGTATACTGGTTTTGGGCTTTAAAAAAGTTGTAGAATCCCAACTGTGGGACACAAAAAGCGAACTTTCCAAAAACGTTTGGACAAGCAAGTCAATGCCAATCATATATAACCAGTAAAAAGCTTCCTCTCTCTCTCTCTCAAGCATATTCCAGGGCCTATAAGTTAGTTAATCGGTGCATATACCTCCTCCAAGGTCATAGCCTAATAGTGGTTCTGACCCCATATGATTAAATTTAATAGTACTCATCCTGAAATGCTTTAAAGCGCGGGAAAAGCGCTGGCCTCCAACAATGATTTCCTTACTTTTAACAAGTTAATTGAAGACTACATTTTAGTCGGTGTTGCTTTGCTTAATCAGAGGTGTCCCTAATTAAAGTTGATGCAGGAAAATGAATTTCACATGAAAAGAGGAGGCGGGGGGGATAGAACAGCAGAGAGGTCCTTTGGGCTTTAGCATATGGAGAGTTTAACAAAAGGGACTGACAACCTGGTGGGTTCACTGGCTTTTATCTTTAGTGTCGAGTGCGGAGAGTGAAGGCGCGGCACCAGGAAGGAACCCTCTTCCTGAGTCCTGACCTTGCCCTTTTTCTTCTCTCTTTTTCTGATCTTTTATTATTTCTATGATCATTACACCACCCAATGGATCTATCCACGTCTTTCCTCTATTATGTAATAACAATCCGCGAAGTAACACTCTGACTGTGACAGCCCTCAATTCACTCATGTACTAGTACAGTAACCATGGCGATTGAACAACTCTGTTCTCAGCATATTTGACTTGGTCAACTACCTTGTTATGTAAAGATCCACGCCCTTTCCATTCAATGGAGGTCTTCCAAGGGCTTGTGGTGAAAGAGAAAAAGGGAAAGAGCGTCAAGACAAAAACCGAGGTAACAAAAGTCACTGATCAAGGCGTAAACAAGGCAGAATAAAATCTCTTAAACTTTCAACTCTTTTTAAGCAGATAATGTCTTTCCCCTTTTATTTTAGCTTTGTGAAAGCAGGCAACTAGAATAAAGCGTCCCACAAAAGATACTTGGGGGATGATCGCCAGGACGTTAATAAGAAGGAAAAAGCCCCTTAGTTTGGCAAATGACAGTTAAGTCATTATAATAATGTTTCAACCAGACTAGTGAGTTGTGGAGGACGGTGCAGTGAGCCATTAAATATTGGCATCAGTAGAGCAGTTAGTGGTGAAGTGAGGAGATGGGCTGGTAAGGTTTCAGCGAAGCAACCAAACCCAACTATTCTCTGAAACGTCGACGAGAAGCGTTCGGAGTTGGTTATAATTAGAGCTACCTGTGCCACTTCTTATATATCCATATATTAATTCGTTACTGAACGGACAATACTATGAAATATTCCGACATGATTATCACAACAAGATGAACTGAATCCAAACAGGGCATGGACCACTCTGAGCTAAGTAGAGAACCAACCGAACTAACTAATCAACTTCAACCGAACCCTCCCCTGAAAAAAGCCGTCATTTTTTATTTATAAAGGCTAAAGTATGTTTTTGGCCCTTTAATTTTATATAAGATTTTATTTTGATTTCTTAACTTTAAAAAATAAATTTTTAGTCCTCTAACCCTAGAACTATCAACAAAAAATGATGATATTGAACTCTTGAATATTGATAAAACATTACTAAATACTATAATATTAAGTTTAATTTTCAAAACAACTATGATTGTTAATAAAAAATTAGTTATTATAAGACCCTTAGATACTAATAATTTTAAAAGATGATAGTTTTAAAAAAGTATAATTAAAACTTACCATCTAATCTGAAATTATTTACGTTAAAGTTAAAGTTAGACTGAACTAAGCCATTTATAAATTAATAAGTGAAATATTTGTAAGGTGGACATTTGAGTTCCAAGCCCAATGGGTTTATTCATAGTAACTCACGCGAGATGGCCCTGTGGGCTGTGGCTTCACATCTGACTGTGCCCTTTGTAATGGGCTCCTGTTCTCCTGTTTCGTTTCCCTTCTTTTACACCACCACGCATAATATTAAAAAAAAAAAAAGTGGCGAAATACCTTCAACAACGAGTTCAAAGCAACGAATTTCATTCGCAAATACCGAGGGAATGTGTTCTTAAGAGGGTTAAGGCAATATTTTTCTCCCTGCAGTGCTAAATTAAAAAAAGTGAAGAATATTAGCAACAACAATTTAGTAAGCAGGATATGACGTATGGAAAGAAAAGGCTTGAGTAAAGTATCACATCAATATGTGTATTAAAAACAGGAATTAAAAATACAGACCAGGCAATAAAATAGAAATTTATTATATTCTGATCGAGTTGAAAAAATCATCGTCACCCCTTGTGATTGACATGGGGAGAATCAGAAGAGGGAATTAGGCCCGGCGCTCCCCACAGAGGCGCTCAGACCCAAGAAAGTCAAGAAGGTGGACTGTACCTGTGGCTATAGCGATCCCAATTGGCCGATCGGATATTATTAGCGCGTTACTATTACGTACGAGATAGGGCAGGCCCGCTTGACGCTTCCTTGTATTATTATTATTATTGATTTAGTTGGTATAAAGGGGGAAAAAGAATAAATCACTACAATGGAAAATTATACTTCTTTAGTCTTATTTATCATGCGGAGAGAGAAATTTTTTTAGGTTTTATTTATAAGTTACTTTATTAAATTTTTATCATGAATGTACTATATTGTCCTTCATTTATTATAGTGTAGATAGTTTCTTTTGAAAGAAGTATATATTAAATATGGGCAAATTTGAAAAGTTAATATATTTTAATGAAGAGTTAAGATAGCTTAAGATTTTTTTATCTATATAAAATTTATTAGAAGTGATTTATAAAAGATAAACCGCGAACTAATCCATGGAGCGTGAGAAGCACCTTGGGGGGGGGGGGGTTGAATAAAATGAATGGGTAATAAATAAGGGTGAGGCGATAAGGTGCGGAGGAGAACAACAAAAACAAAAAGGATAATTTTAAGGGTTGAGGAGAGCGAGGTGCAGTTAGCGCGGGGTTGGACTGCGAGTATCCAGCCAGCCACTTATCAGCATCCATCAATTACAATTCACTCCCTTCCCTTCCTTCCAAAGTTCCAATTCCCACCTACGCTACGACTGAAGCCTAACAGGAAACCCCCCGCAATTACAGAAATAAAGAAATTCCACGCCCACCTACGATCTGCTGCATCTCTGACCTTTTTGCCCTTTTAAGCTCACAAATATATAAAATAAAATAAAATAAAAAATAAAAAATAGACAAACCCTTTTGTCTTTGTATTTGGGCACGGGGCCTGACCTCCCCCTGACCACCCCCACCCGCTTTTTCTTCAATTCCTAACGCAGCAAAATCGTATTCGTATGCCACAGATCACATCTGTTACTTGGCCTAATATTTCCCTTTGTGATTTGCTGGGGGAGCGATTCAGGGGAGACACACAACTTTTAACAATACATCACCCGCCCATCGATTATTAGTGGTGTGATCTCCCTGCATAAACCTCCCCACTCCTTTTTTTATCAAGGTACATTGCCCCTGCCCCCACTTCTTTATTTTCTGAATCTGCGCTTTGCCCAAATGTCTACGCATGTCACATTTTTTTTTGCAGTCAATTTGGTTTCATGGTGTCTCCCTATATTGTTGTTCCACTAAATATCTTAACAAAATTAAAAAGACGTGCTACTAGTTAATGCGGGGAAGAAACCCCTCTCGCTCAACTTTTCTAGCAGACGTCTACATGGAATTTTATTAGTTCATGGTATAATTGATGCCCAGTTTCTATGATTCTGCAGCTTTTTATTTTATTTTATTTAAAATTTTCCCCCCTGGGGAACCTGGTTGCAACGTTTAGTTTGAGACCATACTGTGCATGTTCCCGATCCTTATTGACCCTCACATGTTGTGGATTTGTCTAGGGTTTATCTTCGCTTTACTAGTTAACCGTCATAATGCGGGGATTTTAGTCGATTTCCTATTCCGGTCTCGTCATTACGTTTTTTTAGGTGACAGAAATCACTGAGATTTAGTGTTCAATCTGGCTATCTGTGGCTCTGCTGTCCTCGGCTCCTGTTAGCTGGAAACTCTTCGCACTAACTCCTGAAAGTTTTGTTAGTCTTTCTTATTTTACGTCTGTTGGGCACTGATGTCCTATGATAGCTGGCATGATTGGGGCACGTCAAATAAGGGAAAAAGAAATAAGAGATTCGGTTAAGTTACCGTACATGTGTCTTCCTGGGCGCCTAGTAACAATGCAATTGGCAGAAAGATTATTGGCAGAATTGTCATAATTTTCTTTTGCTGATCCCTGGGACTGACTGAGTTTGATGCTATCTTTTTGAGTCCTCGTAACTCTGAGAAGCATATTGGAACGGAAAAATCATATTAAAAAAAAAGCCAAAAAAAAAGCGCATTTTAGATTTAAAGTTGTAATTTCGTTAAAGCCTGAAAAGGACAAGCTAGTTCTTGAGGCTAATGCGGGATGAATAATTCTTCAGTTTTTTTTGCAAGAATAAGCCTTTGGCATCATATTATATGTCTGCAATGCATTCTGTGACCAGGCACATTTTAGTAGGCAATCTTAAATTTTGATTTGGGAAATTTTGCTTTTCTTCCTTTCATTGATTCATAATTTTTAATGAACATTTATGAGATGGTAATTACTGAATTAGATTTGTGAATCATCCTCGCTTCAGAAATTAGAAGCTCACAGAATTAGAGTTCCAAATTTTTTCAAGAGATGCCTCAGTCATCATTAGTACTTATTCATCTAGCAGTTTAATCACATAGGGGCATTAAACAAACAAATATGAATTGTTTTTCTAACATATATGGGCTATTGTTTTGTCTCCGTTATTTGGTGCTCCTGTTGAGACTTAAGAATCTTAAGATCATAGATGTGTATATTATGATTTTTCCCCTCAAAAAAGGCCACTGCATGGAAGAAGCAGGGACAACAATGTCCATGACAAAATTCCTTTCTTAGTTTTAAAGGTTTACAATATGTTTATGCTACTAATAACTTTGTAGAATTAGATAATCAGTTCTATATTCTTTAAATATATCTTGCAGTCTTGGCAACTATCAACCTTTGAATATAGTCATAGCGATGCTGATTCATAAATGCTATAATTATTCAAGCATGGAATCCAAATATGGTCATTCTTCTGCTTTTGGCTTTACTAGGTTTACGTTCCATCAAATTTTCTTGGATACTTGAAATGGACCTTCATCAGTTCATACTGTTGCCTAATGATTTCTTAATGCTTTTAATTTCAAGATATTTTTTGGCCGATCAACATCAGTTTTGGTTTTCTTTCAATCAAGGGATTTTATAATGTTATTTTGCAAGTTCTTCTTAATATCTTGTTGAAAAGTAAAAGACCATATTGTTTTAATTAAACGCTGACATGCTTAGTGCCAGTTTATTGCTGCTGTTAGTATACACACATGTATATTCTGCTTATCAATTTAGAAGAAGCATATAATTGTTTTCATTTTTGGCTTCATTTTATTGGCATGTCTAAACTTACATGGTATAACATGGCAGGAACATAGTGGTGAGATAAGGGATCATCAGTTGTAGCATGCACATCGTAATAGAGTACTGATTATAGAATAATATCATGGAAGTGCTTCCGTGTTCTGGTGTTCAATATACTGCAGAATCTGATGGCCCTCAACAGAGTCCAGTAACATCTTTTGTTTACGAGGGAGAACCTAATTGCTCTGAAAATGGTGAACGACATGAATTGGAGGACGGTCAACTTAATGACTCATTACCTAAAATGAAAGGCCCTCAGGTGGAAGGGCAGGGTGAAGCTCAAGAGGCAGTTGGCAAACTGTCAGTTAATCCAGATTGGCAGTGCAGTGGAGCTTCAAATTGCGAATGTCAAGCTTTGGACCAAAAGGAATCTTCTAGTTTCCATGCTTTTGATGAGGATGAGATAGATGAACCTTGCTTAATCTCAGAGAACCCTGTTCCCTTTGAGGATACAATTGAAAGTGAATCACCAAACAACAGTAGGGATGGAGAGTTACCACTTGCTGAACCTAGTTGGCTGGAGGGGGATGAGTCTCTGGCATTGTGGGTCAAGGTAACCCACCATAAGTGTAGTTGTAATTGGGTGGTTTACTTTTTGTTGAAATTTTTTTCTAACCGATTTTGTGCTCTTCTCCCTACAAGAAATTTCTTTCATTCACAAGTCTGGTCTAGCTTCTTTATTGCTCTCAATTCTATCTCATGCTGTCTCTGTGTCATGACAATATGATTTTTTTTTTTGTAAAAAAGAAAAAATCATTTATGAAGAACTAATTACGCTTATCCAATATGGTCTGGTGCGCCTCACTATGGGTAGTTGTCAGTGAATTGTTAAGTTTACATTTCCATTATGCCAGTGAACTGCTCTAGTATATTTCATTAAGCAACAAATTGCAATTGGTTCCTTTTCTCTTTATACAAAAAATGCTAGATGTAGTAATTTATTTTTCTCTTGGAATTCTGTCTTGTTCAGTGGAGAGGGAAGTGGCAGGCTGGTATCAGGTGTGCAAGGGCTGATTGGCCCTTATCAACTTTGAAAGCAAAACCTACTCATGGCCGGAAGAAATATTTTGTGATATTTTTTCCGCACACAAGAAATTATTCTTGGGCTGACAAGATGTTTGTTTGTTCAATTAATGCGTTACCTCAGCCTATTGCATATAAGAACCATCAAGCAGGATTGAAAATGGTGAAAGATTTGTCTGTTGCCCGACGGTTCATTATGCAGAAGCTAGTTGTTGGAATGTTGAACATCATCGATCAATTTCACTTGGATGTAAGTGATGATGGTGCTCTTTCGTCTTCTCTACTCCTTATCCTTGCAGTTTCAGTCTTCTATTTTCCTTAATGGGTTCTGGCTTGATTGGCATAGGCTTTAATTGAAGCTGCTCGTGATGTGATGTTTTGGAAGGAGTTTGCTTTGGAGGCTTCCCGAAGTAATGGTTATTCTGATCTGGGAAGAATGCTTCAAAAGCTGCAAAATGTAAATTTCAATTTCTCATGATAGTGTAGGATGTAGGATTTCTTTTTCTTGACCTTTTTTTGTGATTCAATTTTTGTTTGATAAATGCATTTTTCTTAATTTCAATTCATGTTGAATAATTTGTTTTTTTGGCCAAAAATATTAATTTTTATTCAGATCTCTTATTGAGTTACAGTATTAAATTTTGACGTCAGTCGGCCATTTGTGCTGTTAAAATGCACTTGGCACTTCCATGATAAAATATAAAGGAGTAGTATACAAGTTTGCTACTTGATCTTCTGATTTTTTTTCCATCGTGTTAAAACATTGGATCTTGTGGTGGCTACGCTTCCTTATATTAGTCATAGTTACTCTTTGCTTAAGTTTTTATTTTTATTATTATTATTATTTTTTGAAAGACAATGAAATGATAGTTTAATTATGAACAACTCCACTTCTTAAGTAAGAAGCTTCTTTTTGTAAGTTTCAATGTATTTTATGAAATCAAAATTATGCTGCTACCAACATTAATGAGTGAGTTGGTAATGAGAATTCTTATCATCATATATAATTAATAATATAAATGAAAATGATGTTTCATAATACATAATGCATGGTATGTAGTGTCATACAGTATCTTGAGTTAAGGACCATTAAATTTCTTGGCCTTTTGCTTTTACATATTTAAATTAAAGTATTCTCCTCCTGTTTTTCATCCAAAAAGAAAACCAAACAAAGAAAGAAGGGAAGCTTCTCTTGTATCTCTTTAAAGCTTACTGCTGATTCTCTTACTTTTGGAAAAATATCAAACCCATGGCAAAGTACATTTACCAATTCTTGATGAGTTTAGCTATTTTTAGCTTTGACTGATGGTTGAATTACGCCTCTGTGAAGTTAAATGCTACTGCCTCACTTGTTTTGCACAAGTGATGTAATTTATCTCACATAATATGTGTTAAATTCATAATTTTTTTCTTCAGATAAATATGATTATTGTTCCAATATTTCTTTTTGGTGACTGAGTAGTATGGCTTCTGTTTCCCTCCAGAGCATAATGCAGCGCTACATAAATGCTAACTGGTTACAAAATTCTTTTCCCATTTGGATTGATCGATGCCAGAACGCAAGCAGTGCTGAATCAGTAGAACTGCTAAAGGAGGTACTTTATAATCTTGGCTAGCCAATTTATATACCCAGAAATGGAAAAGAGCATGTGGATAAATGTTGCATGGTTATTGATTATGACCAGTATTTGTTCCTGATAAAGGTCGATAATCATGTCCAAAGATGGTATCATGAAGTGCTTAATTTTTTTAACATACTTAAATGATGTTTCAATCTTCAGTTCTTGTACTTAAAATTTGGGGGGAAAATATTTTTGGCATGCACCCAGACCATACATTATCTGAATAATTAATTTTGTCCTTAGGGAATTTGAAGTTTTTCGTCTATGCTGTTGAAAGATGTGTGAGAGGAGAAGTAAGGGAAAAGTGAATCAAGCTATGGTAATTTCTCATGAGCTTGCCAGAGGGATAAAAAGGGGAAATAACAGTGATAACTGACCCCCAAGGGTTGTGAGGTGTGTGTGAGAGAATAAGGCTGTTGGTAGGGAATATATTGTGGACTGCCTAATTGTCGCAGTCATTTTTTTCTGGCCTTTTAATTTAAATGACATGGTCAGTGTCATTTGCATCTTTTGGTGCTCAGATAGAACTGCATGTCAAAATTTTAACCTCAAAAAAGTATTCGCCAATCTTCTTTGGAACAATAGTAACAAGTTTTGGCTTAATTATGCTTGGTTGATTTGTTCCTTTTTCTCTTGTTCAGGAATTGTTTGATTCTATATTGTGGAATGATATCAGCACTCTATGGATGCGCCAGTGCAGCCAATATTAGGTTCTGAGTGGAAAACGTGGAAGCATGAAGTGATGAAATGGTTTTTTACCTCTCCTTCATTATCTAGCAGTAAAGACATGCAACAACAGCAGGCCTCTGATGGCCCCTTCCAAGCAAGCCTCCAAGTTTGTAGAAAAAGACCCAAGCTTGAAGTTCGTCGTGCAGAGATACATGCTTCACAAGTAGAAACTAAGGGTTCAGATCACTCTATTGCGCTTGAGACTGACCCGGGCTTCTTTAATAATCAGGAGACAGTGAATACATTAGCCACTGAGACATGTAAACGGGAAGAACTTAGGGAGGCATCTATTCCAATTGATTCACCAGGTAATTTAGTGAACAAATGGAACGACATTGTTTTTGAGTCTGCTGCAGATTCTGAGTTCTTGCATACCAAAGCTATGGAATCAACACCTACCAGTGAAATGGTTGCTCCCAAATCTGTAGAACCTGGTAGTAAGAATCGGCAATGTGTGGCTTATATAGAAGCCAAGGGAAGACAGTGTGTGAGATGGGCAAATGATGGTGATGTTTACTGTTGTGTGCATTTGTCCTCCCGGTTTTTAGGCAGCTCTGCTAGAGCAGAGAGACCTGCTTCAGTTGATGCTCCTCTGTGTGAAGGCACAACTGTTCTTGGCACCAGATGCAAGCATCGGGCCCTTCCTGGTTCTTCATTCTGTAAGAAACACAGGCCCCATGCTGAAACAGACCACACTCCAAATATGCCCCAGACTTCCTTAAAGAGGAAGCATGAAGAAAATTACACTGGTTTGGAGAGCATGTCCTGCAAAGAGATAGTGCTGGCAGATGCTGAAAGTCCTTTGCAGGTGGATCCAGTTTCAGCCATGGATGATGATACCTTCCATGGAAACACCAACTTGAATGGGAAACCCATGAATTTAGGAAATGATCATAATGAAATGGAGGAACTTCACTGTATAGGCTCGTCTCCCTTTGATGACAAGAACTCCTGTTTGGAAACTCCCAAGCGGTATTTCTTGTATTGTGAAAAGCACTTGCCAAGTTGGCTCAAACGTGCACGAAATGGGAAGAGTAGAATAATATCAAAAGAAGTGTTCGCAGAACTTTTGAGGGACTGTTTGTTACAGGAGCAGAAAGTAAATCTGCATAAAGCATGCGAGCTCTTTTACAGGCTATTTAAAAGCATTTTATCCCTAAGAAACCCAGTTCCTAAAGAAGTTCAATTCCAGTGGGCTTTGACTGAAGCTTCTAAAGATACGGGTGTCAGAGAATTCTTTAAGAAGTTGATTCATAGTGAAAAAGAGAGAATCAAAATGATCTGGGGTTTCAACGATGAGAAAGATGCACCTTCACTCATGGAAGAAATACCTCAGTTACCATCCACTGTTAATGATAGCTTTGGTAATGAAAATGCCATTAAGTGTAAGATATGCTCTGCAGAATTTCCTGATGACCAAGCACTTGGCAGCCATTGGATGGAAAACCATAAAAAGGAATCACAGTGGCTGTTTAGAGGTTATGCATGTGCTATTTGCCTGGATTCTTTCACCAACAAGAAAGTCTTGGAAAACCATGTCCAAGAGAGACACCATGTCCAATTTGTTGAACAATGTATGCTTTTGCGGTGCATTCCTTGTGGTAGCCATTTTGGAAATACTGAACAGCTATGGCTGCATGTTCTATCAGTTCATCCTGTCAATTTTAAGGCATCAAAAGCTCCTGAGCAGCAAACTTTGTCTCCTGGTGAGGACTCTTCAATACAACTAGAAGCTGAGCAGGTAAACTCAGCCTCTTTGGAGAATAATTTGGAGAATTCAGGTGGTTCACGTAAGTTTATTTGTAGGTTTTGTGGGTTGAAGTTTGATTTACTGCCTGACCTTGGTCGCCATCATCAAGCTGCTCATATGGGGCCTAATTTAGTTAGCAGCCATCCCTCCAAGAAGGGAGTTCGTTATTATGCATATAGATTAAAATCTGGCAGGCTTAGTCGTCCTAGATTCAAAAAAAGCCTGGTGTCAGCATCATATCGGATCAGAAGTAGAGCTAGTGCCAATTTGAAGAGACGCATTCAAGCATCAAAGTCGCTTGGCATTGGGGGAATAACCATACAACCTCAAGTAACTGAGACAACAAATATTGGTAAGTTGGCAGAATATCAATGCTCTGCTGTTGCCAAGATTTTGTTTTCTGAGATCCAAAAGACTAAGCCTCGGCCAAACAATCATGATATTCTATCAATTTCTCACTCTGCCTGCTGCAAAGTTGGCCTTCAAGCTGCACTGGAGGAGAAATTTGGAACTCTGCCTGAAAAGCTGTATCTCAAGGCTGCAAAACTTTGCAGTGAACATAATATTCTAGTGAGCTGGCACCAGGAAGGGTTTCATTGTCCTAGAGGTTGCAAGGTGTGCAAGGACCAACCTTTGCTTTCTCCCTTAGCATCCCTTCCTAATGGCTTTGTAAAGCAAAAGGCTTTAGATATGTCAGATCTTGCAGTAGATGAGTGGGAGGTGGATGAGTTTCATTACACCATCAATTCGCACCATTTAAAACCAGAATCCTTGCAAAAGGCTGTAGTCTTGTGTGATGACATAAGCTTTGGGAAGGAAGCAGTTCCAGTGATTTGTGTAGTAGATCAAGAACTTCAAAATCCACCTCATATGTGTAGGTCTAATGAACATGATATGAATCTTTCTATGCCATGGGAGAGCTTTACCTACATTACGAAGCCAGTGCTTGATCAATCCCTGCATCTTGATTCAGAGGTAGCTTATTGTGTTTTATTCTTTGATATTACATTCATGTCATGTCACTCATTTGTCACATGTTAAGAGGCACTCGTTGACCATGCTCAAGAAAAAGCATCTAGAAAATTGTATTTTTTTGGCCCATTAGATTATTTACTTATTTGTTCAATGTATCTGGAAAATTGTGTGCCTCCACACGTAGAAGGGCCATGCTTTAATGAATAGATTATTTTATGTGAAGTGACGCTAGGAAGAATGAGGGTATTCAACTCTAGACTTCTAATTGCCTTGTAACTTGGGCTCATGTAAACCTTTTTGATACTGTTGTATTTGCAGAGTCTTCAAATGGGATGTTCCTGTTCATATTCTACTTGCAGTGCTGAAACTTGTGCTCATGTATATCTTTTTGATAACGACTATGAAGATGCAAGGGACATCTTTGGAAAATCAATGCGCGGCAGATTCCCATATGATGAGAATGGTCGAATGATTTTGGAGGTAAAGAGTTTTCATCATCTGCAAACTTCCTTATCATCTAAGATGTGAGTGAAGGATATATTTCTGAATCTGTTAGATATTGGTTGGAAAAAAAAGGCATTTCTAATTTATTAAATTCAACTTCTTTTCTTCTTAATTATTCCACTATATTTCTGCACATTATATGTGCAATGTGTTTCCTTTTGTCCTTGTGCTATATATTTGGAGCAGATCTGACTAGAGCGTGTGGACTTAGGTCTTTGCTTGACGCTACGCAGGTGTTTTGATTTTTTAGAATTATTGATACGATATTACGGAAAATTATATCATTTGGCTTTGCCACTGAGTTTTTTCATGGTTTTGTTATATAGATAGGAGGCGTTCCCTCTTTCTTCACATTCTGTTTCTGGATTATTTACAAATTTTCTTTGTTTCCTTCTGTTCTTATGAAACTGCAGGAAGGTTACCTAGTCTACGAGTGCAACTATAGGTGCAGATGTAATAAAACCTGTCCAAACAGAATTTTGCAAAATGGAGTTCGAGTTAAATTGGAAGTTTTTAAAACAGAGAAAAAGGTGATCTGCCTTCTGTTGACAGAGAAGTTCTTAGGTTCTTCGCTTTAACTTTTTCTACATGGTTTACAGGGATGGGCTGTTAGGGCTGGTGAAGCCATCCTACGTGGCACATTTGTGTGTGAGTATGTGGGAGAGGTTTTAAATGAGCAGGAGGCACATAACAGGCGCAAGAGGTTTTCAAGATGTTCTTTGATTGTAATGTTAAGTTTTTTTTTCTTGTTTTATTTTTTGCTTTATCTGACTTAGTGTATGCAAAAAATCAGGTATGGCATAGAAGGTTGCAGTTATTTCCTTGATATTGGTGCTCATATTAATGATATGAGCAGATTGATTGAAGGACAGGGTCGATATGTTATTGATGCTTCTAGATATGGAAATGTTGCGAGGTTCATCAATCACAGGTAATCGTTAATCGTTAATCTCCTTATATTTTTTGCTACATCTGTTGGTTTTTTTGTTGTGATCTTCGCAACTTATTTTCTGTTGGTTTTTTAAATCACATTATGTTGTTATTGCAGCTGCTCGCCCAATCTTGTCAATCACCAAGTTCTTGTTGAAAGCATGGACTGTGAACGTACGCATATTGGTTTTTATGCAAGTCGAGACGTAAGTAATTCTCTTGTGTGATTTGCTTCCTAAGGAATAATGTCCAAACCAATGATGTTTCACAATTCATAGGTCGATACTTCTCTCTATTTGGCATCTGATTTGTCTGTAGGATTTGCCGGAGACATGAATGAGATAGGGCATGGGGGTTGAAAAGACTTTCATATTAAGTTGAAGATCTACATTGACAAATCAATAGAACATCTAAAATCTATTCCAAACTGTATTATTTATCAGCCATGAACAGCGTGGCTCGTGTCAGATGCTGGGCAATACTTGAGAAAACATGTACCTAATATGTGTAGGAGATAGCAACTTAGCTTTGCAGATCCTGTTTGATGGAGTTGTACTGGTAATTTGGTAGAGCCTCTTGTTAGGAGAAGGCTGAGACTTTTCCTAAGACCTATAATGGACAGGCTGAGTAGAGAGACACTGTTGGTCAAGGGAGTTGCGCACGAGTTTATACCTGAAGAGTGAAGAGGTAGAAAAGATGGAGACAAGGGGTGGGATGGGCGGATATGGGTTTGGAGGGAGGGAGTACTGTGAGCAGAGTTCTGGGCTTTCAATTGCCAGACAGCCGGAGTAACATCGCATGTGTGTGTGTGGTCTGTCCTGTTTTAGTCATAGCTGTTTGTGTGATTTGTGGGTAGAAAAAGGACTTGGATTTTGGGTAGAATCAGTATCCATTCTGTGAAGTTGATTTGGTGTATTTTGCTATTTCACTCAATACCAAAACCCGGTATTTCCCTCAGTTCTCTGCTGTCTTCATTTTTTTATTAATAGGCTTGCTGGTCCCTCACATGATTATTATTGGATTGGATAACTAACATCGCTTGATGCTTCGATTTTTCATCTCAATTGAGAAAGAATAAAAGAGTCCCCTAATTTGCCGAAATCTTCATTTTATATTGTGAAAGGTGGAAATTACTACACATCTGGCTTGATGGTGCTTCACGGATTATATTTTGCCTTGTATTTTGTATGCCAGATTGCACTGGGGGAAGAACTGACATTTGATTATCATTATGAGCTTCTGCCTGGGGAAGGTTCTCCGTGCCACTGTGGATCTTTGAAGTGCCGGGGACGCCTTCACTGAAGGCTTAACATCTTTGCTGTTGTTCTATACCCTGATTGCGAAATCTGGGGCAAAAAAAGTATTTGCTCAGCGTTAAAAATTCCAATTTGGAGACCGTACTTGCTCAGCTTAGAAAGGTTCTGATAGTCTTGATGTCTACCAAGATGATGACAAATCAGGCATCTGTCTGAGACGAGCATCTCATATGAAGCTACCTATAATTTTACTGACCTACTCTCTGGCATGCTAGCTCGGCTGAAGTTAGGATCCCTTACTGAGTTGGAAAAATATCTGGAGTTGAAGCCTTCTAAGTTGGCTATTGTTGGGTTCTTTCTTAGTTCGCTTTTTTCGGATCTTTGGTTCTGGTTGATTGGTAATGTTAGGGAAATGTACATAGGCACAAATGGTTCAGCTTATCTTCCTTTGTTGGCTATTTCATTGGTTTATGGAACTCTATATGTTGTAAATTTTAGAGAAAAAGATTTACTTTTATTTTTAATAATTTTATCTGATTTTAGTTTGGTTTTTCTGGTCCAGAAATATGTAATTAGGTCTCTATAATCGAAACAGTTTTTGATTTAGCATTTATCAATTTTTGTCAACATTTTGTTGTGAGATACTTTAGTTTCTTTCATACATATCGACAACTACAAATATTTAAATTTTATGAATCAATTTAAAGATTGAAGCAGTTAGCTTTTTCTTTTTAGTTTCCCTGAAATGCATTAAAAAGTACTGAGCAGACTTGATCATTGGACTGAGACATGCTTCCGACATCACAAAATACTATTAACGATTTACAAAATGAGCATAGCACACTGTAAAAGCATTTGCATGCTCCTATTCAAAATCTAGAAGGGGCAACAGACAACCGGAAACGAGAATCTGAGTAATTGTCTGAGAATAGCTACTTGCACGACTTTAAAAATGGCAGATCGGTTCTTGCTAGTTTGAAATACGTGGGTTGACTGTGTTCTTGAGTAGCTACGATAAACTACAATCTTCAGACGGTGCCAAAAGTGACTGGTCTTTGCCAACGCTAGAACTTCATTTCTCTTTTTCCTACCACGAAGACCAGGCTTGGAATGCAACTGAAAAACACCAACAGCAGCATGCCTGAAAGCAATCACAGTGAGATGTGTAATTATTATTAATTATAAGCTTGATTCGTTACTAAGAAGAGTGGTTCAACGTCTTGAGCTCACCGTAATTTACAAAACTTGAGGGCTCATTTGGGGCAGATGATTGTTGCAACTGCAGGATCATGGATATGATAACAAGTAGGCTTCCAGTTTTCTCCCTGACTACTCTCTCACTTAAATCCATTGACAAAAACCCAGATATTCCGTTCACCAGATCTTCCACCACAACTTTGACAAACAAAAACATCCCAAGCCACAGGGCAAGCTTTGCAATTTGCCTGGTTAGTTTGGCGGAGATGATGCTGTTCGTCAGATTAACGATGCAGGCACAGGAATACAGTGGAAACCAAAAGTACCAGTCTACCCCAGTCGGAAAAGGTGAAAGAAAAACGCCCAGAAAGTTAGCGCTTACTGATTGAAACTAATCCAAATGTCCATCGAAGAAGAAGGGGTTAAAAAGATCAAGGGTCCTGGGAAACATTACCAGGGTCGTTCAGCTGAACAGAGGCAGAGTAAGCGAAAAGGGAGCCCATTAGAACAGAGCACATGACGAATAGTTTTCTGGATCTGGAAGTTGCCATTCCGACACCTTCAGGAGTTCAACTATTTTCCTAAATGCCAAATTCACAAAACCGGACGGTTTCATCATAGTCAATGTCTTCTAGAACTTCATGCATCCATTGGACGACTACAATATAAAACATGCTGTCAGTTTTTTAATCTTTATTACTATGTTTTCAACAGATCAACGCTTGCTTCTTGAACTAAACTAAAGTACAAACCAAAGCTAAGGTATTCCTAAATATTTGCCCATCCTTCTTTGTTTCCAGCTTAATTTTACAACTTTACATCGTCTTGACATTTTTTTAACCCCTATGGACATCTACATATAAAACATGAAGACAAAGCAACTAAGTATCGCATCCATCATGGGCATTATGAAATGGTGCTGTAGAAAACTCCTACAGAATGAAAAGCAAAAGGGGAAGAGAGCGAGAGAGAGAAAAGGGGGGGGGATTGTTGGTAAAAAAAAATTTCATCTGATGTCGAATGGTTGATGGCGGGAAGAGGACGACGAGGCAATTCAGAATGGTGAGGTACAATAGTACAATCATGTCGGAGTCTTGAGAAGATGGAAGGAACACATTAGAAGTTGGATAGTGAGAGTGTGAGAGAGAGTAGCAGAAATGGGCCACTCGACCAGGGAGCTTTTGAATAATAGAGAGGACAACATGTACATCAGTATCTGGTATATGATTTGCAGGCACTAGAACAGAGCATGGCACACTAATACATCGGTATTTGATTATTGATTGCACTTCTCTTCTATTCTCTTCTGTTGCTCCTACATTTTCAAGTTTTTGTCTCCCTCTTTCCCATCTTTAATTCATACTAATCGTCCCCATTCTCTGCTACATTCACGGCGATGGAACCCAAACCAGATTTGTCACTCACGTTCCATAGGATCCACAACAGGGTAACTTTTGAAACGTATTAAAATTTGTGACATTTGTTGGATTGAAAAGTGGCAGTTAGGTGAAACCACTCCAATGAGTGGTTAGTGGCCACACATGAGGAGTCAACTTTTTGGATCAACGTGTGATGATTATGTTGTTAAAGTAGTAGTATATAATTAAGAAGAAAATTGGCTACTATGGTCGGGTGGAGTTAAACAGGCACATGACGGATTGTTCATTAATTGCCTGTAATCTGAGGACACCACCACCTAACAATTCCAGCCTGTCATTCTTCTTCTTCTAAGTTTTTCCTGTCTTTCTATTTGTCTTCGATTTGTATCAATCCCCTTTTCTCTGTTATAGAATCATTGCGACCTCTGTGATTTAACTGAAGTCACGGTCCAAAAGCATTCTAAGGGTAGTAAAACCGTAAAAGAAATGCAAAGGAGCGGGTCAAAAGTTAAAAAAGCAGCAAAAATCCTTGCAAGGTGCGCTAAAGCTAATCATCAAATTCTTAAATGTCTCTAATAAGCTTGTTTAACTTTTAATTTGATTTTAAATATAAGATCTCAATTCACTTTATCTCTCATATTTATTTATTTTTTCAAAATGGTATTTGTAGTAATTGCACATATTAAATATTTCATCAAATAGTAGTCTTAAGCTCTTAGCTAATAAATATGATTAGCCATGATATTTTAGGAAAGAGAACACATATTTATGACGAATAACTAACTTAACTAATTTTCTTAATAAATACTGCTGTTATAGTAATGTTTATTGTTTAATTTGAAAGTTAGGTTCACTATCAATGAAGCAACTCAGTCATATGTTTGCATTTTGCCTGTGACTAATTTCAATTATTAACTTAACACCGGGAAACAGTGCTATGCAGTGGTATTGGTGAAAATCAGAATAAAAATGACGATCCAACTCGGCTCAATAAAATATCGCATTGAAAGGAATCAACGGCAAAGTGAATTAAATACAGCTATAATAATATAAGTAACACATATTGATAATTTTTTTTGGTTATTATTTTAAATCTTAGAAAATAAATATCCTCAAAATAAAAATTTAGAAAAATTAATTATTTTAATTCTTATAACTTTTACTTGGTTATCACTCAAGTTTAACTTGATCAACTCAATCTCTCAAGCTAATTCGTTGTTCTGATATTTTATGATATTTAAGCTCAATTTCTAAAAAAGATAATGATTTTCTCAAAGTGTGGGGGCACTAATTAATAACTGAAGCTTAAGAAATTGACTTGAATAAGTTAAATTTTATGAGTAGGAAATAAATTTTATTTTGTTTTTGTAATAATGAGGATATTTCTACCTCTAACTTGCAGGGGTTTCAGTTAGGCCTCTTGACTAAAAGCTGGATTAGTTGGAATTGGTTGAGCAAAACAAAATGAAGCATGGGGTCATGCCTCTGCCTCTGCCTCTGGATGCGATTTATCTTCCTGAAAGAAAAATCCAGAGGGAGGAAGGGAGTTAGGAGTTGGGATTAAAGTCAGCGTAATGCCACATATTCAATGCCAATTAATATTTCCCCACAAACAAAACAGCCAATGCAAACAACCACTGCTCTCTGTTTTCTGCGAAGAACCAACACATCTGTCGTTTTCCATTTCCTGTTTGTGATGCACCGCCATGGATGGCTGCCAATTCCTCATAATACAACCAAAAGAGGAAAAAGAACCAAACTGCCTCGTTATTTCTTTTTTTTTTTTTTTTTGGGAGCTAATGGTATGATCTTCAAGCAGGCGCCAAGCCCATTCTTCTACAGCTCCTCATTGAGTTGAGGGTGCTCTGGTCATTGCACTACTTTGCAAACTTACACTTTACTCTACTCTCTGCATGATAGCTATGGTCCCTAAGGCAGGCACATACACAGAGAAACCCAAATACTATAAGGAATAGAATATAATGGATCGCACCAACAGCTAGAGCCTTGCCTCTCTTCTGTTCGATTGCTGAGTTGAGCTGTTTAGGGAACTAGCAGAGGAAAAACAAGATATTAATAAATAAGTGAAAGTAATTACTTTCCGTTTGTGTAAAAACAAACGAGGAATATGGAGTGATCCTGGGGGCAAGGGAAAGGTGATGCAAAACAAGTACTGAGAGACCCACAGGGATGCAATCATCAAAAGCATGGATGGACAGAATACTGGTAAAGTAGAAACACATCCCATGAGCCATCATCTCTTTAGTCTTTTGCCCTTTTGCTTTTTCGGGTCTCGTGGTCTTCTCTACTTTACAATTCAAGGCGGGGCTCCGCTCATTATTCCTCCCTGGCAGGTTTCTGTTCACTGGTTCCCGTGATGCTTGACATTGGAGCTCTCGTTCAATCATTTTTTACGCTCTGTGGGCCGAGCAGTATTAGATAAGACATGGAGTTTTCGGACGTCTCTTAGAAGAGACGATCAATTCTCGGTAAGTTTTCTGCTTTTGGGGAGTTTTGAAATTTCCAGAGATTTTCTTTTAATGCGTTTTCCTCCTTTTTTTTTCCATCTATGAGCCTGCCAGATGATCTGGAGTTAACTACCAAGTCATACCCCTCTTCCATGCTTTTGAATGTTTTAACCACTTTTCTCCGATAAAAAATTTGCAAATTTTCTCCGTAGCTCCGTCTGCATATATTCCAGTCGCCCTGCTTAGGTTTTTAAGTTTTAGGGAGAAAACTATCAATAATTTTCGTTCAGATTGAGCCTTCCTCGTGTTTAATGCAATTTGTGCTCGACTGCAGTGATCCTTGTTGGGAAAGTAGATCAACATCAAAACAACGGCTGTTCACTCTCTGTTGCCATATTTGTGAATTTGTGAGGACAGTGTTGTATTCGAGAGGAGAGCTCCTGAAGGCCCCGGGGCATAATTTTTCCGAGATATTTCTGTCCTTAATTTGCTGGTACAACCAATTCGTTGTTCCATAGGAAGATTAGGACCTGTTTCGATTGCACCATTTTCCCTATAAATGCCACATCTTCCTTCGCAAGTCGCAAACGCTGTGGATCCTTGTTACTTGTAGAAGATGGCCGAAATTAAGCTTAGCCGGGTAGATCAAGGCCAAACAAAGATTAAAAGTGTTCCAATAGCCGTGACTCCGGAAGGTTTTTGGTGCTGTCCCTCTCCTGTTGTATTTCAGAAAAGCCTCAAAACTCAAAATTCTCTGAATAAACCTAAACCCTCCTCACCACCACCAAAAACCAGTGCTCAGAAGAAGACGGTCACGGCAAGCGAGAGGAGACAAGCAGCTGCGCCATCAAGATTGGCCATGTCCGATGATCAACAATGTACTGGTTCAGAAAGACCTCCAGCTGGCACACCTGTGGCCACAGAGAGAGCACCTAGACCCAAAGTGGAAAGTTTGCCAAGAAAGGAGCTGAGTTTGGTGAGGTACTAGTGATACAAAGGTCAAGCAGTGAAATTAAGTGAAGCAGCAGTGAGAAACTTTCTGAACAATCTGGTTTGTCAAGTCTCCAAATTAATGATTGTGAGGATGTTGAAATATATGTTGAAACTGTTGGACTGATGTACTGCAAAGATATGAAGCAGAGGCTGATGAAGCAAAGTGTTTCTAGAACACTTAGAATACTCAAGGTAGTTTAATAATTCTGTCATGTTTTGCTGCTTTTTTCCACTTCAATTGCTACAGCTTTTATTTAGTTATTTTACTTTATATCGATGCAACTCCCTGGGAGGGAAGATATTTGTTGCTGCTATTACTCATTCATTCTTGATTCTTATAGATGTATAATGCCACCGCCTTTTTTGATTTGTTGGCATGGTGACTATTTTGTTGCTTTCTCTTAATACAGATTGTATGGAAATCAATAATTCAATATATCTGCAGATGATTGTTCATGATTTTCTCGTTGATGGATGCCAATCTTTGTTTAACTAATTCATGCTGCTAAGTGCTAAGTTATATATCTTTTCCATATTGTTTTCAAGTCATCATAAAGTTTCATTTTTTACATGTTTTCATTTTGAACAATGTTATCATGTGCATTTAATGACTGCTTGACGTGGCAATTAAGTTTTACATTCTGCATATTGATATGTTTTAGAACAGATAATAAGAATGTATATGTGAAGTATAGAATGAATACTTGAAGATCACAATCCTCTAGGTTGGCAGAAGCAGCTTTGCTGATCTAATAACTGCTGTTTCACAGTTGTTTCTTTAGGCAATTTACTGATTCATTGCGGTTTAGAGGTTTAGACGTATTGAACAAAAATGTACACACTTGAAGAGGAGCAGGTGCTTTCATTAAAGAAGAATTACATGGATTGTGCTATTCTTTGATGTCTTTGGTTGGTGCTGAATGCTGGAAGTATTCAGGGGACAGCCTTACACCTAAAATTGCTTTTGGATTAGATTGTTTTTGTTGCTTCTCTTGGCCTTCTTCATGTAGTTTCTTTTTGAGAATTACCTTATTAGGCGTGCAGAGGGATCAGAAAGATTCTCTTTATTATCATTATTGATCTTCTTTGTCATTTCATCCTCCGTTAGTCCTCTTCGTCTTGTATTTCTCATCCTTCTATTTATATTCTTCTTCTTGAGAGGTTTCTGAAGAAGTTCACGTTTAAGCTTCATAGCGTCTGCCCTTTTCTTTCATGCTTCAATCTTGATCTGTCTAAGCTTTCTTACTTGTTTCCGCTTCTGTGTGTTAGCATTAACTGTTGTCTGAGTTTTATCTTGAAAAATCTTTCTGAAGTTAGCCAATTAATTGTGGATTAATTTCCAATAGATGCAAAGTTAGCCATCAAACATAGTCATAAATGAGCTGCATCTGCATTTTACTTTTCTGT